CTATAATATCCCTTATACCTCTGGGGGATCGCTCGAGTTAAATATACTAAATACAGATATACCTCTTCAATCAAAGAGGCTATTTTCAATGTAGAAATAATTGAACCACTTATGTATATAGTATAAATACTTGGTGAGCGTCGCCTCTCTAGGAGCCGTGAAAACGTGCACCTAGAATAATTCAGTAAAGTAGTCGGGAAAGTCGCTTTTCTGGAGTCTCAATTCTCGCTGGGAAATGTCAATATTTTGGTGGAGGGAAAGTCGTTTTAAGGGAAATCGGACGACTTTATAGACGACTTTACAGACGACTTTACTGATGCCTTTGCTGGTCACGCTTCTGTCACACATTTTGGGCGTATATGCAGGGGGGGGGATCAATAAGTTTTGGCCACCGGTGATGCTTCACATGATTGACTAAGGCCATCGCCAATGAAACGATTCATCAAAGAGCATCCTACTATTATAATTATACCTGAAGCATCAAGAATTGCCTGCATGTATGTGCCAAATAATGGATCTACCAAAATGAAATTGTATTCCCCAACTGTTACAAGCCCATTGATGTCAGATACCATTGATGACCCCACCGAAATATCTTGTTTGAGTACTCAACTATCTCGAGATCTAGAGGGGCTTCATTGGAAAACATTAATTTTCTAGCGAAAAACTGCAAACACCGGAAACCATCATTTTTTTTCATTTAACATACCTTTAACTAGTAAGTAAGGTCGTCAGTAAAGTCATAGTTTTTTGTATTAACATGCCTTTAACAGGTAAATGCATCGGTAAAAGTGTCGGTAAAGTGTCGGTAATGGGACAGGAATGCCTTTAACACACAGTAGGTCAATTATTGCATCAAACGATGTGTACCTCACAACCTTTTGTATGGGAGAGAGATTTTCCCACTGTCTCATACATCCAGGGGGTAACAGAGGCGACTATAGCTACATATACAGCGTGAGGTAAAATTATTGTAGAAGCAGAAGAGTCCTATTGGCCTGTCTACTTCTACTATCTACTATGTACTAGAATACACTTTTTCTTAATTCGTTGCGGTCTGATTGGTCAACACCGAGGAGGGAGGTATTTTGTGAGTCGACTGTGCTGAACGAGCGTCCATATGCATTTCGATGATATAATTAGTTATATATAAGTGGTCAAAGTTTACTACTTCATCTGTAACAAGAGTTCCTCTAGACAGTAAAGGTCACTGGCTATGGTTGGGGTACGCCGGCGGGTGGAGGGTGGGGTTGGGCCCAGCTGCTGTAGTAACGGGAAATCCGCTCGGCGTCGGAATTTATCGCGACCTACTTTGCTTTTTTAGCTTGACTAGATCATGTAATTCCTGAGATCTTGCGGGCGTTGTCGAATTTCCCCTCTTTTCTTTTTGTGGGACTGTATGTAGGTAATTTTTGATATTTACTTTCCTTCCTTCGCGATGATCGACAGCACTAGGTATGATTAGAATAAGAAGCACTTGAAGTGCTTGATTTCTTTTTCTGTTTCGCCTCTGGATCCTTCAACAGCACTATGATTAGTGAATATATGCGCATCCTTAATTCAGGTGGTCTGACGAGCGCGGCTGAGGAAGTGCTTGATTTCTTTTTCAGCCTCCGGGCCTTTCTTTACCTTTCGAGTGTATTTAAAGTATGTACCGGGGGTTAAGGGTAAGTACTCAGGCTGAGAACCCCCTTTTTGGGAATTTTTAAAAATGAAGGTTTGGAGAGAACTCTATGAATTAAAGCGACACTTGGCGGCCAAGCCAGCTTTTGCAACGCAACCTCCATCACCTCAATTTGACTCCCGTTCAACCATAATTTCATCAAATAACAACCCTCAACAGAGTCTGGCGGCCGGAAATGATATGCAGATGATGCGGTAGGCAGGGGAGATACTATTGGTTTTTTGTTTGTATTTTTAAACAATTTAATTCGATTTTCTAAGTGAAAATATATCAAAACGTCTCGGTATTTTTTTCCCACATAAGTCTAAGTAAAAATGATACTGCATCATTGGTTGGTATGGTTGCCACCCATGGCGTTTTTACAAAATCAACCAATGAAAAAAGTGGACATGGGGGTGTCTTCGTACTTTACGTGCACACCCGGTACATACCCCGCGACCGCGAGAGTCCATTATGTACTGGATTATGGGCTTTTCAAACGCTTGGGCATTTGATTGGTTGAGAGTGAAGGATCCTAACCCATATGGCAACCAAAAATTTGGAGCGGGTTGCGAACATGACACTGGCATGCCCTGTATGAGGGGATCAATTATACTACAGGAGGTGGAGCTGTAAATCTATTGAGAGGGAGGAAGTACTGTAGGTGGAAAGTAGAACATAATGATGGCTTGAATTGACTGAGAGCAACCATCAATTACTAACTGGGAGCTGGCACTGGAGTTGGCCATATGGTCAACCACAGGAGCTGGCAATTGCAATTGTAATCAATGAGCGAGTATGAGAGCTGGGTATGGGCAACAGGCTACGGGTAACATTGGCTCAGCCTTCAAGTATTTACTACATGGAGGTATTCTCAGGAGGTGGGAGACATCGCAGTCGCCAGGTGGGCTACTACTAGTTGTAGGTACAGTACGATGCCAGCCGTGAGGGTCAGGCGCAGCGTCGCAACGCCCCCCGAACAATCACGGGTACCAGCACAGCAACCACAATTGATCCTTTGGAGAGCTGAATTTTTGTATAGTTGTTAAATAGTAGATAAATAACAATAATTTCACATTTAATATCTTGTGTACCAACCTGCCGTGAAAAGGTTGTGGAAATCTGGTTGCGCGCGCGGCGTTGCGACGCCGCGCCTGACCCTCACGACTGGCATCGTACTGTACCATTGGAGAGGTCGCCCTTCGATCTGCCCCAGTTCTCTCTATGCTAACCAACCCAAGTGCGTTTGGAGAAGTGGAGTCCTTTGGTCTGGCCCCCCAGGTTCACTTCCCCCAGCCAGTTCGTCCTTTCTCTGCGAATTCGGGTGCGTTTGGAGAAGTGCCAATTCGCACTTTCAATTTTGGTTTCGTTAGTAATCCCTGCCAATTTGCGCAACCGACCAGCGAGATGTTACACACAAAAAACCCAAATATGCATTACTGACATTTCCTTCCTTTCTTTTTTGCGATCCAACAGGGGTATGAGCCAAGCAGAGGCAGTACTGCGGTATTTGGAAGTAAATATGCAAGATTTGGTAGAGAAGACCCCTGCTGCAGCGCAACGAATTTCCTAAATACTGCGGTAATTGGATCCAGGAGCGCCTTGAACCCGCTTATCTGGGTAGACGTCGACCTACATAATACAGGTTTCACCGGGACTCCCCCATAGGCTTTTAACATATACTGCATGTCTGCAGTTTAAATTCCTAAAGTTGTTTGATGCCATGCCCGGTTACAGGTCTCCAAATTTGGGTATGATTTTGGACTCTAAGTGTGTAAGTCTCTCCAATCGACCTGAGGCATCTATTGAGGTCATTCATATTTGATATTTTGAGAACAGCAGCATTCCCAGCTCAAACATAATCAGAAGCCCCGGAGCACTGCAGATACTATTGTATTCAGCGTTCCGTTCTTCTAGCCACCTTCAAGTTGTTTACAAATCTCACCTAGCCCATCATTACCTCAAACCCAGGACGAGGGTCCAAAAATACCCAACACTAATTGCTCTCACCCCCGCACCGAGCCACCCTTACCAACGCGAACAATACAAAAAAGTACCAGGCTTGGGAACAGCAAGCTCAATAATATACAGAATTGCCCAATAGCTTTTTTGAAACAAGCCTCGGCGCATAACCATATGTGCTCGTCCTGTCTAACCTCCCGCGCCCAGCCTCGCACGCAACACTCGAGTGATAGGATGTGATCCAACAGAATAACCCCGCAACCCCAAAGTAATACTATAGAAACGTTAGATATATGCTTGAAATGCGAGACTTATTCTCGCTAATCTTTTATATATCGATTCACATAACCACACGCACGTACTAAGCAACCTCTCCCCTCCCGGGATAACTGTAAGGTTGCATGCAATTAATGAATTAAACAAAAAAAAAAAAAAAAAAAACCCTCCCGGGAGGTTTAATCACAGACGATCACTCGCACATTTTGTGTGCAATTTTCATATCGATCCCCACCGAGTAAGTTTGATACTAGCCCACGCACCTCATACACCTCCTGTAAGCCCCCCTTAATCAGCCCCGAAGATGGTAACAAACAAAAACTGAATTTAAACACCTAGTACCCATCCACTCAGGAGTCAAGATGCAAACAATCAACCCAGTCAGGGTTAGGGGAACCGTAATTATTCAACTTCCCGTTTTGGTTAGCGTACCATTAGTACAATCGTCCATTACGCACTAGTCCATATTACGACCCCCATACCATACCTGCTCAGGTATTGATTGACCTTCACCGATGTGAAAGTCCGAACGAACTTATTTCATTTTCCAATGTTGTACAGTGGAGTCTCGATAATAGCATATGGTCGGGAACGTATTTTCGTGTGCCACTATCGGGGATATGCTTGTATCGGGAACAACTTTGCCCGTACCGACTCGTTTGGGATTGCCCAACTATATGCTACTATCGAGGATATGCTATTATCGAGGTTGCTACTATCGGGACAACACTGTATTTGTAAATCTTGCAGACATCGCCACCGCACACGTGTATTTATTTACCCTACGGTAGAATACTAAAAAGAAATCTCGCGCCAACTCAACCAAAACGCAGCAGAAAGAAAATACAGCAATCAACTCCAGCATAACACATCGCTTCCTAATACATCCCAATTTATTCCCCCCCAAGCCCTCAAAACCCCAAACCCCAACCAAAAAAAAAAACCGTACAGCCAACCGTACGGAAAGAAAAGAAGAAAAAAAAACTCAAATTATCCCATCGAAAAATTACGTCCATAGCGAACCAAAATTATCCAACACCCCGAACCAGCGGGTTGATCTCCAAACTGCCATCCTCCTCCATCATTTCTAATCCTTTCGCTACAACTTCACAGCGGCAGCCTGTTTCCCCCTTGTTGCGGAGGCCTGCGTCTTCTTCTTTGCGGCCTTCGATTCCTCGGGAGACAGCTTCACGCAGACGCGCAGCTCTTGCGACTTTGGGGGATGAAAGACCTGCAGCGCGCACAATGATTAGCGCCAAGCGCGCAAACTAAGGGGCACGCGGGAGGTACTCACCAGCCCATGGAACTTGACCGTCTTCTTGTCCGCCGACATGCTATACACCACGCGAAAGTTACCCGCATCCTGGCTCGCATCCTTCGATTTCTGCGCACCCAACAACATCAGTCCTACGCACGCTCAAAATTCCCCGCAACAATCCTTTGTCCAAACTCACCGGCGCCCATTTGCTCCCATCATGCAGAATCGGAAAATACTTCAACGTGAAGCCCGGGCTCAGCACTATATCGGGCAGCAGCGTCTTCCCCGCCGGATCGCGGTTCATAAAGTTTCCCGGATACTTTCTGAAGTTGCCCCTCCCGAGCCCGACCACCATCGCCATCGTCTTGCTGACCGCCGCGGCCGTGAAGAGGTGGTTGACGGGGTATATGCTATCCGGGTGGTATTCAGCCGGCGAGCCGACGGTGCCCAGGCCGCACCACCAGCTGTCGTCCGAGCGGACGTTGTACTTGTCGTATGTGGCGGCGACGGTGGGGTTGGAGGGGCGTGTGGGACGTTGGAGGTTGAGCGCGGATCTGTATGTGCTGTGTGTTAGTTCCCAGGGGGGGTGGGGGTGGGGGTGGGGGTAGTGCACGTTACTTGCCTTTTGAGGATGTGGTGGTTGTCAGGCCCGTGGTGGCCGGTCGAGGCTGCGGCCTGCGCAGGGCAGACGCACCACAGCTGCAGGGAGAACAGCACAATTAACAGATATGATAGCTGTATCATGATATTCGATGCGTGATGACTGTGATGTGTAGAGTGTTTTGAGTGTTGTTTAATTCTGTCTTGCTTTCAGGAACCGACCGAACGAGTGTGGTGATGATGATGGAGTGCAAGTTCTCCAGATCGCTGTGGTCGGGGAAGGGTTGATGTATATATACTAGCATTCGTGTGTTGACTCCGACTCACACACCGGCGGCGGTGCTGCAGCATCAAACTAGGCAACTGCCGAGACCGATGTTGACGACGACGACGACAACGACGACAACGCCTGCCAGCGCGTGTGTGCTGCAGGCTGAATCAGTCACAGAGCGATGAGGATGTTGAGGATCGGATGGGGAGGATGAGGATGGGGATGGGATGGGGATGAGGATGGGGATGATGCTGGTGCCTGATCTGTGGACAGGGCAGACAGGCACGGGGCAGTGAGTGCTAAGCGAGACAGTGGTGACAGCAACCCTAAGAAACAAGTTAATGCACACAAGTGGCAGAGTGTGTATGTTTATCCCAACCTCACCTCTGCCACAGGTCAACCCCGTCCACAGAGCAGAGACCCACCACTCTACTTGTAGTATACACGCACCACAAGATCTCCCTCTATTTCTTCATGCACCCCGACCGAGGGGCTATATATACACTCCCCATACGTACAGGCCCAAGCACTCGGTGAGTAAAGTATCGCTTGTGGCGTAGCTAGGAACTGCACCCCTGCGGGAATCTCCCGAAGCGCGTACTCTATGTAGATGATGCTGCACTCTTGATTGGCCCTTCCACACGCTCGATCTCGCCGGTGAAGACGACGTCGCTTATCGCATAACTGACGTGCGTGAAATAAATTAACGGGAAGTCATGCACATTATTTATTATACAGCGACAGCCAGCGACGTTGATTTATCTCGACATGATTACTTGGATGCCCCCATACGCCGCGACCTGGGAACGACACATCATCGGCGGACTGTAGCTAGCGCTTTTGGACCACGGTAACCAGGAAATTAAGATTACTACTCAAGTTACAATTATGCGTATGTAGAGGAGCGCGGGCTCGGTACGGTTTATGTGTACATCCTCTCTTTCTGTTTAAAGAGATTTTTTTATTTCACCACATTTACACGCATATATCTATTGCTAACGTGCCACGGTGTTGGTTTCATGGGCGTTTCCAAGTCATGATTAGTTGACTGCGATATGAGTACGGTTCTTATCAACGGCGATATATGCCAACCGCCCAATTGAAGCATACAACATTACCAGGTGGCGCGGCGGCGGCCGCCGCCCTACTACAATATCTTCCCCAGTCTTCGCACGTTGCCCATATACCTATACGTTACTAAGTACTTACCATCCACAGTTACATAGTGATGCAGTGCTATATCCAATCAGCTGAACACCGGCAGGCGGGTAGTCATGCACCTGTCCGTCCCGTCCGTAATCGCCATAGCTCTCCGCCGCCCCAAAAGATCTGTGGAGAGAAAAAGTAAAAATACAGTACAGCACAGTACAGAGCCGTCCAATCAACGTACGTATGTGGTGCTTCCTGTACTCTTCGAGATTGTTTGTCCCCCCCCCCCTCTCACCTCGCCTCGAATCTTTTATTGGTGTTCTGTTTCTTTGGCGGTGTTTGTGCAGTGCAATATACGCCAGGTGTGTATGTAGTCCCAAACATTCATATCGGCTTAATTTCTACCAGCGTTAATACGGTGTGGAGACGTGTCGACACCTCATCTCCAGATCTAGGACGATATGGCTGAAACAACCGTCAAACAATGCAGCACCCGTATCAACTACGATTTTATATTTTAGTACCCGCTTCTATTATCTACTTCTAAGAAGGATTATAGTGTCGCCCAGGCATAAGGCATCCTAGCCCCCAAGGTGCACCACAGTTGAATCATGAATTATCACTCGACAATATTAATCTCCCCGGCTACATGAATATTTAATTCTCCGCGCCCAATCTGGCCCAGTCAGCCCTCTCTCTCGGCCTAAACCCCTGTGCGCTTTAAATACGGTGTACTCGAGCTTGATATGACGTTTCTTCGCATAGATATCCTGATCACCGACCAACGTCACCGGGAGCAACCAACCACCTAGATAGAGACCAGAAAGCACTATATCAGAAAGATAATCTCAGCCGGTCCTTTTAGCACTGGTGCGGCAGAATTACAAAGCTAGATCCAAACCGATGGCAGGTTCAAAACATCTCCAAATAAGGTACATAGGGGTATCGAGCGACGTAGAGTAATCGGGGCGGCTGCGTAGGTAAATCAACCCACCTCTTGATCTTCAGCAACCGGTCACATCGGCACACGTACTACACTTGCTGTTATGGATCTGGTTGCTTGCCTGCCTGATCTATCTGCGCGCGTTGCCAAGACCCCAGATTAATATATTGCTCATGGATTATCACTAGCACAATCGAGCGAGTGATATGCTGTGACTGGAATTGTCATTACATACGGGGATAATACTGCTTTACAATTCATGCACAGTATAACATGCACTTTACGTGCTTAGGGACCACATCAACCGGAAAATATAAAGACAAATCCCCGGGTTACTTAAAACTGAAAGGTATATGGTTGTCTTTACCTATATAGGCATATAGTAAACTCGAGCCATACTCTAGAGCTCGAACGCCTTGGGTTCTTTTCCCCAGGACCCGAGCCTGCTCGAGATCTGTACCCAATACTATGCATGACGGACCCCCACGAACGCCTATTATTAGAAACCTGAATTAGTGGCTTGGCACTAGGGTTAGGTTATGGAACATGCCGAATCACGGTGTGGCGCAGGTGGCTAAAGAGTAATGCGTGACAGTATCAGGATACATAAGGAACACGGTGCGCAAGATTTAGTTTTTTAATTTTCTATCTCGTTCTGTCTCTTAGATCTTCTTCTCTTGGTGTCGTTCGGGGGTTTAGATCTCTTGTGGGAGCCTGAGTCTTAGTGGTTATGGGCATGCATATACGCAGGATTACATTTTCCCTGAATGCCAAAATCGCTATCAGACGTGGAGTTCAATATTAGGTGCGCGGTCCCGAGATATATCGATAAGAAACAAATCTAGATAAGAACTCGCTCAGGCCCGGTAAACATTTCGAGTGATGGACCATGATCCAAATTAGATCAAAACTCAATGTCAACGAGCTTGTTCCCCTCAAAGATTAGCACCATATGACTGTAGCCTCTACCAGTCCTACCTACCACTTTAGCCGAGGCCTCACAATACCCAGCCCAAGCCTTGGCAACCACGAAACAACCTTCAGGAATCCACGTCGGGAGAAACACTCTCATAAGTCACCTTGTTTCGCATGTCCGTCACAACATATATATCTAGAGAGAGATGAGATAATCCCTCATCCTCAACTCCTCTCTACTCTTTAATATCTCCGTCCCTAGCCGAATTGTTAGTTTTCCACCTTTTAGGAATTTCAAAATTCGCCCCGGCTATTCCCTGGTTAAGGGTTTTAACAGGCTACTTCGAGGAGTAAATGACTTAAACATTCAGTCTCGCCCAAACCTCTCACGCCCTCAAGTGGCAAAGTATATGGACCATGGGCCAAAGTGTCTCAAACTTCAAATATGAGACTCCGGAACGCTAACTCCAAAAAAGCACCCCCGAGAGGGAAGAACAAATCATATTTCAAAGTTTGGCGCCAATTACCAGTGACGCAAGTGATGAAGATATAGTAGAAGCATGAACGCAGCATAAATTTGTCTTTCCAAAAATCAAAATATATACCCCACCATTAGAAAACCGAGTGATATCCCATGACCCACATACTCTTTTCGTTAACAGATCGACAGCTAGCAACATAAATCGCAGAGCTTGAGGTTTCTATAATGAAATGACCAAGTAATTTGTGTTATTTAAGAGCAGTAAAAGAAGGGAACCGCAATTGTAGACTGATTTAGAGTCCTTCTAGTGTGTAAAAATCTTGGATTAACACCGTGTCTTATTCGCTCCTCAAATTGTACTACAAACCAAGTGACTTGGGACATACGAGCGCTTTCTCTAATTTAGTATCTGTTTCTAGTGTGCGGCATGAGTTGACTACAATCGAGTACAAAAATCGAGTATTTGATTTGATTAGACTCGATTAGGGGCGACATTTCGAATCATAATCATGATTAGTCTTTTGCAATAAATCGATTAAATCATATAAGTCCAAAGAGACAGTCAAACCATGAAATATGACCGGCAAATAATCATTTCCCCTCTCATAAACCTGACGAAGGTCAATTTTGGTAAGAAATTCTGCCGTAAAGGCCGAAGATATAATCCTGTAATCAATCAGAATAATCGAATAGGTATGAGTTTATACCATCAATCATGAGTATGATTTGATGGGTCTGGGAGGGTGAGTTGACTCGATTAGAGGCGAAAACCTAATCGATTGTAATCATGCCTCACACTATCTGTTTCTCTCATACCAGACATTGTATCTTTAATAATAGGAACTAGAGCTAGGGCGCTCTGACTCGCTGGTGATTTTGTGTCATACACAGCGAGGACATATGGGTCAGTCAATAATCCTCTCATACTTCTATATTTGCAGCATAGAATGCGTGCTTTTTGGTCCACGAACTGTGTCCAAGGACATGCATTTCGGAGCTTGACCTTCGGGCTCGACACGGTTGATGGGCCGCAATCCATATGACATACATATGTACTCTGGAGAGCATATATGTATATGGGGATGGCTCTCCACTTAAACCTTCTAAGAATGCGGATTTTGTGATTCTGATTGGTACCCGAGACGTTCAGAATATGAAGCACGTCCCAGAGATAGGTGAACAGTGTAGAGAGACAACTCCACACGATATCTGCGTGGCCTCGAAAAATTACCTCGAAACATTACCAATATTGCTGTGCTAATATCCTGAATATATACATCCACCTGGACAAGGTGTGACTAAACTAGTGCGGTCGCATGCTCCACAACGTCTCGTTAGGTTACTAGACACTAAGAAGCTATGCGCCCTAGTCTTTTAGACGAATAGACGTCCTGCCCGCTGGAGCTATTACATCTCCATACTAACACCAGATGTCACACATCAAGTCTGTCCTATTTGTTAGGTTTTAGGCTGTGTAGGATAAGAAAATGTCGTCAAGTCTGGGTAAATATTTTCCTTCAGGTATTTTGTGTTTCGGTTTGTGAACATCCAGTTATTTTATACAGTGACAGGTGTTGTACCTACAATTCCAGAGAGACATTTTTCTAGCATTCGACTCGAAAAATAACAAAACAAAAGGTCGTTCTCCAACGTTTAGTAGGAGGAACAGCCGATAGATGCTATTTGATGGTTCCGTTGCGGGGAATTGAACCCCGATCTAGTCGGTGAGAGCGACTGATGCTAACCATTACACCACAACGGATGATTTTATGTACTAAATCTTCATCTCGCCTGCGTCGTAAATTGCGGGATGCGGCTCTGAGTCTAGCTGGACGCGGCAAGAGATGGACAATAGATATACTTTACACCCCGTTCCCATCAAGCCCAAACAAAAATAGTGCTATATAAAAGAAGTTAATACATGTACAAGTACCTCCATACATGTATGTAGCGCGCCATGCACAGTACGGCGTACGCGTCCTGCCAAATACAGGAAACATTCGACTTGAGCATTAACGGTAGGACTCATATAACTAACTGTTTTAAACGACCCAGCCATTCAGTCTCTATATGACTGTCACTTTTATATAGTAAACGACTTAGTCACCTATCTTATGCTCCTAGAATCGCGCTCACCCTGCAGGCCACCAATATATCCACAGGCAGGTTGATATCCAAACTATTAGCTTTCAATTGACTCATCCAAGCGGCCCATCCGTCTCCCGTACGAATTTCTGAGAAATTCTTCAGAGGCACTGCAGGGACATCAGAACTGGCCAGTAGGTTGTTTGGGGTAATCCAGGGTACTAAGCACGTACTATGTACATGCACATAAATGTACCTGTATATATGCTGTGACGGATGTAAGTCCATTAGTACATATTTTCTGCTCTAATCCTGCGATAGGCATGGCTATCCTGAGCCCCTTACCAGCATACCCACAAATATACATGGTGTGCATGTGTATAATATAATCCAAGTCTTTATTATGAGGTCTAAAGGAAGCGGTAACAATTATATGGGCAGGGTGTGGATATATAACATCCGTATTTCCTTTGGTGGGGGCCGGAATGAACAACTTGGCAGGATATGACAGTGTGATGTAGTCAATTCGAGTACGGGTGTTAATTCATGTATTGTTTCGTCTTTGGATATTGGGTTGTGAGAAGGGATGAAACCTGGCTCGGGTGTCGCTGTGGACACTAGCTGATCCTTTGTTGCGTGATATTCAGGCATCCCACAGCGGATTTGAATGCACACGTACACCAAAAGAAAATGAATGCCTAAATCCTCATATTCCAACTGAGCCTCTCGCCATCAACACCAAAATGTCAGAATCACAGTCCTTCTACAAAATCTCTCCCATCCCCAGTTCCGGCCTGGGCGTAGTGGCTACAAAGACATTCTCGCGTGGCGATCTAATAATATCGGAATTCCCACTATTCATCATAGATGGAGCTACAGTTGACGGCATCGGTGGCACGGAGGCTACGATTGACAAAGACGTAGCGCAGCTCTCTAGCAAGAATCAGCAAGCCATTTCGTCACTTCATAACTGCTTCGTTGGAAAGCTTCCACCACTCCTGGGCATATTCAAAACGAACAGTCTTCAGTTGGGCGCTGATAGTGTAGCGGCAGGATTATTTCTGGTGTGCTCAAGATTTAATCACAGTTGTGTTAGCCAGCCTCTGCAATCCCCAGTAATATTTCAGTGTTAACAATCATTGCTTAAAGATCCCGAACGCAATGTACTCCTGGAACCCCACAATCTCTCAAGGATGCGTTTATGCAATAGATGAGATTTCTCCCGAAGCGGAAATAACAATCAATTATCTCAGTCAAAACGATCGCAAATCCACCCGTGAAGACCGCCAACGAACTCTCCTCATGAACTTCGATTTTGAGTGCCTCTGTGCCCTCTGTGCGAACGATCTGCACGAGATTCGAGCCAGCGACCACCGCCGCCGTAATATCCGTTCCATGGAAGAGATTATCGAATCCGATTTATACATACGGTCTAATCCAGAGAAAGCTCTGGGGTTTTGCCAGAGGATACTTAATCTATGGGAGGAGGAGGGGGTAAATGATATTACTCTCTATACAACGTATTATGAAGCCTTGAGGATTTGTGTCATTCATGGGGATTATCCAAGAGCTAAAGCCTTCGCAAAGTTGGCGTTAAGAGTTAAAGAGGAGTGCGAAGGGCCAGATGATATATCAGAGAGATTGGACCATATTAAGGGGTTAGTGAAGGATCCACAGAGTCATACTTTAGCGGGAACTTCGAATAAGTGGTCGTCGAAGCCGAAAAAAGGTGGGGGTATACAGTTTGGAAGTGAGGAGTTTGAGGAGTGGTTGTGGTATCGAGCAGAATAATCTTTGTAGTGTATTATATGAAATATGGGCCTAGAAGACTGGTCTGTAAAAGTTTCTTGTGTCAATGAGTCTTTCCAGAACAGACTCTTTATGCACGGCAAAGATTAGGATAAATGTTCAAACACTACAATTGATAAATTGAGTGATAAATATATTCCCACAGGAATCATTACCTTAACCGCGCTCTCCATTCGCACTTTATCATTTCCTTCATAAAACATCACTCGAGACCTGAAGCATTATGAATATTTTTCGCTTACTTGGTTATTAGGTCAGTAAGTGTCCGTCGTGACGTCGGTAAGAAGGGATCATAAAGCTTACACGCATATTATGTAAATAATGCTTGAATGCGAGCCATTGGGGGCGTAACCGTGTTTTCTGCTCAAATACTTGGTGGATGACTAGAGTAAACATCCTACGGTTCCAACCTCATTCCGTCTATTCGAATAGACGCTCGTGGTGAGCACTCAGTGCGGCGCTCAGTTTGTCTTTAGTTACTTAGCATTGAGCTTATAATCCTGAGCCGATCAGTTCCATTTGGGGTAATCTCCTATTCTCCTATCTCCTATAATATAAAAAGTCAGGACGAATATAATTTCACAATTAAATGACGGGTACTGATTGGCCAAAAATTTGCTGGAGAAAGGAAAGGAAGGAAACATGCAAATCCTATTTCGCTACGTCCTAGTTCGCTGAAGTGACACGGCTGTTAGCCTGACGAAAGAATGAATAGAGGTAGTGGACCCTTATAAAGGAAGGAAGGCTGGAAGCTATTATACCGTCTTCCAACAGGCAAACGCTCACGCTCAGCACAATCTCTACCGAAGTGACGGACAGTTTTTTAGCAGGGACAGCTATGTGTAAATGCAGGGAAGGAACGTAAGCTTTGGTTATAAATTCACAATCGAAGTATCGTTTCACACCCAAATCCTTTCACAACCAAATCTGTATATATTTCAATATTCACCAATTTAAAGTTATTGATAAGCTCCATCTATTATTGATTTCACATTAGAGTGCTCGAGGCATTCTTCAGTAAATATTTCTCAAGTGAGTAAGCATCCAAGGCCAAAACTGCATACATTGCGATTCCTCTGATGATGGGCGGTCGATTGCACGCATATATCAGCGATTGAGTGGATAAGGGGAGCGGATCCGCTTACCTGGAATGTATATTCTGAGACTTATTCTGTTTCGTTGAACAGCCCTTGCGTTCTGCTCGGGCAGTTATGCGTAGCACAAGATTGCGGGGAAAGCGATGTACAGGTCTTTCATCCGATTGATCATCTCGTCGCCTCCTCCAAGCTTACACCGTTCCGTCCCTGCATGCAGTTGGGTAAAGTATGTGGGGAAGTGGGGTAAAACGCACAATAATATTTCTACATTTGCTACCACACATAGTTAGAGTATAAATCACGTGCAAAGCTCCACTAGCTTAAATAGCTCATGAACTGCCACTGTTACCTCAGTCACAAGTTTCGGGACTCACCTAGCTAGCATCATCCCCATCTCAGGTCTCGTCCTCTAACTCTGCTTCATCTCCATCCATCTCACCAAAGCTCCAAATCTCATTAATCGCTTGGCTCTAGCACGACTTGCGAGGTTTGAGAGCAATTGGTAAAGCTACAGGCGACTCCTAGCACGATACTTGAACAATCTTCGATATGGACGGGTTTGTTACCACTTCCTTAAACTCTGTTCTCTTATAATTATCCATCCCCTAACCCAGCTTTCCCCACCTTTTCAGCGATGCTACCCCTGCACATAAGCTTGGCACTCGGAGCTCTTGCCTCACACAACTTCCCCTCCTCCCTTGATATCATGTGTTCCAAATATATGCCCACACCATCAATTGCCTGCAGTATACATAGCCAGCCTTCCCCCACTCACCCCTAGCCTGGCATCGTTTCACTAACACTCACCTTTGGTGAAGCTGCGGTCATTCTCACCAACCGACGAACCCCCTTCAAAGCATCCTCTCTGTAGCATCAGCAGCAATGGGAGGTGGTCAGGTTCTACCCGAGTCTTCCGGCTATCCTAAACTTAACTTCGAGCCCAAAGGCCAGCAAATTCGTTCAATCTATCAGGACAGAATTAAGCAGTTCACTGCACATGGCCAGTATGAGAGCCAGAACCTCCGCTCAATGTGGAACTTTGATACCGAGTCCTCTGAGGATTATGTGAAGCTTGAGAGCTACTCGGTTCCCGATCTTGCGAGGCCTCTTTTTAAAGAAGCTATCAAAGGTTTTATTCCTTGAATCTGTCGCGTGTAATAAGAGGCTCACACAAAGCAATCTTTAGCTACTTTCAAACCCACCTGTAAGGGGAAAAGCTTTGGCCCATCTTGGTCCACACATTGGTTCAAGATCAAGATCAAAATTCCCTCCAGACTCTACAAATACGATCGTCTTGAATTTCACTGGGATTCCAATTGTGAAGGACTACTCTACACCGAAGACGGAGAGCCCGTCCAAGGTCTCACCGGGGGCGGTGAACGTGTCTCTTGGTTACTTTCCGAATCCTGGAGAGACGAGAAGGAACACCTATTTTATGTCGAGATTGGGTGCAATGGAATGTTCGGAAATCCGATGGGAGGAGATACGATCCAGCCGCCTGATATGAACCGCTAGTATAACTTCCGAGAATATCCTAACTGTATGGAATTCTTACTAATCATACGACCCCGCAGCTTCCAATTAACAAAAGCCGATATTGTAGCGCCTAACGTAGAGGCTCAGGCACTTTATATTGATTACTGGATCCTTGGGGACGCAGGCCGTGAATTTTCTGGAGAATCTTGGGTTCGCTCCCCGGTTTATCTTGGGTTCAAGCACATCTAATAGATCTTGTAGGAATCGCATACAGCAACTCAAATTGCGAACGAAATCGTGAATACATTCGTTCCGGGCTGTCAGGACTCTATCACAAAGTGTCGTAAGATTGCTGCACGATATATCGGAGACAAGGTCGATTCGGCAAAGGTTTACGATACCGACACCGATCCGTTGGTCTTTGCTACAGGGCATTGCCATATCGATACTTGCTGGCTCTGGCCTTTTGATGAAACGAAACGTACGGATGAATCTTCGATTATCATATTAGCACTAACCTGGTGGGGGAGACAGGTAAGGTAGCTCGTTCGTGGGCTTCACAATGCAACTTGATGGACGAGTATCCCGAGCACCGCTTCACATGCTCTTCGGCTCAGCAGTATAAATGGCTTGAGATGTACTATCCAAAGCTTTTTGCGAGGGTTCGTGACAACGTCAAAAAGGGAAAATTTCAATACATTGGTGGAAGCTGGGTAGAGCATGATACGAATTTACCTGGAGGAGAGAGCTTGGTAAGGCAGTTCATCCTGGGGCAACGCTATTTCCAAAGCAGATTTGGGGAGAGATGCACCACATTTTGGCTACCTGGTAAGGCGGATCTCTACAGCATGTGCGTACAAAAGCTTATCAGAGACCAGATACGTTCGGTTATAGTTCACAGCTACCTCAGCTATGTAGACTGGCGGGAATGACGAGATTCATGACCCAGAAATTATCATGGAACAATATCAACAAGTTTCCACACACCACATTTAACTGGATTGCCCTCGATGGATCTCAAGTTCTATGCCATATGCCTCCCAGTGAAACGTAAGAATGTCCCTTCGATTTAAATTGACTAGGGTTAACAGCAGGTCATAGATACACTGCACAAGCACATTTCGGGGATGTCAAACGCTCCATCACACAGCACAAATCTATGGACAATGATGCAACATCACTTCTTGTCTTTGGTCATGGTGATGGCGGTGGTGGCCCCACAGCCGAGCATATAGAAAAGCTCCGCCGTTGTCGTGGAATCAGCGACACAGTTGGCTTGCTGCCCCGCGTAAAGATGGGTGACTCTGTCGATGATTTCTTTTCCCGTCTGGAGAAGAAGGGCTCTAAGAACTTTGCTACCTGGTACGGGGAGCTCTATTTCGAACTTCACAGAGGAACCTATACAACTCAAAGTAACAATAAAAAGAACAACAGACGTTCAGAGATATTAATGAGGAGTTTGGAGATGCTAGCTACTTATGCAAGCTTAAAGTCAGGGGATTACAAGTATCCCAAGAAGCATATCGACGACCTATGGGAGATCATCTGCCTGTAAGCTTTTTACCTAGATATTCTGGTGGTATTTCGTTAACAAAACCTTTAGGTGCCAATTCCATGACTGTCTACCAGGATCTTGCATCGAGATGTGCTATCGGGATTCTGACAAGGTATCCACCCGTTATATTTCTTGATTTTCTACAATTCTAACATTCTAGAAAAGCTCTATGCCGAAGTTTTTGAGAGAGGGCACAAGCTTCTTGAAGAAGCGGCAGAGGCATTGGGAGTCAAGAGTGCGGGGGGACCTGATACTGAGCTCGTTGGAATTAATACTCTGCAATGGCCTCGGACAGAGCTTGTCAAGTTACCTAAGGAAGCCCTGAAATATGCTAGCCAGGCATGTGCGGGTGGGACCGAGGGTGGTTATGCCTTCTTGACTTCGACTGACTCAAGCTTGGCTACTGTTCAAAATATCGATGCTGCGTCTCCTACGGTTTCAGGTAAGGACCTCAGATTGATATACATTGTGATTTGGAATTAATATTAAGCGTCTAGTTGCCGAAATCTCCAAGGATGTGTTTGTGCTTGAGAATGATTGTCTCAAGGTGAAAATTGAAGGAGGCGCCATCACGAGTCTGATCGACCGTGCCAGTGGACGTGAAATTGTCGCTGAAGGCAAGAAAGCTAACCAACTTGTTATCATGGATGATAAACCACTTTACTGGCAGGCGTGGGATGTAAGAATTGACTATATATGCCTGAGCCTGAATCTGCGCTCACATATTGTAGGTCGAAGTTTACCACCTCGAGACCCGCCAAGTACTTCCCCCGGGCCACGTTAAAGTCCTTGAGACCGGGCCGTTAAAGGCGAGTGTTCTTGTCGAGACCAAGATCAGTAAACACAGCTGGATTAAGACAACGATAAGTCTTCAAGCTGCTGTCGGCGGAGCAGGAACTTACGTTGAGTTTGACAACGAAATTGAGTGGCAAGAGGACAAGAAGTTCCTGAAGGTCGAATTCCCAGTTGATGTACACAATACCGAGGTAAGCTATAAACCTCCAATTTACCCCGCTGCAAAACATACTAAGGTTTACAGGCTTCATATGAAACTCAATATGGAATTGTGAGACGGCCAACACATTATAACACAACGTGGGATATGGCAAAGTTCGAAGTTTGCTGCCACAAATGGGCCGATTTATCTGAACATGGCTTTGGTGTTTCTATTCTCAACGACTGCAAGTATGTAATCCCAAGTGTGACCAAACATGAGAACCAGGCTGACAAACGCATCAGATACGGCTTTGCAACCGTCGGTAATGTGATGAGATTGAGCTTAATCAGGTAAGTGGCCCGAACTCGCCTGCGGGAACTGCCCTAACATTGAACAGAGCACCCAAGGCACCAGATGCACACGCCGACATGGGCCGCCACACATTCCGCTACGCTATTCTCCCCCATCAGGGTGTTGTTGGTGAGACAACGGTCCGTACAGCAGCCGAATTCAATAACCCCATATGCCCAGGTCATATGGCTTCCTCCCATGCTGTAGCCGCGCAGAAGTCGCTAGGTACCCTGAGCCTATCCGGCTCACCAGCTATCATACTAGACCATATTAAGCGCGGCGAGGATGACGAAGACATTTCCACCGGTGGTTTGCCAACAAGGAAGGGAAAGAGTGTCATTCTCCGATTCTATGATAGCTTGGGCGGAAGAGCCAGCACTCGTATCACCACGTATGCACAACCTCATCCTACAATTGATTGCGCCGTACTAATCATCCCCAAACCCTTAGTGAATTGCCGGTAAAATGCGCATACAAGACAAATCTTCTTGAAGACGACCTGGAGGAGGTAGAGATCGAGCATAATGAGGAAGGCGGTAAAAAGGTGTCGAGTATCAATATTTCTCTGAGACCTTTTGAAGTTGCAACCTATCGTCTACAATTTTAAGGAAGGGGGAAGGTTTGCTCGGTTTGATTACAAGTTATTTCCCATGGCCTTGAAGGTCACATGTCATGTTTGTACTGAGTATGTATAAGTTACATATATATCTTGCTTAGCCAACGGAAGGTTATGAATTGAAATGAGCCTTATTGCATGGTTTAACTCACACGAAAGCCCATTGCCGCATGTTCCCAAGAATATGCCTCTTCATCATCTGCCGTCTCACAAGCACAAGCCTTAGCTGTGTGTACAAAATCACTCGAATTGCACAGAGTCATGTCCCACTCGTATGGGCAAGTATGTGTGTGTGTCCTAAAAACCATAGGCCATAATCACATGTCAGGTACCAAGTACGTATTCAAATGGGTACTCTGGGTACATATACGTACCTGCACTTCTGCCATACCAATCGCCCCCTCCCCAAAGCCTCAAGAGTCAACCCACCACCACCTCAAGCCCAAGTCACCAACCCATGCTCACCCACACCTACCCACACCCATCCACCCACCCCCATAGAAACCCCTCACTCCAAAAAGCAAAGCAATCTCTTTTGCTTTTGGCCTTCATTTTCTGCCCTCATGCACAGCAGCGGAAAGCTTAATGGCGCAACAAGCACCACCCCCATCTCAAACGTGTAGATAGCGTGGCCGACATCTCTCGGACGTGCCAGGGTTAGGGTTTGGTTCGACTCATGAGACAGGTGGTTGGAATAAACATTGCGGGGGCAAGCAGGGGTTTGAGTGGACGGGGGAGCGAGAAACATTTTTGTCGGGTGTGCTTGTAGCGTTGCAGGAGTTCAATTGGGATGGGGTTGAAACTGTACGGGGATGTAGTGTCGGAGAAGGTAAGGCATCCGAAAGGGGGGGGGGGGCGGGGTGAGAGAGTATTTGCGGAGAGGGGGTAATTATTGGGTAATTTGGTAAGCCTTGGGGAAGATTTTTGGGTACGGCGAACATTGTTGGTGGGATGCTGGGTTTGGTTGGTTGATTGGTATTCCTTTACTCTGGTATGATCAGGATCATGGGGCGCGGGCGTGGCTATGATTACTCGTAGATCTAGGGTATATAGATAATCGATTATGATCATGATCATGATTATGAATGTAGATGAATAGATAATCGGTTATCATCTTGCTTACTCTACACTTCCAAATGTAGATCCCTCTAGCTAGATCAATGATATCGATAACCACAAATCTTGTCACTGAGGCGGGATCAGTTACATTCCCTGATATACTCTACCATCACCCGCGCCATAACCCCCTTGTCAACTTACATCATAGCTTACGCCCAGCCTCGCCGTTCATGCATTTCTATCATTTCCCATCATCACCATCCCACCTATCTACTCCAACGTCCCCCCGGAAGAAATGGCTATTCTCCGCCCCCTAAAAAAAAACAGGGCCTCAGTAAAATACTGGAGTATATTACAGAATCGACTTCGGCAGAAACAATGACGAAACAATCGCCCCACAGCATCACAAATGCGCCTGACAGTGCACCGGGGGGGGCAGCGCAGCGCGCGCGCGGGGTAAAAAGGAAACCTATCTACTTGCGGCCCATGGCCAGTGGGAATCTCGGGCAGTGATTATTAATGTCAAAAACAGGACTGCAGAACAGACGGGTTGGAGGAAATTCCGAGTAGAGTATATGGATTTGTTATATAGTTCTGCACATAATGTAATGTGCATGCGTGCGAGGAGCAGCAGGGGTGCCAGTTCCTTTCTCCTAGATCTAACGGGGGGAATGGCCACTGCACTGGTTGGTGCCCTAGTGCGCTGCCCGGTTTGAACTTTTCTGGTCAATATCAACTCAATGTCAAGGTTTTCAGATGCAGGCCGGACCACCCACCCTACAACAACGACTATCAACGATTCTAGAAACATCTAAACCCGCCAAATCTAGACAGAAAACAAGAATACTCTCTCTTCTCCTCCCCTGGGAGCGATTCCGGTTTGCCTCGAGTGAGACCACATGTCGGGCCACAGAACGGTGGGTTTAAAAATACATCCCTCTGCATTGGGTATTTGTTTCATGTCTGTATGTGCTGGGATACATGATCATGTAGAGTACATGATGGTGGACGATAGACGAACTCTTTGTGCAGATCGATCCAGTCTGGCTTGGAGGGGTGAGGTCAATGCTCACTTTTGGTTCCCAACGTCCCGAATAAACCTAACCCTAACCCAGGCCATAAGTTGTTACTATTGTGGACATCCACCACATCACTCCTCCAGACAGCGCGAATACCACCACCTCCGTTTCACACCTACACAACCACCCCCCACTTTGTACCTACCATCCATCCGGCAGTTCGAACCCACGCCCAAAGAGAAGTACCGCCTTTCCTGCCACTCCCGAGGTATCGAGTATCAGCCTCACCGCACCTCCACCGGCGGTGGAACACGTAGTCAGTGCCCTGCCTGGGAAAGGCTTGGCTACCATTCTTTTTTTCTTGCTCTTTCCTTCCTTTTTCATTACTTGTGTTCTACATAGATCGGGGACTAGCTAGGGGAGAAGGGAGATTCAGAGTATCAAGTAGTCTTGGAAGGGAAAGTGAAGGGGGAAGGGGGTGTCTTTGGTTCTGGCTGGTATGTATGTATGTCGTGAAGATTCTGCCTTCACCAGCTAGCTACCCTACAGTAGGTATTTGAGTAGGCCTGTGACATGACGCGCACCCCTAACTTCAAGTAGGGATGAAGATGGGGGGTGGTGATGGTAGAGTAGTGATGATGGGGGTGGTGCGTGCGGAGAGCTTAATTCCCATTCACCATTGCATCGGTGAAGAACCCTGCCCGCTACTCTGCTCTAGCTCGGTAGCTAGAGAAGGTACATGCTCTAGTTCGGCAGGCCGGAGATGTCGATGTGGTTTTTAAAGGGAAGAAGAACTGCAGAGTAAGCAGCGGATGGACTGCATTCGGGAGGCTGCCGATAGTAGATACATAGAAAAGGTGCTCTACATACATACATACTGCACTATCATGAATTTTCTTGTGGGAAGTGAAGTGGTCGTGACCCGTGTCACCAATAGATAGAGCGACCAATAGGAAGGCGAGGAGCGATAGGGCGTGTGCCAAGAGGTGGACGTAAATAGTTAGCGGGGTAGAGTTTGTTTGTAGGTTTGGAAGGATTGAGTTGGAAGTCAGAGGACTGATATCGATGGAGAGGGAAAACAGGTCTTCTTGATACGCGTAGCGCCTGTGATAGTTTTGGGGAACTCTATTCGGGGGTTTGAGGAGGCGAGCTATTGTATGCAATGGTACTATTTGGTGTTAGGTAGGGCGATCATGAGTATTGTAGATCAGCAACTGACTCTGCTTCTCGGCTTAATTTTTCTCTTCTCGCCTCCAGCCGAAATATCTCTATCCCATTAAGCAGCGGACGCTCGTTCTTCTATTGAGGTATATGGGGCCGCTATTTAATGGACGGATCTGGTGGTGATTATATTATTATGTGTATTTACTTTTCTGGCTATCTGTCTACTTATCTGTTTGTCTCGATTGATCCCGATATGGCATGACCTAGGGCCCCGGGGGGGGGGGGGGGGTAGCGCCTGAAACATGTTCAAGCAGCTTAACCAATCTTCAACGACATGAGATCCCTAAGCGACGTTTCGTTTGCAATCACGACCTGGTTTGCGTTGACGAAAGCGTTCGTTGTCAGCATGTATGGAGGGATGTGTGGATGGATTGGGGGGAGGTATGGACGCTGTGGACGCTGTGGACGCTGCCCAGGACGCAGGCGTGGGCGTGAAGGTTTCGCCGATTGATGTCCGGGATAGGTGGGATCGGAATTCTGGGTGCTGTAGGTGGGATGTCGCATCATCTCTTTCGCTGATTCCCGGAATAACTTTGAGCCCCATTGACTACCATAGCTAGCTAGAGACTCCGAGAGTAGAGCACAATGACTGAGGACTAGAGCAGAGAAGGATAGGGTGATTGTTTAGCAGCACCGTTCCTTCTGGGGGGGGTGTAGAGTATGTACCTACATACGTCCTATTCAGCTCCGTTCCCCATTGTTCAATGGCCTAGCAAGAGCATTGTAATCGTTGTCGTTGTCGTTGTCGTTGTTGTTGGTGGGGCGGAGGAGAGAATCAAAAAGTGAAAGACTGACTTTGTTACATACAGCACACACCTGCAGCCTCCTCGTTCCTCCCTTCCTTCTCCTTCTCCTCCTCCGTCCAGCGGTCAGTTTCACTCACACGGATGGGAGACGTACTTCTTGAATGAACCACATGGAGATTTTTTTCCCCATGTGCGCGCGCACGAAAATCAATTGCTGTAGTTGAAATCTAGAGGGAATTAGTTGATTGTGATTGGTCGGATGCAATTGGTTGGGTTGCACTCAGCTGGGAAGGAATACTCAGAATGGTAGTAGTGGTAGGGATAGTTACATGTAGTAGGGGTACAGTACTCTACCGTAGTAGATCAGTAGAGAAGGGTAGAGTAGGTACAATGCTTGCTCTAATTTCTCTAACTACATGTCCTTTCCCCTACTCTAGTCAGGGCAGGACAGGCAGGTGTCAAACCAATCCAACCAACTGGGCCAATCAGAGAGTCCGTTACAGATGTAGGCAAGCGGTACTCTATCTACTCTGCCAAAGAGGTGAGAAGACAGATGAGTTATGATGTGCCGTGCTGGCAGGCCATGTAGTACTCATGTACTCTTGTAGGCAGAGTATGTCCACCCTACAACCTCACCTACCACTACCACCACCACCACCACCCACCCACAACCATCACCCCCCCCTTCCCTTCTGATGCTACAATCGGTCCTGGCCTTTGCTTTTTTTCTGCCCTTTTTTGCGCAGTACCGGTTGGGGTGACGTGTGTCCAATCCGGATATGGTGCTGAAGTTTGTGGTCTTATATAAGCACTGGACGCCCTCCATCCACCCCCCGCCCCTCCTTCCTGCTCTCACTCCCCTCCACCCATTATTGGAATTATTACTCATATCGAATTGTTATATTTGTGACCTAGGTTTCTACAAAATTCTTACCTACCTACTACCCTACATATATCTCACCTACAACATCCTCATCATTTCACTTCTACTGCTAGATATTCTCTGCAGCAAATATACATCATTCATACTCAATATAAAGTCTAGACGCTAGTTAGAATGCGCAGCTCAACACCTTCATCATCATCATCATCATATTACAAACCCCACGACTTTTACACAACATTCAACAGCATTCGATCGTCATCCACACCTTCTCTGCGCCCCAGCTTACGGCGTCGAAAACCATACAGTGCACCCCCACACCCCCGGCGCGATTCCTTCGCAAGCAAGCGCTCCTACACCACTCACACTCTCTCCTCCTCTACATCTACCCGCTCTAAAACGTCCTCCCTCCGCTCCCTCTTCTCCTCCTCCTCCTGCTCCACAACAAGTTCCTCTCGCCGCAAGAAGATCATCTCAAAGATGAAGCAACCCTTCGAGACCTCAAAGACCCACAAGTGGCGTGGAACAATGACATTGCAGCGACACAAGAAACCTTCTACGCTGGATTTTCGGTGCATTGGCGAGGAGGAGGCCGAGGGCTCCAGCTGGATGGAGACATTCTCAGAGTTTGCGACCACCCCCGTGGAGAGCGTTTACGGGGAGACGTACGCTGTGAGTTTTGACGGTATGCGCAGCCCAAGTCTTCCCCGGTTTGGTTGTGTGGGGTGTGTACTGATGGGGTGTGCGTGAGTAGAGGCGCCAAAGATTCGATGGGAGCAGCCGAGGATTCATGATGATTGGGATAATTGGTTTGCGGGTATCTGCTAGATACTCGACAATTCTACAAACCTTCACGACTTCTACCAGAATACTTTTTCTTTTTTATTGTTTATTGTTATTCTATATGTTTTGTGTTTTTTGTTTTTATTTGCTTTGTAAACCGGAGTTACACATACGCACCACCATGGCAGTCAGGATCTCGTTTGTTCGAACTGGTTAGGATACGTTACACGATTAGTTTTTTTATTTACTTTTCTTCCTAGCATGCATTATTTTTTCCAGTTCTTTTTTATTTTATTTTACGCAACCGGGGGCTAGCGGCGTTTATTGTTTTTTTTGGTCTTTATTTTACTCTGCACACGGGTTAATGATTGTCCTTTTTTTTTATTATTATTGTTTTACGAGTATGGAAGATCGATAGTAGTGGTAATTGCATTTTTTCTTGTTTTTGTTTCTTTCTCTCTTTTCTCTTTGTATTACTACTTGAAGGGCAGGGTCTGCTTTGTATTATTATTTTTTTCACGTCTGTTTTTTTTTTTCTCTCTCTCAACTTTCTGGTTCTTGTTCGGTCTCGGGCTTTTTGGCGAAATTGATGATCGAGATGGCCTGTTATGATATCTTAATACGTTATGTTATAACTACGCCTCCAAGCCTCCACGATCTGACATTCCTTTTTTTCCCACTGCCCTTACTAGTATTGTACCTCGCTACCGGCCACTAGTACAAATGTGCCCATCTACAATACATCATTCGCGGGGTACCCAGCCCGCCATCGACAGTAGAGTACATAAGTAGTATCTCCATCTCCCATGGAGATGTCAACACCGGTAACGACCGCTGTGCAACTTGCGCAAAGAAAGAAAAAAAAAGGGGGGGGAGGTCATGTCAAATCATGTCATGCTGGGCAGGTAGAGCTTTTTTCTTTTCTGGTTATGTATAGTAACCCAAATCTCCTTTTGCTGCTTGTTGCTTTTGAGAGCCGGCTTGGGGCTGGTCTTTGAGTACATAATCTACCTCCTCTGGGTACTTTGATCAATTGAGGACCTGGGCTGTAATCATGTACTACATGATCGGGGGATGAGGGGGCTAGAGCGGTATTATTACTGTCTACCGTTATGTATCCACCATAGGCTAGGAGAGAATTCTAGTATGTACTATCAATAGATCTCGAGAATCTAGAGTGTGCCGACTCCCATAGCATTAACATTAAGCTGCACTAGAAATATTGCATATTGGCAGGCTTTTAAACAGTAGTCATAAATTCTCCGCTCTCCCCGCAATTGCGCTCATTCAACCATGACTAAACTAGAGCAAAGGCGCGTGAGAGCAGCATCCCGCATCATCGGGATTCTCGCCCTTGAAATCCGGGCTGCGTTGCGCCATGCAGGTCTTAATGGCCGAGATATACATACCGTTACACAGGCCGCCGCCCAAGTAGGTAAAAGCGGTGGTTGTGGTAGAGGAGCCATATCGAATGAGAAGCTTCAAGAAATGGCGGGTATGCTTTGATAGCGGGATTGAGGAGGATGAGGAGTAGGATGGGGGGTGGAGGAGATGGGTGGTTGCATTCGCATGCATAGCACGCGGGAAACATCCTCATGGCATCAACACAGGCTAGGGAATGAAATGTGGTATACGTTATCATTTCACCTGCCCTACGGCCCTACATACCTAGTAGTAGCTATGGAACCACAACCTTCACTCCACACTCCCCCTCCATCCCTCTGTACTCACGCACACACGCCGGTGCTTCCTGGTTCAAGAACAAAGTCTAATACCACAACCAGAGGATTTACACTTTTTCCACCATCCACCTCCCCCTTCTACAGCTGGCTGTTGTGCTTGGTCCGGCGCCGGCCCGTGTGCGTGCCACGGAAAGGGTAAAAAAAAATTGAGAGCGAAAAAAAAATGTTTCAGACGATTGTTATGTTTTTTTTTCCTGCCCTCCTTTTTTTTTCTTTATAACATTTATGTTAAATGTACGTATGTATGTATGTGTATCTATCTACCTATTAGGAAGAAATCAAGGAAAGGAAAGGGAGGACTCTCGCCTGAGGGCGCGTGCGGTTACCCGTGCGGTGAGGGAGGATTTTCACGATTGCTGATCGCCCGGAAAGTGGTGTTTGGTTTATGAGTGTTATATCTCCTTAATTCCTCCTTTCTTTTTGCTCTGCAGGGCGTGAGGAGGGGGAAGATGAAGGGAGAGGGGGAGAGGGAGAGGGGGAGGGTGAATGACCAGTACATTATGTGTATTTGCATATGTACGTACTTGGGGTAACCTGGGTACCGTGTAGTGTATACTCGCGACCAGCAACAAGAACCCGAATATGCAGCTGCAAGTCTTTGGTGTATTTTTGACTTCTACTCCAATGGAAATTGCAGATTAGGACGTGCATTTTCGGGTTCTTGTTGCTGGTCGCGAGTACGTATGTATATGTATGTATACATACTAGGACTCACAATTTTACCGTATTGAACGCCATGTCATGCAGAGGGACGTAGGGCTACATCTTCCCTCTTCTCCCCTCTCTCTGTGATTTCGTCCCTGAGACACCACCTATCAACACGCTGCCAATTGCTCGCAAGAGAAAGAAAAGGGAAAAACATCAGCCGATGTTGAAACGCTATTTCCGAGAGACGTGCACAGCGAACCTCCACTGTTGTGTACGGGAAAAGATTTTTTTCCTTCTATCCCCTCTTCTTTTTCAGAATTTCAATTGAATCATACGATAAGATTGCAACCCTTTTTCTTTTCTTTTCTTTTCTTTTCTTTTCTTTTCTTGTTCTTGTTCTTGTTCTTGTTCTTGTTGCTCAACGCACGTTAGTTAGTTAGTTTAGGGGGGAGGGGGGGTCCGGAGATATGTATGTAGCGGTTTTTTTCTTTTCTTTTTGCTAACAGTTTAGCGATCAATGATCGGTTGATCACTTTTAATTCCTTTTTTTTTTGCCTCGAGCTCTGGCCTGCCTGTCCTTGGCGTCCCTCCATCCCACTCCATCCCACTCACGCTCCGGTTGCGATAAAACTTCCAGCGTTATAATATGCTTTAATATATTCATACTGTATCCCCTATGCATCTCCTACTCGGTTAACCATCTCCGCCCATCGCACCCAGAACCAGCATCTCTTCTAGCTCGGTAAATATAAATGCAATGGGATAACTAACCAAGTATACCTCCTCGATCACATCTGATCATTCGGATGACAGGCCGAGCGAGCCAGACCACCATCTCAACACCTCCCACTCCCAGTCCCACTCCTACTCCCACTCCCACTCCCACTCCCACTCCATGCATCACGGGAAGGAAGGAAACGAGCAGTTCACCCGGGCCGGTACAGGTCCGATCTCAGTACGTTGGTTGGTTTGGTCGCGCGCGGGCCGACATACGTATGCACAGCACTATATTCTTTCGCAGGCAGCCTTCCCTTCCCCAGGGAGATGGATGGAATAGGAATCTGTGATCCGGGGATGGAGTGATTGGTACATACACACACCCCACCACACAAATATGGGGACTGTACTGTGGACGGCGAATACAATTGATTGATTGCCTTACAACCGGGGATTGTTTGGTGTATGTATAGTGGACGCCAGATATTGATTGTATGTTAGATTGGTATATACGTTGGTGGAGAAGATGATCCCATGGTGTTTGTATATGGGGGTCGGGGTTGGGGGGTGGGCAGTCATTAATTGTGCGTACCTGCTGAAGGGAGGATCTCGGGCAATTGGTTTCCTTTAATTGTCGCCGAAACACCCTCTTCATGTGTTGATACTAATTCAGAACCCCCTCCAATATCAAGCAATTTATCAATTATAGATAAAGATATCAGTTAACGCACTAGTAAGCTCTCGATCTCGGCCTTACGGAGATAATATTTGATGTAAACATTCACATTCACATTCCTCTGATTAGATTGGAGGATGACTCCTCCGTTGTTTCTTAATTTAGTACAGTGGTACATGTTAGCATCACGAGATTCTCTCAGAGAAATATGTCCCTACATAAGCCCCGTGCCCAGCATAGCACAGCCCACACGTGCCCTTTTCCCTCCCAGTGTGCCCATAATCCAACAAAGTCTCAATACAAGTATTGTCATGTGATCAGGAACTCCTCAAGCTTTGAAATCACGGATTTTAGTTTTGTGAGCTCTACGAGCTAACTTTATTCCGAGACCGCATCTCGTGGCGTTGCATCTTGTTTGGGCTGGCATTACAAGCACCCTCCCGGCCAATGATCGGGCCGTCTGGTTTTCGCTTGTCCAAAATAACCCTAACCCTCGAGTGCTCATTTTTAAGTTATTACAATAGCTATCGCAGGCTCTAATAGCGAATAACTCTAATAACTCTAACAGTTCTAGTTGCAATATGAAAAGCATGGAACGCATTAGATCAACCGTGGGTTAACATAATCGTAAACAAACCTGAATTAATCACCAACTAATCGTACCTGCAGTGACTTGACGCACGCGCAGCTATCCCCAGTATTTTTGACAGCCAGAAGATGAATGTCTATTGTTGAAAAGAACAAATAGCCTAATTATATAGGGAACACAACGCAATTGAAAAACAGAAAAAAGAGCTTCTCAAGCGCTTCCCAGAGCAGCTGGCTCTTTAGCCTCCGAAATACATTCCTCATCACGAGATACATCTGAGCTTAAGTTGTCACTTGAGCTTTGTGTGGTTACATTCAAGCCTCCCTCCCCTAAAGCCTCAGACGGTTCCGTAGTATTGATCTCAGAGCTTCCCGAGGATGGCTCCCTTTCGGTAGTGGCAATATCCCCGGCTGCCTCCCCTGGCCTTGCAGTCGTAGACTGATCAGTAAGGCTTGGGCTCCCCCCTCCGTCTAAAGCACTGTTTGAGCCCATAGATAAGGTCTGTTTTGTAAGGGTATGATTACCAGAAGGTGACCCACCGTCTTCTAAGACTCTGGTTGGCCCGTCTTCTGCAGAGGACCCCCTATCGGCCTCTCCATCCTCTTCGATGTGCCTGGTCTTGCTATCAGGTCTAGCAGTCGACGTCGGGTCACGTGTGATACTCGCTCGCCCAGTTCCGGATATCAGAGCCCTAGCTAACTCAGCCTGAGCTTGGTTAAAATAGGGCGAACGGTGTGTTCTATCCGAATCCACCCAGCTCCCCTTAGAAAGTGTGCCTTCATTACTTGACCCTGGGGTCGTTGCTGGCGATGTATGCTCTTTGGGAGGGTTCGCCACATCATTTTCAAGCCTGGTGATCCCGGCCCTGGTCTCCCCGCTTCCTTCTGCCGCCCCAGATGCCTTTGGTTGCTCGACGTAGTGAGTAGACTTTGCTACCCCGTCATCTTCCACCGCGGCCGGTCCGCTAGATCCCTCCCCATCTTCTCCATCAAGACCTCCCCTCTGCTGCCTGTAATGCTTCTTTCTACGAGCCTTGGCTCTAAGATCCTTTCCTCGATAGTACCCCGGCGCTCCGTCAGTAGGATTGCCGTTATATTCCCATGGGCTCTCACCAGAAAGCTCCGGTGGGCTCGGGCCGACGTTTTCTACTGGGCTCCCGGGGGCTGCCGTGGTTTCGGGGGCTGCTGAATTCCCACTAGGCTGCCCTGCTGGGTTCGGGGCAGGCTGCCCTGTTGGATTTCCGACAGGTTGCCATGCTGGATTTCCGATAGGTTGCCATGCTGGGTTCCAGATAGGCGGCCCCGGCGTTGGGACCTGGAGCTCGAGCTCCTCGAAGATCACCGGAAAGACATCCTCAAACCTCCGCCGCCGACGTATTGAGATACAGCTTCCCATATGTATATTTTTTCGGCTAAGTAAAAAAAGATTTCTGAATATAGCATAACAGTCGAAGGGTAAGAAGGAGGAAGGGAGGAGCAATAGACGACGCAAGGCGGTTAATAAAGCACATTTTACGCCAGTAACAATGTACGTGTCGTTGTCTACTCATCGTTGTGGCCCCTGGCCTGGATGACAGCTCTTGGGCTTCACTTTCGCCAGCTTGGAAAAGATTCAGTGCTGGCATTATAGCCACTGGGTTGAGGACAGCAAGTGATTTATCAATCAATCAATAATGCTAGCTGGTATTGCTTTCCCGAGTGATAACCTATGAACAGGCAGCATATTTATAATATACGCTCCTCTAATCCGACACTGGAACACAGGGGATATTCACAGTTTATTTTAATATTATTTCTCTGATATATATATGCACATCCCGAGTTAGTTTTACAACTCAAGAATACATATTGTTTGTGTTGAATTCTATATGTAAACCTCGACGGGTGTTCGAAACCTACGGAGGTTGAAGTTTACTACTTTACCAGCTTTTGTAACACCACTCAAGTATGTATTCCACTTTCATCTGCATATTTCTTCAAACCTGGATTGCGTACACGAACGAATTATCTGTTGCTCGAGTGATTCGAGTGATAATACATGATGTATGGCTTCTCCATTTACAGAGCACAAGGAAGGAGGTATATATCTATGAACTGAAAACATTCTACTCTACTTTGTTAAGATAGTCGAGAAAGGTTCTGCATGGAGTAGATACACAAGGTTACCAAGATCTAAGAAATTAAGACCCGGGCAAACAAAATCGGTCAAGGTTTTCTCACAACCCGTCTACCAAACCATAGCTTTTATACCCCGTATCCCCCCGTATCCCCGTATCCCAGAGCCTCATATCATCCTAGAGAACGGAAAGAAGAAAAAAATACCAAACCGCCCCCGTTGCTAACGACCTCTATTACCCAGAAAGTGCGGTCGCAAAGAAACGAGACAGAACACAAAGACCGACCGAAAAAACCAATCCCAAGAAAGAAACGACAGGTAAAAACAGCAAAACAAAATGAAAGAACTGAAAGAAAACGATTTAGACGGAGCCACTAGCCATCATCTTCTTCCTAAGATGGTTCTTGTATTGTCCGATGGTACCATCCCATTTCCTGATGGTCCTGTTCTCGCACACAAGAATATCCTTGGCAATTTTATCGAGCAATCTATTTCAACGCAAAAATTATTAGTCACCATAGGTATATTTGGTTTTTCTGAAAGTAGATAGAGCATACCTGAAATCGTGAGAAACGACAACGACACCTCCGTCGAAGGCGTTGATAGCATCCGCCAAACTGTCAATTGTTGGAATATCCAAACCGTTGGTAGGCTCGTCAAGAAGCAACATGTTCGGGGACTCAATGGCAAGCAAGGCGAAGACAATTCTGGACTTTTGTCCTTCCGACAAGGTTCCAATCAAAGCGGTCTGAGAGTCTCCACTGAGACCATACTTACCGAGTTGTTGTCTCCAGTACTGGTAATCTTGACTCTTCTCCCTGTACTTTTCCCTAACAAAGTCCAGAGCAGACTTGGTCAAATCAAGCTGTTCCGCGGAATGCTGCGAGTACATTCCCAATTTCAAATGAGTATGTCTGCTAACACTTCCCTGGGTCGGCTGAAGCTTTCCGGTCATGATTCTGAGCAAAGTAGATTTTCCAACACCATTGGGTCCGACAAGAGCAACACGCGAGTCCATATCAACACCCAGATCAAGGTTTTCGTAGAGGTAATCTTTAGCGTCGCCGCTGTAGGAGAAGGATACATCGTCGAAAGAAAGAACGGGAGGAGGAAGCTTCTCAACCTCGGCAAAGCGGAAGGAGAATACACGGTCAGGAGCAACCTTCTCAATGAGGCCATCTGCCTCCATCTTGTCAAGAATCTTTTGCCTAGATTTGGCTTGACGAACCAAATTGGCATATGTACCAGCCTAGAAACCATATAAGCATTTCGAGTAGAACAAGAATAAAGATTTTCTTACGGAGGCTATGAACTTCTTGATGTGAGCAATCTCATCTTGTTGCTTGGTGTATTGCTTCATTTGGTTGGCCTCCTGTTCGGTTCTTGTCTTGATGTAACTATAAACAGCCTTAGTTTAGAACTATCTTTTCTCAGCTGGGTATGAAGAACGTACGTGTCATAATTACCACCGTAGTAGATGAGCTTCCTCATTCTCATGTCAATCATGTTTGTGCAAACACCGTTCAAGAAATCCATAGAGTGCGAGACTAGTACAAGTGTACGATCCCACTTTTTCAAGTACTCTTCAAGCCACACACAGGCCTCAAGATCTAAATGGGCAGTCGGGTCATCGAGAAGCAAAAGTGATGGCTTGACGAAGAGAGCCTTGGCCAATGCGACACGCATACGCCAACCTCCGGACATGTCCTTGGTGTGCTTCTTGATGGTGACAGGGTTGAATCCAAGACCAGTCAAGATAAGAGAGGCACGAGTTCCGAAGGTTGAAGGGTCCATTCCGTCGATACGCTTAATAGTTTAAATATATTAGCCAGAGGACTCAAAATCATACTTTTTTTTTCTCGCTGAAGGAAAAAAATTCCGGACTAGAAGTCCCCAAAGAATTACATACCTCGTAGAGATCCTCCAAGATGGGACTGTCATGACCTTCGTTCTCCAATACTTCCTCTGCCAATTGTTCGAGTCTCTTCAACTCGTTTTCTGCTTGTTTGACCACGTATTCCAAGGCACCCAAGGAGGTTTTCTCGGCTGGCTCGTTGAGCAAATAGATATCGATGTGTTCGGGGATCGGGTATTCCCTCTTTGCGATAGCCTTGAGAAGGGTAGATTTTCCACAGCCGTTCTCACCAAGAAGACCATAACGACGACCATAATTGAGTTCAAGAGTAGCATCTTGAATTAAGACCTTTCCATGAAAGACCAACGAAACTGAAGTGACCTTGACGTCACGGGATGCCTCCAGAGAAGCAAGAACACCAGTAGTGACACGGTCTGAGAGACCATGCTCATCTTCCTGTAAGGCGAGCTTTTCAAGTTTGGCTAACTGAGCGGCGTCGGGTCCATCGTCATCGCCGTTGACAGAAGAGGCCTTGGAAGTTGCCTGAGAGGTAGCCTTGGAGCCACCGGGAGTAGCGAGCTTGCTGGCTGCGGTCTTCTTTGGCTTCTCCTCGCCAGCGGCACGCTTTGCGGCGCGCTCTGCCTCACGTTTTGCCTTGGAAGCGGAAACCATTGTGATAAGTTGGGTAAGAGTTGATTGATGATCTGAAAGATCAAGTTATCCCGTCGAAATGAGGGGGGGTAAAGTGAGGGGCAAAGCGGGAGAAAGGTTTAGAAGAGGGAGAAGAAAAAGAGAACTGTCCTCTTATATGTCAGATGCTCTTTTTATTTTTTCTGGACAGTTAAACGATCCGGGGCTTCGGCGGGTCGTCTTTCTGTGTAGAGCTTTTAGAGAAATGGAGGGGTGGAGGGGCAAAAACTCGGTGGAGTGGGTAGGCTAGGTGGGAAATCCTTCTTGGACGGCTGTTTTTTTATGTTTTTTTTTTTTTTTTTTTTACCCTATCCCTTTTCCACCCCCCTTGATCAATGGTGTACCTAAATAGAAGCGTATGTATCCTTTCCAAAACTTTCGCTCTTCATCTTCCAGCTACATCATACATGTATTTCTATGCCCTGCTGAGTTGGCAAATGATCTTATGGAGGGTACATAAAATGTTCAAATACTTCCTTATATAATTGGGTTCACTGCCATACCATATGAAACCTCAACTCATGTTACCTGCTTCTATATTAGGGTAATTTTGTTTCATTTTAAAGAGACTTAGGGCTATCGCTGGCAGCCCTCTGGTGCAGATCTGGGACTGGGAAACCGTAACAGCTTACATACATGTGAGTTATCCGCGCCTTGGCCCGATTGGAGTTCGCCTCAAAATGCAGACTCGAGAGGCGAGAAACCTTAACACAGAAGCCTTTTAGAGAGTTTCATCAGGTTAGAGGTCGCACTGTATTTTTCCCTGCCATCAAAAATGTAGAGGGCTTCTCGTACTACTACTGGGACTCCCCGGTATGACGTAGATAGAGTACACACTTACGTTAGTCATCATTGTTTTCAGCCTCCTCATTGGCGCGTGATCGAAGATCACCGGCAAAGAAGAGGAGATCCCCTCTTTTGCAATCCAAACGGTTCATCTCACTGCGTACTCATCCCGTCTTCAAATCTCAAATTTTCTGTTAGCTCAAATACCACAACTAGAGATAATGGATCACCCTACTCTAGACTGGTGGCAGGAGATGGTGAGGAAACGGGAGGAAGAAGGTGAAACCTCCTCCTTCCTTTCATCCCATCAACTTTCATTCCATCAATCCGTCCCCGCAAAATGTTCAATTATCTCGTGAAAATACGAAGTAAATTCTAAATACTGATTTGGTCCTTGACCAGAACTTGCTTCCTACGTGTTCGCTGACCGCCTCAAGCTCACTTCAATGTCTTTCTCCCAGCACGATAATCACCTTCGTAATGCAGCCCACTACGACAAACTCCTGAAGAACTACGCGCTAGAGCTCTCCAAAGCCAGAGAAATCGCCCCGGAGACACTGGAAGGCATGAAACCACTTGTCCCCAGCTCTCTGGCTTTTGTGTGGCTCTTTTTCGGCTATATGTTGTGGAGCGGAGGAGCATGTGTCAAACTTGGGCTAGGTGGTTAATATTGAGGTTTGTATCCAGGGCTCAGTGAAACCGAGAGACTTTGGGTCTTCGAGATACAGCGTATGGAATGTTACGAAAGTGAAATGGCCATCAGGAGGGCTGGCATTGACACCATCAAAGAATGCCTGGATAGGTACAAGTCAAAGGAGCAGTTCAATGGTAGGCACCAAGTGCCACGCATTCCATGTCCGAAAACCTTTGGACTAACATAATCACTAAAGAATATGCGCTCAAGAAAGTTAGATCCTATCGCGATGCAGCAAAAGTGCTTCGGGAAAAAAGTAACTCGCAGCTCATTCCTTTTTGGGCATCTTCTCTGATCATGATGCATCATTATAATAGAACCCCCAATTTATTCGACAGTCCGCCCTGGTCCAATTACCCGGCTACCTCCGGAACTTCTTCGCATGATTCTCAAAGACTGCTGCGCCGAGCCAACGGTTGCAAAGGCAGCTCGGGTATGTCGCGAATGGCACCAGATTGCAATCCCACTGCTGTACAACTCGGTAGATCTCGGTGAAGGCGTTGAGTTGGAAATGTGGGTGGTTAATGGTAGTGAATACCGTTGGCACAGGGAGGGACGGGAAAAATCAGATGCACGGATAGCTCCCATGTCATTGAGCGTTAGACTATTACACACACTCAGGTGAGCGCCTGTGTGTGCAGTGAAGAACAAAGGCGTCTGCAGTATAACTAACTTGATATTCTATCATCCCTAAAGTACCACTCCATATGTGAGGTATGTACGAAAGTTATCATATCGTGGTCTTTCGCCATCGTCTAAATCATCGCTTGAACGTTGGCCGAATTCCTCTATCCGGGAGTATTATGGTGAAAGTGGGTCCGTAAATAACGCGACACTCGTGAAGCTCCGCATCAAGACGGTAAACCTAATGATCGCGGCAGCAAAAAAGGTTTCTCGGCTACTTGTTCATCTTGAAAACTTAGAACTTCGCGGGAAAACGGATTTTCGGATTTTCGATGCTTTTCTCGGTGTGCTGAAGTGGAGACCTCTGCGGCAGTTGACACTACATGATATGAATGTCAGGGCCTGCCATTTTGACCGTCGGCCATCAAACTATTCTATCACATCACTAACTCTTGATAATGTTGTTTATTATTTTGGGAAAGAGAAACGCCGGCGGCTTGGTGCATCTGAAGCGAACAAGTTATCCAAGGTTCGAGGGACAGAGAAGATATATTCCCTCCTCCGAAAGTGTCCTGAACTCAAAAGTTTATGCATCACGGACTGTGACTTCGACATGGAAAAACTCCTTGAGTGCAGAGCATTCAAACAACCTCAGAAATCTGTGATAAACTTTCCTAATCTTTCCCGTTTCCATGTTTATTCCAGCATGGACCCGCCAACATGGGATTACCAGTTACGCAACCAGGTGCATTGGTTCCTTTCAAGACACCCGGATATCCAGTCTTTATCTTGCAATGCTGGGTTGCTAGGTAAGGGTTGCGAGAGTCCTTGTCAGTATCGATTCAAACTAATTAGTTGCGGTCCTCGCATGTAGCGAGATTATTGCACGGAATGAGCAGTTTTACAAAGAATCCTGAATTCGCGATCATGCCGCAAAATCTTAAAAGATTAGAAATTGATCAATTATTCTCGGGCACAGACACAGACTATAGTTCTGGCTCGCAGGATGGGCAAATTAACATGAAAGAGTCGTTACCGCATGTTTTTGGTATGATGCCGCTACTAGAAGAACTGCAATTCAAAAATTTTCCGTGGGGCCGGAATTACCTGAGAAGATGTTTGCAAGCCCTGCGAAGCAGCCCGAGACTAAGGATCCTTCGAATTTTGGAGCTTTATTGGGAGGTTACACTGCCAATACTGCAGGATTTAGCAAAGTTATCGCCCCTATTGGAGAATATTACTCTTGAATGTGTTGGAATAAAGGTCTTTGACGAAGATCGGGATGACGATTATGAGCGATTTGATATTGTAAGTTAACCTCACAAACTCTTCATGAGCCTTCTCGCTTACCACGTATGGTATGGAACAGAAAAAATTAGCGCAGACATTGTCACCACTTTATAATCTCCGCGAACTTTCCCTCAACTACTCCATCGAACCCACCACCCCCGCTATCTTTGCCGCACTCTCCCCATTCCCCATCGATCCTCGTCTTCGATATTTGTTTCGAGTTTTTGAGGGTTTGCGTGATAACAACCCTAAAGCATTTGAAGAAGTTCGTGACGAATATGTTGTTGTCGTCAGCGATGCTGTGGCCATATTTTCCAAACATTTTGTGAAAATGGATTACCTGAACCTTGCTGTATGGGAAAGTGCACAATTTCTGGATGGAAACGAGCTTTCTTTACTAAGAATCGATGGGGATTGCGATAAAAGACGGACGTGTATAGGCTGGAAGCAGGTGCTGCGGGGTGTAGGGAAGCTGGATGTGAGAATGAATGCTGCTAAGGGAGGAGTTGGGGCTTGCAATTTCGTTGGACGGTGGTGATTTGGCTTTTTTTTATTTACGATTTATGATCCCGGTGGAACACTTAATGGCAATTTGTGTGTACCCTCATTGTTTTAGGTGTTTTGTTTCTCTCAAGCGCTGGATATTTAGGCACTGAGTTAGTACTCTAATTACATGTAACGTCCTCATGTTAGTAATTGTCAAACACGGTACCCTCGCAAACATCTGGATCAATCAGAGTGCTCCCCTCCTTGTCCTGCTGTTGCTGCGAAAAAGAAAACCATTTCAAGGTACGACCGTCGCCTCCACCACTATTGGCCCATCACGAACCACCACCTCACACCCAATCAGCGACTCCTCCATTTAGATAGCATTCATCACATAGTACCATAGAAACCCTGATATAAACATTCGTTTTTGATACCTCACACTCCATATCTACGATCTCACCAAAGTGGAGTGATCACTGCCCCACATCGCATGATCGTATCCATAGCCCGGAACAGCACCCTTGCTCATCGGAATAACGGGTATGCACTTCATTTAAGCATATCCCAACTACAACAGTTAATGTGCACATCCCCAGGTAGAGTGATAAAAAATAACAAAAAAACAGCAAAAAAAATTTTTTTTTAAATAACAGTACTTGAACTCCAGAGAACGAATAAACCAAACAATAATACAAGGATTACTTTTAAAAGCAGTGTGCAAGAGAGATGAACAGAATACCACGGAGAGATGAAAACGAAAGGGATGACAGAGGTTTCTGCCCGAATAACCTTCTTCTTCCTCTCTGCAGATTTTCGAAACTTGCAAATGTAAACCACAACAAAGAGACCTACATAAAAAAGAAATACTCAAACACCTCAAGTTAGACCCCCTAAAATTCTACCATGTCTGATACCTCTTTGACCTTTTCTTAAATATTCTTTGGGTCCCCCAGAACTATTGTCGGTATCTTCAGCACTTGGTGGTGTTATCAAGGTGAGGAAGGCGGGAGGGGGAATTCAAACCGCTCCAGGAGGGTGCTCATTATCCAAGAAGGGACAATTCGGGCGAACACATTTTCCAGCGCGAACACTCTGGCAAGTATGACCCCGATAACACTCCTCATTAATACATCCCTGGCCGAACTCGCAACGAGTCAATCCAACCCTGTTTCTCATTGCCTGAATCTCGATATGGCTCAGTTCATGTTTGTGGGAGAAGAAGCAAGATTCCTTCCAGCACGAGCCAACCAGGTAATAATCGTTACATGGGGGTGGCTGCAGGGTCTTGAGGCGTGCGAGTGCAGCCTGATGATGGACCGGCGGAGCCAATTTCGAATTCTTCGTTGATGAGCCAATGAACAAAGTCTTTGGTTTCACAAAGGCCGGCGCTGCATAATTGTTATTTGATACCGCAACAGTTGCATATGATCCTGTAACTTTTGTAGTGGTATTGGTAGTAGTGACACTGTTGGTAGCAACTTGGACATATGAACCATTGCCCCGCGTAGGGGAGTCAGTAGATCTTGATGATGTTGGCCTTGGTGGGACCTCGAGCTTTTGAGATTCGAAGATGTGAGTGTATTTTGTGCACGGGAACTGGAGTTTCCTGACTTCGCTCGCAAAGGGCGTTCCCTCTATCAAGAGGACTTTCTCAGTATTTCCATCAGAGGAGATGGAGCTCAATGTTCGGGCGTAGCCGTTATCATGAGATGCACCAAGAATAACTTTAACGCAGTTATAGTTGTTCAGATTCCATGTGAGCTCCGCTGTTTAAGGTTAGCTTACAAAAATGCATACTATAGACCGAGGAGGAGGGGGGAGAAAATGAGATTGGGAAGAATGGGACTGTATGTATATACCCCTAACTCGACTATCAACCATCTCCTTCCCATCACCTACATCGATAAAATAAAAATGTTCTTTACACTGAGTAAAGCCAAGGGTAAAATCTTTAAACTGCTTAGGCCCTCAACACGATCTGCGACATAGAGGACTGTAGCCAGTTTGTAAAGATTGGCGAAAACCTTAACGTGAACATCAATCGATTCGTCCGGAAATTCAGACTGGACCTCTTTTGTAATTTCCTGGAGAAGAAGCCTTCCTGCCTCAGTACCACCGGACTTTCCCTGGGATAGAAGATTGTCTTTGAACTGGGGGTATCATGTAATGTGAGCAAGCAATTGAGTACGTGGATTGGCTCGGGATTTACTACGACAGCGCCTGGGGACATACGATCATGCCATCACCGTCTATCAAAACAATTACATATCTATTTTTGCGCTACGTCACCATCAAGGTTAGCTAATAAACGGGAAACGAACGGAGAGCAGTGATGGAGAAAAACGACGAGTAATAAGTGGTGGAGAGAGGGAAGAATCAGCGAAAGACGAACAGATTAATATTCGCCACACGACAGGAAATACTTACAATTCCGTGAAGTTTAGATTGAATCATGTTTAACTCTCTCTGTGTCGCACGACACGATGTTTTCATAGAATCCAAATCCAAAGTCTTCTCATCCACTTCTGCAGCCAGTTTCATATTCTGTCGGACAAGTTCCTTCAACGGTAAAAAAAATATCAGCGATTGGCTTCATACATGCAGCCTACTCCCCACCTTATCGCTTCTCCTGAGCTCAATCGTGTCAATCTCTGAGGGCGGGAAATCTCACTTCAATGAACTCCATAGTTTCAGCTTGTTGGGCTTTCACCCGGTCTAGTCGCTCCATTTCGTATAAATATATAGCAGATATATAGCTAAAATAGCTACAATGACATTTAGTAGGGACTCGGAATAGGTACAAGCGTAGCACTCCCGTGGCCACGACTCCGGACTTACCTTCAATTCTCGGCTACTTTATATCTAGAACAGATTATTAGCTCGTGCTCTTTCCCTTCGTTTATAGAACAGAGAGAGACGGTGTTGTTGGTGTAAAATGAAAAGATGAGAAACAGATGAAGGTGAGGGAAGGAAGAAAATAATAAAGAGAGGTAGGTGCCCAGTCTTTAACGCTGCGGCGGAGGGGAGGAAAATAAACAAGAGGCCAAAACAGCGGAGAACTTGATACATACGCATACGCGCTTATGACACATCACATCACTTTGTATTAAGAACTATGTATGTTTAGCTACATCCAGATGGAGCCATGATAATATCAACGCACCAAGAAACAGTTTTGGAACTCACCAATTTGGCTCATGGCCGTCAATCCTTACGCACAATCAATTATGTGGACCTCTACCAAGGCTGCGGTTGGTTATGTTCTTTGGATAAAGAATGGAGATCTCGAGCTCCCATGCAATGCAGAGTACGTGCTTGAATAGCCATGGTGCAATTTGATATCCAGCCAGTTCGGTAGGCAGAACACAAGGCGGAAAGGAATTGTGCCCACAATGTCTACCTACTTGCTTCCATCTTCGGGCTCGGACACAAAGGTTTCACCGAGTTCACTAGGTACCCATTCGAAAGCGACAGCCTTGCATAAGTTCTCTCATGTCGGTGCATTGATTAATAGGCTAGTTCTTGAATTCTGCGGGGGGTATGATCACCAGGCAGGGAGAGGTGTAACTAGAGCTCGGTTATCGATAACATCGATGGCGCTACAATGTTGTGCTTTGAGGATTTGGTTGGGGGTTTAGTTGAGGCTCTCAGCTCACCGTTGCACAGGGTGCGTTAATATAACTTGGATACGTGATGGTGACAATACTCTAGACCAACCAGGAACTATCTCGATACATGTACTCTAGTTCGTATACATGTATGTACTTTACTCACCGACAAATTTGGAAGGTGACGAATGTACTGTTACTGGTATAGTCATAATGCGGTCATACATTATCACTCGGCTTTAACCACCATACAATACACCCGAGGGCCTACGACTATTAGTACTATCATCAATAATGACTACTGCACCATCATCTCACTCACGAGACTTGTACAGCTTTTCGAGATAAATTCTAAAACGTAATTACGAGCTAGGAAATGGCACTAGAAAACTATCGCCGCTCTTTCGTGTTAAGAAGTAATATCCCTATAGCTAGGCCTCCCGTACAAGCCGAGCGGACTAGCATCCTTCTTTATAAGTATGGTAGATCTTGAAGAAATGGTCCTCATGCGGGAATAGCCCGAGGTGAGGGCGTTTTAACCGTACGCACCGTTACGGGGACCCAGTCTGCATAGCCAGTCGGCCTGAGGACATTGAAGGTTCTAGAACTCGGTGGAAGCTTTTCACCCTCGGGTTCGTGTCAACTGACTGATATGGTACCTCAAATTGCATTATTTCACTTAGAAAGAAATACTGGTGGGTAAACCACTATCCCTTAAACCATCACGTTCCCCCCCCCCCCCCCCCCCAAAAAAAAAAAAAAAAAAAAAAAAACCGAGATCTAGGCCTATAAAATTATTTAGAGGGTAGTAACGGCCCAAGTAGGTCAAGACCGAGTTTACATAAACACACTGGCAAATTCCGAGGGCTACTATGAAAGGCCCCATAAAAAGGGGTTATGATATTATACCTATCTACTTGTAAAAGCAGCAGCCTAAGAAGACACTCGAAAAAAGAAAGGGAAAAAAAAACAGAGGAAAAAAAAAACAGCATAGATTCGTTTCAAATACTGATCTGGCTAACCTAGACAAGCTTAGAAGTAGGTTGTGCAAAAAGGAGATGGTGCAGAAAGGGATAAAGGTCGTTTCCTCGTTTTGAGCTATTACATGTACATCGGACATCTATCCAAAGTATATCTTATATAGGCCTTGAGCCTACCGTATGCTACCGACCGGATCTTCGTTTAAAAAGCCACCCTGTGCACTTTCCACGGCAGCATTAATCTCGACATTTTGTTACTCTCTAGAACCTACATCAAAAACCGATACCCCATATACATAGTGCCAAGCAGACGGATACACACCGCAAAGGGCTGAATGCCGACAACGTTCGAATAGGGAAGGCTAGCGGTAACTCGACCAAGAGGGAAGGCAGATTGAGAAAGTGCCTTCCCATCCTTATCTTTATCACACGCCATCACTCGCAGGCAGCCTACATACATGTGGATAGGTGGTCTCTTTCCCCTCCTTTCCTATTAGTTCCCGAATCAAAGTGATATTCTAATTACATACATGTACCTCCCCAACCAAACCAAGTTCATATCTTCATAAAAAAAGGCTAAAAAACTGTGTTATAGTTATATAAACAACCAGTCAATCCCTCCACTCTCCAACCTTTTTTTCCAATCCCTCCCCTCCCCTCCGCCGCCTTTCTCCTTTTCTCTATCACTATCCTTCCACATTTCCTCCAACAGGTTCCCCGCATTCTTAATATTGAACTGCGGAAGCACACTCCAGATATTCCTCAAGGCGCCTCTAACGAACTCCCTTTGCCCCTCCTCCATGGCCCTGTCCCTGCAAGAAACACCGGCCAGACCGCACCCTTATACAGCACACTACCTGGGGCGATATGCCCAATATGTGCAATCAGTCGATTCGTCATCTCCGTCAATTCGGCCTGCGCCAGCGGTGGTAGCGGCGGCGATAGCACCTGGGCTGCAAAGAGATGTACGGCGCATTTATACGCCGAAACGTGGTGAAAGAGCTCCTGCGGCTTGATCTCGGCGACAGAGAGCTTTGCTTGGAGCTTCATATTGGGCATGCTCGTTTTAAGCCAGTTTGCAGGGTCGAAAGCGTTAATTCGTGTCATGAGCGTTTCTGCAGAGGGGATGAAGTTCGTGTCCGATACGTCTGTAGTGGCAATGGTTGTGATCCCCGCCGCTGACTGTCGAGACTGATTATTGAGCAAGGTGATACACAGGATAATTTGGAGGAGCTCAGCAGGACATCCAAGGAAGGAGTAGTCCTCAGCCTCTTTGAGAGATGTAAAGACCTCTGAGAGAGAGCTTCCCCATGGCTGGTAATCGCTCTCCGGGCCAGAGAATGCCAGACTACGGCCAATGATGTCGATACTGGAATGGTTAGGAAAGGGAGGGGCAAGAAGAAGTGGGGAGGAGAAAGCTTACGCTGCGACGTGGGTTATAAGAACAGAGAGCATGGAAGACATGCCGCCTTTGATGCCTTTCATGCCACCGCTAAGCTGGATCAGCCGTCGAGCGGCGCGGAGGTGGATCTTCCAGGTATTCATTCCCGAGTCTAGGGCTTCGAAAAAGAGGAAGAGTAACATTGCTGCGAGAACAGGCTCGGTCACGATCTTGCCGCCACAGGTTTGCGTCTGCAGGGCATGGGAGAGGTGTTTATATGCCCGGCCCTTATACACCAACGCATGAGTCTCTGGGAAGTTGCAATTGTTACTGTGATGCCGTGCAGCGACTGCCAGGGCTGCATGCAGAAATGGCGGATTCTGAGCAGCCATGGGCAGTAGGTTCCGATATGGATTATCGCCATATCGCTCAAACAAGATAAAATCACGACAGACTCTTTCATCGACTAACAATGGCCATTAGGACATACAATTGCTACACGCACCTTCCACATACGGCATCACCTCCAGGGAGCAGGTGGCAAACTCACAATAGGATAGATAATATCGACCAGTTGCGTCCAGATCCCCAAAGAACGACGGGTTGAAGGGCGACAGTGTGTACTTTACATTTCGCGCCGGCCGCGCAACCAGCGCCTGGAACGAGTTCTCCGAGCCCGTACCATACCCGCCTGGCGAAGCCCCATACGACGTCGTCTCCCATGTCCCCTCACTCCATGAATCCAGCTCCACCACCCTCACAATCTCCTCCTCATCCTCCTCTGACGTGCCCGACACTACCGACCCCGGGCGGCCAACCTCGATTTCTGCAGCAGCCACGCGTGGCTGATCAACAAGCACTATGCTGCGTCGTGGGGTCGGTTTCTGCCTCTCTTTTGATTTTGGTTGCGCCGACGACGACTTTGACTGCGGCTGCCGTTGTGGTTGCTGCTGCTGTGGTGGGGTGGCAGGCACAGGAAATGTCTTGCCCATCATTTTTCCCCTGCTTGCCACCCCTTTGTTCCACACAAGCGGTTTCTTGTAACCCAGACAGTCCAACTGCGTCCGGGCGCATTTCGCACAACCGGGGAGCACGCGATCACACCTGACGCGACGGCGGCGACAGGTGTAGCAGTCCACGGGCGATAAGGCTGTTGGGGCTGTAGTAGGGGGAGAAGGGGGCGTTGTTGCGGCCATCATGATATTGGGGGGGGGGGGGGGGGGTGGGGAATATTGAAATGATGTGCAGGCTAGACGGGGCAGGGAGAAGAAAGAGAAAACCGTTTATTGATGATTCCCTGGGTGGAACTAATGAAGAGTTACACAGATGGAGGTAGCTGGGTAGTTATTTTCACTCTAACCGCACACACACGCGCGCACACACACCCCACTACTGGATTTAAACGGAGGGGAGATCTTAATGGGGAGATATGTCGCGTGGGGATGATGGTGATACCAGCGTACGAAGAGAGTGAGTGCTGCTGACTGAACGGAGAAGAAGCAGAAGAAGCAACAGAGACCCCTTTGCCCCCGTCTAATGTGATCGTGATTCACGTGGAAACGCCTTGATAATGTTCCGATGCATGTACACATGCATGTGGGGTAGCTGGATGTATGTGGAGCGGAATAACGGGTCTGTGGGGAAAAGGATATCAGAAAGATCGCCCCTTATCTTTGAAAAGGTTCGCGATGCAAAGATATGACTGTCGTTGGATTAGACTCAACTCACAGGGTTAGCGGCGTATGTCGTAGTCGGCCCGAACCCCGCATCCGCTGTCTAGTGTTCCAGAAATTTGGCCCAGATGGGAATTCGTGGGGGGATGTCAACTCTTGAACTGTTGGAGACTTGTCTTGCTTGTTGACGACGTGCGCAGATCTGTGAACTGTATCATGTTCTGTAAGGCGGTGGTGAGTCTCTTGACAGGCAACAGGAAATACATTCAGGGTTAATTTCCAAGACTTTGGCTTGCACTAGGGGCGCTTGGCTGTGATTCCATACTGTAAGGGGAGAGGCAAATGTTAAGTAACTGCATTGTACGTGTCTTCTGCGGCGTACACTGGAAGTGTTACATTTAATTGGAATTCCGGATTGGGAACTGATGGAAATGATTTCTTTTTCGTAAACTAGTGCCAACACAGCTGACTCTCACCTTGGGTTGGAATCGCGATTGTCAGTCATATCCAATGGGGTTTTCAACACAATAGACGTCCAACCAATTGTGTTCCACCAACACTGCTATGTTATCTCTACTCTAGCTGGTTGCCTGAATATACGGCTGCCTAAACTCAGTATGTATATACCCCGCCAGCCCACTCTAATATCCCTTCCAAGTTCCAGCCTTTCCACATTTCCCCATACCCAAAACCACCAAAACTCATTAATCCCTCTCCTCAAAATGGCAGAAACAACAGCCTACGATATCCCGATCGACCAGCTCAACACCAACGGGCAAAAACTGCTCGCATACGCGCAGGAGCACCCCGTGCAGTGCGGGCTCATCTCGTGCATTGTTGTCGCTGGTGTCGCGACCATTGTTGTTCCGCTTGTGATGAGCGCTGCTACGAATCCGGCCACTGGTGAGTACTAGTTTGGTTGGATCGTTAAATACATCTGGCATATGGGGGCTATCGTTTGAGGTCATGGCATATATTGCTCCCCGGGTGGAGTTTAGAATTTTCCATTTTGAATTGAGGGAGACACTATGGTCAAGTTGGACCAATAACGGGTCAAATTACCCATAATCTATAATTATACTACCCCGGGCCTAGTCATCTCTCTATCCAGCTAAATAAATCCCCCATACCTCACCCACTAGCTAACATCCCGCCACAGCCCGCGTCGTTGTCGCCGCCGTCAACTCCCAAGCCCGCTCCCACCCCAACACCCCCCTCGCCACCGCCAGCCCCTTCCTCACCACCCTACAAGCCATGACCACCACCGGCACTCTCATAACCCACAGCGGCGCGCTCATCAGCGCCGGCACGCTCGCCGCCGACTGGGCCAAGGGCGTCGACTGGGCGAAAGGCATCGACTGGGCGAAAGGTGCAGACTGGGCTGGCTGGGCGCAGGCCGCGGGGCGGGGCGGCGAGGATCTTGCGCGTGGGGTAGCAGGACTGGGGAAGGAGGCGGATAGGGCGGCGGGGGGCGCTGTGTGGGCTGCTGGCGAGGCGGTGAAGGGTGCGGATTGGGCGGCGGGGGAAGCCGTGAGGAGGGTGGGGAGGGTGGGGAAGTTGTTGAGTCGGTGGTGAGGCGCACGGTGGGCGTGTAACTGGTTGTGGGGACTAATGGGGATCAATGTGTGGGTTGTGGTTGTGGTTGTGATGTGTTTGTAGGTCTTTTCTTGTTGTTCGTCCGGCTAGCTGACATGACTTTGGGGTTTGGTGTAAGTGGCAATGATCGGTTTTTCATGATTATTGAATGGCTGTAGCCAACGCCTACATACGGAGTATAAAATAGATGATTCCCTATAAAATCGCGGCTCAGGACATATATCGGAGGCGACTACATACCCACATGTAGAGGATCCCCAATAAAACTCAGCGAGCGGCTTTCCTCAAATTCCCAGTAATTCTTTAGCTGCTCGTTATACCCATGAAATGATTCCTTCGCGATCGACGAACTAATAAACGCAAATAACTGAAGCATGCCCAATCAACCCTTGTAATCGTGATTATTACATTGATGACTGTTGATAATGATGACTACAAGAAGCAGCAGGGTTTAACCTACAAGTCACCGCTTTCAGCCACGTAGTTCTATCCACTGGAGAGGTGGGGAGGGCTAGCTGGGCGGGTATGTACAGTGGTTAATTAAAGATGAGAGGTATTTGGGGGACCTTTGTGACCTTGAGGTCTTGCTTGGATTTTGGATATTGTAGATACCGCAGTGCCAACAGTTAATATGCTGTTTCCCGGGCTTTTGGAAGAATTAAACAATCTCTACTCACTGTATGTAACATGATGAACCCAGGGTAGTAGTAATATAATCAGTCTTATAGGGCTCGATTGAGCCATATGCCGAAGTGATATTAAACGCTTAGCTGATAACTAACCCGCGTCCGAGGGACACTACAGCGCATCGCTCTCTTGATTAGCCATAACTGGCTCCACGAATAAAAAACCCCAACCAATCGCCTCGATCACAAGCCCAGATAAGCGCCGGCTATCTGCATATACATAACTACAGTATGGCTGCCTGAAATTTTTTATCTGTACTTCTACATATAACACGCGCCCAAACCTTCCTTCCCTTTTCCCAACTCCCAATACCTCAAAGAACAACTTATCATCCTCATTCTGATGCCCGCAATCCCCAATTCCGAAATGGGAGAAACAAAAATCCACAAGATCGCTCTCCACCAGCTGGAGGAGAAAGGGCGAATGCTGATCGAGTATGCCCAGGAGCACCCGATACAGTTCGGCCTCATATCCATCACCATCGTCGCGGGCGTCGCCATAATCACCGTACCTCTTGCTCTAGGATTCAGCTCTACAGGACCTGTAGCCGGTAAGTGATGCCAGAAGTGATACAGGAAGCGAGCTCCAGTCCTATTCATAGATAGCTCTAGCTAGACCCAATGTCCGGCCAGCCCACATTGGACATCACGAACCCCCCCCCCCCCCCCAAACACTCACCATCCCGATATATCCCGATATATCCCGCTAACACACCTGTCCCCTTCTAGGCAGCATCGCAGCAGCATGGCAATCCTCCATCGGCAACGTGGTGGCCAACTCCTTCTTCGCTCTCCTCCAATCCATGGCTATGAGCGGCACCTTCGAGACCATCGGCATCAGCCTCATCGGCGCCGGCGCAGTGGGGGCCTTCGTCGAATGGTCCAAGAGCGTAGACTTGCCCGAGCTGATCGCCGGATGGCTCCGCTTTACGCATTCCATTGGCTTCAACCCCGAGTCGATCGGTTGGTCAGAGGAGGGCGAGAAGCTGGTGCGAAGCGTGAACTGGGAGGGGGCGGCGAACGATGTGGCGGGAAGCGTGGACCGTGCGGTGCAGGAGGCGTTGAAGCATGCGGCGTGGTTGGGGGAGAACGCGCAGACGGTGGATTGGGCGAGGGTGGGGGATGATGCGGTGCGTGGGGCGGGGTTCGTGATGAAAGATGTGGTGCAGGGTGCGGGGTGGGCAGCGGGTGAGGCTGCTCAAAGGCTTGGGATTCTTGCTAGAGCTTTGTTGTAGGGAAGGGGGCCAAGTAAAGATCCATCTGTTAGTATTAAACACCTATATTCGGAGTTTGGGCAGGAATATTGCCACAGAATGGGGCCCTAAACCACATGCAGGCGTGTAATCTTATTAGTGTCGATATCGTACGTCTTAGTTTATGTTTGTTGCTATTTCCGCGCGCTCTGTAGACTGGCCTGACTCTTTTATCGACAAAGAAATTAACCAGTGACATATGTAGCCACATATCGGACAGATGATGACCACACGACAGGCTCGAACAGCTCACCTGTATGGATTTGACATCACCTGTAAAGCCAAATACCCAACACGCGGAACAGGTGTGTATATGCGAGTGATATATCATGACGCGCGCAGATGTGTTTTTGCGTATGTTTCTTATTGTTCGCCCGGCTAGCTGACATGACTCTGGGGTTTGATGTAAGTGGTAATGGTCCGTTTTCATGATTATTAAACGGCTGTAGCCAACGCCCAGGGAGTATAAATTAGAAGATTTCCTACAAATCGCGACTCAGGATATATCTCGGAGTCGACTACATCCTACATGTACTAGTAGAGGGTCCCTAATATAATGGGTCTAATCCCCGGTAGCCCGTTACTTTATTAGCTGTTCGTTATATCCACAAGCCCAGATCAATGCCGGCTACCGCATAACTATGGCCGCCTGAAATTCTTACCTGTACATATAACATGCGCCCAAACCTCCCTTCCTTTTTTCCCCAACTCTCACTATCTCAGCAAACAGCTTTCCACCCCCCCCCCCCCCCAATTGATATATATGCCAGCAACCCCCAATTCCGAAATGGGTGAAGAAACGAAAATCTTCAAGATAGCTCTCGACCAGCTGGAAGAGAAAGGGCGAAAGCTCATCGAGTACGCCCAGGAGCACCCGATAGAGTTCGCTCTCATATCCGTCGCCATCGTCGCCGGCGTCGTCATAATTACCGTACCTCTTGCGCTAGGATTCGGCCCTGCAGGGCCTGTAGCAGGTAAGTGACGGCAAGAAGCGAGTTCCAGTCCCACCCACAGCTCTAGCTAGCTAGCTAGCTAGACCCAATGACCGGCTCACAAACTCCCTCATCCGCCAGCTCCCAACATATCCCCACTAACACACATGTGTCCCTCCCTCTAGGTAGCATAGCAGCAGCATGGCAGTCCTCCATCGGCAACGTAGTCTCCGGCTCCTTCTTCGCGCTCCTCCAGTCCATGGCCATGAGCGGCACCTTCGAGGCCATCGGCATCACCGTCATTAGCGCCGGCGCAGTCGGGGCCTTCGTCGAGTGGTCCAAGAGCGTAGAGCTTCAAGAGATGATCGCCGGGTGGCAACGCTTTACCCAGTCCATGGGCTTCATCCCCGAGTCGGGCGAGTGGTCAAAGGAGCAGTGCGAGAAGCTGGTGCAGAGCGTGGACTGGGAGGGGGAGGCTAACGATGTGGCGGGGAGGGTGGACCACGCGGTGCAGGAGTCGCTGGAGCATGCTACGTGGTTGGGGGAGAATGCGCAGGCGGAGTGTGCAAGGATGGGGGAGGAGGCGGGGTCCGTGATGAATGATGTGGGTCAGGGTGCGGGGCGGGCGGCGGATGACGCGGGGCGGGCGGTAGATGAGGCGGTGCGGGGAGCGCAGTCAGGGATGGATGATGCGGTTCAGGGTGCGGGACGGGCGATGGATGAGGCTGGTCAAGGGATTAAGGCGGCTTTTGGAGGTTTGTTTTAGGAGAGGGGGCCAAGTAGAGATCCATCTGTTAGCATTAAGCACCCATATTCGGGAATATTTCCACAGGAATATCTGCTTCTAAACCAGGCGTTTAATGTTACTAGCGACATATATAGCCACAGACAGACAAGCTTCGATACTTATGATAGCGATAGATGACTACACAATACGGAATAGCTCATCTCCACGGATTTGACATCACCTGAAAAGCCAAATATCCAACACGCGGAACCGGTGTGAACAAGCGAGTGATATACCATGACGCAGAATATTGCGTGGTTGACATACATGTATATATATATACGAGTCTCGAGAAGCGGCACAAGTCCCTCCAAATGTTTACATGACAGTAACGTTGATACAAGTTGCACCGAAAAGTATCGTGCATCCTTGCCATGTGTATGTATATAAGGCATGCCCCAGTTCCAGCTAAGTGTCCATCACCGGTATTGTACTCACTTACAATCAGCGAAATAGCCTATCAAGGTCTGACTAGAGAGCTAAGTATAGATTATGTGATATAAATCTTAATGGAGGGCCAGTGTAGATATAATTGCTTCTCCGTAGTTGAACCTAATTATTCTGAACATGTCTGTATCCCGTTGTGTGGATCGATGGTAGTATAGAGACTTTTGAAGCCCTTTATTTATAGTGAATTTGAACCCCAAATACATGTACCCCAGAGAAACACTTGCGCTGAGATACGTGTATTAAAATACGCACCAGTTAGACCCATATAAATTCCCTATGAATCTCAGGCCTCAGTCTCAGGAACAATCCCGGCCCAACATTGAATACCTTTAATCATGCCACAGGCCTGGCCCAGCAGGCTGAAGCGTGGATTAGCCCCGATAACGCCAGTCCTATCAAAACTTCTGTAATTCATGTCCTGTGGAAGAAAACTTTAGTTAGAAATCAATCGAAAGAATCAAGTTAATATTAATCAAAAGGGTCAGTCTGGGTATATGTACCGTTGGTTACCTAATCCTGCATAGATAGACAGTGGGCTTCCTCTCACGGCCCCAGCGAAAAAAAAGAGGGATAACGCTGGAGGGTCTAAAAGGACCAAAGAAGGGAAAGTAGAAGAAGAAACACAATCTGGTCTGGCCCTGGAAATGAATCCTACATCTGGCCATGACCTGTCCTTTGAAAAGCCTCTTCCTGTGACACAGTAAGTCAGAATTTCAGCCAAAGAAATGATAGGACAGAATGAGGGTACTTACGACCGACCGTTACGAACTATCCCCTAGTCTTTGCAACCCACACCCGAGTTCCCTTCATCTGAATTGTCTAGACCAAGACCTTGCCATCATGACCTAGAGTTTGTATTAGCTATCAAATTTCAATAAAAATCATTACGTTGAAAGAACATGTCCGTCCCCATACCATACTGGCTATGCCCACCACGAATGCAACTATTCTTTATTAAACCGCCAAGCAGACCTGACGGCTTAAGAGAAAGGAAAGGTTTCGCCACGAAAAGAAAAGCCGAGTCCCTATCCGGAGCCATATTATTAGCGCCCTTCAAATAGTGTTTTAGCTACCTAATAGAAGGGTTTAATTGAGAGGGCACCCACAATATATGGGAGTTTTATCCCAACCACCACAGAACTATTGGACCTCTACCGTTTCCATAAACCACGTCACTCACCCAACGAATCACTCATAGTATAGCTGGTGGGGCCTTTGCTGGTGACATTAAGTTATCTCGCTATATATGCTGATATTATGAGTCAATGCATTTCTAAACTAGCAAGCTCGACGGTTCTGACATGAAAAAAAACAAGGTCTAGAAGGGATTGCAACGAAAGAAAAAATTAAGAAGAGGATACTCACAGAAAACGGGGACTACCATGCTATTATTGAAAACACGCCCATATCTCTTTAGGCCTCTAGGCCCGAGCTCACCGTCATCCCACATTACTGGTCCAGACGGAGAACTCGTGATCTAAGAGTACCATGTTTTACTCCCCAGAATTTATCGGCACCGGAAGCCCCTGAAATTTATCGGCGCAGATAGATGGCTGGAAAGGTCCTTATCAATGAGGCTCCTTGAAAAGTGATCTGAAGCCCCCTTTTGCTGTTTTTATGTTTAGCAAAGAAGTACCAGGCTAAATGCAGGACTCTAGGACTAAATATAACAAAAGCTCACAGGAGTTACAGCGAAGGAGAGGAGAGAGATGAAAATAATGTACTCACAGAAGAACGATGCCATTGCAGAAATTGGTGGCTTTCTACTCCTCATCCTAAGTCACCAGCCAGCCACATTACTGGTCGACTGAGCACTTGTGATGCTAAGATTGAGGGTGTTAAGATATCTGTTGATAAAAGATATTTCGCTCCTAGATCCTCTTACTAGGCCCGAGTTCCAGCCAGCCACATTACTAGTCGACTGAGAACTCGTGATGCTAGATTTGAGTACACTGTACACCGCCGAGGAGATGGCAGAGATAAGTAAGAGGTTCATCGAATCGAATGACGGATGAAATAATGTGAGGAGAGACTTTACATTAACGAGGAAAATATGATTCACGTTATTCAACCCGAGAGGTATAAGAAGGAAGAAAGAGTAAAGAGTTGGCCGAGAAGGCAAATGTGACTGCGTAGTCATAGTGGGTGCCAAAGCAAGGGGATAATATGGGCAACGTGATGGGTACGATTAATAGGATGATGAAGAACAAGCAGGAGGAAAAGGCAAAGGAGAGTGATCAGAAGCTAGGGAAATTAGGGAAAGGATGAGTAGGAAGAGGAAGAAGATACCCCGGACCGAGAGATGATATGGAATCTCCAGATAGATGAAAGAAGGAGATGTGGGAGATGTGGGAGAAGAGGGGGAAGCAGGAAAAGGAGGCGAAGGAAGAGAAAAAGAGTAAGCCAAAAGGTACAATCTCTCAGCGACGACGACACAAGCAATCAGTCTTCCTCGGGGTTGGTATTAGTTTACATGTACATGTAGCTATATGTAGGTATATTCTACGCCGAGTATACGGGGATGTATATCTCTGCGTAGCAAACCTTAGGCAGTACCAGAACCAAGTGTTTACGATACTGCGTGCGCAGCTTTAGAAAATGATTGTATAGTACTATATATGTTTGGTCAAGTATTCTTTCATGATACTCTATAATTGTAATGAGAAATCATTGCCGTTAGCATCACTATAATTGGCTCTGGGTTGTCAAGGATAATGGGAGCAACTTTTGTAGACTTGGTACAAAGTGAATTTTTGACATTACGTAGTTTAGTTGTTTGTAGACGATATTAACCATTATCTACTCGCGTCAGGGAAAAAGAACCAGAACATGCAAGTGAGAAAGCAGGGATTATTTGTATGGAGTGGCGCTGAGCTGCCATACAAACTAGGCATTTGCATGTTCTGGTTCTTTACCCTAGACGCGAGTAAATACAACATGAAATCCATTATCTAAATGCAACATGAAATGCTGGATGGAGGTACCAATTCCAGTAAGATTTCATCAAGCTGAGAGTCCCAAACTGGCCCACAGACAACTGCAGAACCACCACCTGCTGATACCATTACACACCGCATGAGGGTGACAATAGCAAGCCTGCAATACCCACGTGTACTCTCACACAGATATATCCTCAGGCACATTTCGAGTTATGTAACAAGACGAATCGTAATCGGCGATTTCGGGACGTTCAGAGCGAGTGCCTTTGTAATTCAATGCTCTGGTAGCGACGCAATTAAGCCCTTAATCTTTATCAAGGGTAGACCGGTCTGGTCCATAGATATTATACTTTCGAGGCTCTCTAGTCAAACACTCAAAGCCATGTGTCAAGATGGTGTCCATAATGTCAATATTGAAGGCCACGGGGTGGTCACTACTACATGAACTACGTATACATATATGTACTCTATATCCCCAATGCCCATACCACAATCCTAGCGTGGAAGAACCCCCATCCTGCTCCCCAATCACGCAATCAAACACTTCGAGTCCAATACGCGAAATACATGTAGGTTCTCAACTTTACATGATGCACTGCCTACCCGTCTCTCTTGGGTTTTCCCCGAGACACCTGGTCCTGGTTGGACACATATGCGCGACATATATAAGCTTCTGTTATGTAAGAGGCAGACCGGAAACTCCCCGCATCCCAACGAGATGCGGAAACCAACCAAACAACCCAACCAACCAATCGTCTCGCACACACCGGTGGTACCAAAGGCAGATCATGAGACCTTGCCAAGACCTGTTGCACCGGATTTCTCCTATTAGTAATTGCCAAGAGTTTGCGATAGATGGTGAGTGATCATCCGTGATTTCCAAGTGCGGATGCTACTGATTGTGCATGCAGCCTTCTGACGGAAAGGAGCGATTGACAACAACTGAAATCGAGCTTCTAGATCATGGCACAGACTCTGGGGTAATGTAGGAGTTAACGTTGAAACTACGGAGGCTAGGTAGCTGCATGTAGTTGGTGCTTATGTGTTCATTAAGTACTACATACCTACATGTACTCTATGTACGAAAGGGGGAGATCTGAGAACCTCTAATACTAAGCATAACTTAACTGCGTGCAGAAATCCTGTCTGTCTCCCCTTCGTGGTGCCTTTGAGTACATGTACTCATCATGAATGTTGGAGTCACCAAGGCACAGAGTCAACTACTAGTCAAGCGAAGTGAAAGGGTTCTTCTTAACTGCAACGCCGCTCGTTTACAGCCAGCTCGATGCCAGGAAAGAGGGAATTTAACGTAACAAATATCAAATATACTGGATGGGCTGTCTCATACCTTCCCAGAAATCAAGGTTGCCTTCCAATCCCCGGTTTTCTGTTTGTCATGGAAACCCAGAACAGGCAACCATTACAACAAAGACAAAGAACCCATCATCACCATTGCCACACCCACAAACGAGGTTATGTAATTGGAAGAAAGTAGAGCTGTATATATATCTCCGCGGAGAGACCTACATACCCCCTTCTACCCTTCTCTCCTAAACCCTCTGTCCTGGTAGTAGGTTGGTACCGGTTGTTAGTAAGGATGTTTGATTGCGAAGATGGGGTTGGCTGTGACGTTTTGGGATGCCGTCACTTAATATCACCCTCGGTCCCACCTTCTCTAGCCCCCCCAGGAACCATAACAACGGCGGCGATCAGAACTTAACAAAAGATGGCAGTCCTTAAACTAGCAGAATCATTGTCCGCCTCTTCATCATCTTCTTCTTCTCATTCAAAAAACAATAATAAAACACAACTCTCGCGGTGGCTCACGTGGAATTATAATTTCGACATTGACAAACATCTCAACCCCTACATTCTCAGTGGTCCTCGTCTCATCCGCCGCTTTCCCGATCGAATCCGTCATTTTCTAGGCTATAGAAATGAACTCAAAACTGAAAAGGAGTCGGATCTAGTGATATGGCTATTAGCATTCGTAGGAGCTTTTGTTGGTGTCCTGGTGCTAGAGGCAGTGTTTATGCACTGGCCTGAAGCTATCTCCTTGGGTTGTCCAATAATCATAGGGTCCTATGTGAGCTACCCCCCCCCCCCCCTGCCAACCAGCCAATGACCAAACAACTAGGGCTAACATTGCTTGTTTCCGCCAGGGTGCAGCCGCAATCCTTCTGTACAACGCTATCGACTCGCCACTCTCACAACCGCGAAATGCATTCTTTGGCCAGCTCATATCCGCACTCACTGGTATAGTAGTGTCGAAACTATTCGCCTACCACCCGCGCTTCGAGACCGAATATGTATGGCTCGCAGGAGCACTTTCTTGCGCGCTTGCGAGTGTATTGATGGGCGTTACGAAAACTGTGCATCCTCCAGCTGGGGCAACGGCGCTGCTGGCTGCGGTAGATGATAGGGTACGACACATGGGCTGGTTCTTGGTGCCAGTCGTTGTTATAAGCAGTGGGTTAATGATTTCTGTGGCGCTGGTATTGGGAAACATCCAGAGGACGTATCCTAGGCATTGGTGGACTGCTGGAATGGTCGGAAAGGATCTGAGGGCATCGAGAAGACAGAAAGACGTCGAAGTAGGGTCGGAGAAGGTTGAGAGGGAGCAGACGGCTGAAAGTGAACTTGGAGAGGAGGGAGTTGTGATTGAGAGGGATAGAATCCAATTGCCGGAGTGGTTGGTGTTGGGAGAGGTCGAGAGGGATGTCCTGGAGACTGTGAGAGGCAGAATCCAGGCGTATCATGATGATGCACAGGCGGACCGGCTGAGTCGAATGGCATCGGATGATTCAGAGCTCACGCTATGATTGATCAGTCTGCAAAAATCTGCCGGCCAAGCTCACTCTTTTTTTCCTTTCTCTTGACAATTTTTTTTTTCTGGATTTCTTCTTGACGAGATTTATTTTAGGAGTTTTTGTTCGGTTAAGCATTTTGGGAAAAAGTTACAATTGGGGAGGGGATTCTCCCAATGGTTACAAATAATTGGACGAAGCACACTCTGTACCACAGCATCGCTAGCATAGTTAGATAGCGGCGAGCATGATGATATCAATGAAAATGGAATGGAATTTATTTGCCTAAATAACTAGATAAAATCAGGATATTTACCCCCCGCTCCCTCTCAAGTACCCCGCTATTAGATTAGAATCCCTTCAGCCATCCGGTTCCGCTTCGTATCGGTACATGCGTACGAGAGCTAGATCGGTCGGCCGGACGGGGGGGAATAATGCATTCGAGTCAAGCTCAAGTATCACGGCCCCCAAGCTGGTAGAGCACCTATACTATCCCCCAGTCGCAAATCTACCGAGGCATGTAGTACATGACATGTAGGCAGCTACAAGGTATTGTAGATGGATACAAGTACTTGATGTCTACACATACGATATACATACATTATGACAACGCCAACTATTGCAACTAATCCATGGTCAGGGATCAGCATTCCGGTGGCTCCGGGTTTTCAAAAGTATAATGCAAATTCCCGCATCCATCGTCAGTATGTACAGTGCTGAGCTTTAAGCTTACACATATAGCTGCTGTAGGGAATAATAATCGGCACCAACCGTTGTGGAGTGCATCGCCTGTGCCTACCTAGGCTTCAGTACCTAGCTAGGCCTACAAGGGGACAAAAGTAATATTAATCGCAACGTCTGGAGTGGCGACTAGCTAGATACTGCGGTCAGTAACCTAGTAAGCTGGATCTTGAGGAAGCACCGGATCAATCTGCTGCCGTCTTGATCGTTCGAGTTGGATCGTCTTGCTGTTTAGACGCATACAAGCTACATGTAGTATTGTCGTCGCGTTTAGGTTCTGATTGCCGCTATGAGCAGAGAGGCTATGTACGGTAGCTATCGGTACATCCTGGGACATGGTTAGGTACCCCTGCAATATATACCTTAAGTAATTAACTGCGGGGCACTCTGCTCTGAGTCTACTCTGCTCTACTCGACTATCCTATGATCCTTCAGTTGCCTCCAGAGCAACGGTCCAGGCCGGGAGATGGTGGGTATAACAACCAGAGATCAGTGAGAAAGAGAGAAGTGTTCGGGGAATCGGAGGTATTTACTTTTACATCCTGACAGAGAACAGCTCGTATCGATACTATACTCATGTGGGGCTGTAGATTAATATTATTGCTCGGGGACATCTTCTAAACAGCAATTAGTAGCCTTCTTGTTGTCGATATCCGTTCCTATTGGCTGATCAGTAGCACTCACCCCATGTGGGTAGGTTAATTGTAGCATCACTCCCTCATCCTACTAATCCATTGGCTGAATTCTTACCCAGGCAGGGAGGCAGACTCGAACTGGCCAGTACTCTACGTAGTTGCTAATCGCAGCAATCAAACGATTCCGGTGAGGAACTACCTACCACTACATACAGCAAAGGCAGAAATTCCCTCAGCGTGGAGGAAATCGTTCAAGGCATCAATCAATCAATTGGGGGAGTCGATGATAGCCTGTGAGAATCTCAGTAGCACAGCCAAGATTTCAGCCTGCACGCGATATTTACTGGCTGGCTGGGTGTGTATCGATTGGCTGGACGGAGGAGGGCACCTAGCACACGTCGAGCCCGCCGATCGTTGTGATTGGTCTCGGCGATGTGTTCCTGTTCCTGTTCCTGTTCCTGGCACAGTCAGTCAGTCAGAGCGCATGCTGCAGTGGAGTACCTGACATCGATATGCTGTCTCAATGGCCATCATCAGTCAGACAGTCCGTGAAGACAGCTATCTGCTAGACGCATATATATAGGGCCCTGATTCGCCCCGTCCTACTTCCTTTTCCCCTCGCTCACTACCGCCATCACAGAACATCCAGCTACCAGTACAACTTCACTGCTGTACCAATCCAATTAGCTTAGCTTCCCAGTTCCTCTTCACACTATCAAAACACCTCTCTTCAAACCACCCCAACGCAACCATGAAGTTCACCCTCTTCCTCCTCGCCGCCGCCGCAGCCCTGTAAGTTCCTCCCAACTCCTCCAGAACGCACCCCATTCTAACTAACCCATCCAGCACCTCCGCGCTCCCAACCGCAACAATCACCCCAACCGCCACCAACGTTTGCGCCACAACCTGCCCCACCGTCACCTCCACCATCCACCCAGGCTACCGCTGCGACGCCGGCTCCACCGAGACGCACGGCTGCCCCGTCGCCCGCTGCGCCGAGCCAACCACCACCATCACCACCGCCACAACCCTCATCCTACCCTGCTCCACCAGCATCATCACCACCACCGGCGGCTGCACCGTCCCGCAGAGCTGTGTAGGGAAGTTCCCGACCACCGTGACGGTCACGGGCGGCCTCGAGAACGGGTACCCGTGTCCGACGACGTGCCCGATTCTGTGCCCGCTGCCCACGATCACGCAGAGTTACTTGTTGGGCGGTGGGTGCGCGACTACGGCTTATTAGGGTCATTGGGAATAAAGGGATAAGAGGGATTGGGTTTTCGGAGCTATGAGTATATGTGATGTAGCTATGTGTCATGAATTTTTTGGTTAATGAAACCTTTTTTTGTCACGTGCTGGAGATTGTTGTTTAGTTTTTGAGAGACCAGGAGTTTGATCCTGATTGGTCAATAATCGATGTGTGAAGTGCCCAATTGTGAGGATTCGAATTGGGATGTTTTGGGGTTACTGTGTTGAGGTGCATGAGCAATGTTTACTATTCCGCTTAATTAGAAAACATGCAGTTCGGGGATGCGGTTGTACTGAACCTTAAAATCGAGTGATAATCTGTGATTAGATTTGGATTTTCGAATGATTACTGTGGTTATAGCTAGGTCGAAAAGACTCTGGGGAATTTTAGAGATGTAATCATAAGTGGATATAGCCACACATCTAAACTATATAGTCTTCCTCATCGCCACCAGAAATGTCTCCTATTGGTTACAGCGCACTACATGTATTTCTAATATTGATTGCATATCATTCGACAAAGAAATACTCCCGAGATGGAAGGGGACTAGCATTAAAAGGCGTGTAGCTATTGCAATTGATGGATATAAAAGAACAAACACTGATAAAACCACAGCTATATTTTTATATATGATCATGAAGGTCGAATTTCCTTGATACCATTTTATCATGAACTACATGTATAACATACTAACGCTACTCATCGAATGACTTAGAGTGCATACTAGAGCTAATATTACAGATTACATATAAGGAGAGGTGGTGATGGGGTTTAGTGCGTGCCTGTACCTTTGAATGACCCAATAATCAAGAATGACAGCAATAATCTAAGAAATTACTATCGCAGTGCCGCCCGCACCTTCATTTCCTCACTACATTTGGGCGGCCGAAGGCCGCACTCCGCTTGTAGCATATATAATTATGAGCTATATTCATATACGAACGCCTGCATCATCTGATCACGAAGCCACAGCTAGTACAAAATGAGACAAAAAGAATTCAACGACACTGAAGCCTAAGTCAGAGATAATGCCATGATATTTCTGTAGCTGTCCCTTCTCTAGTACCTACTCTACAATATGTCCCTGAGCTCTTGACCCACAAAGCTATTAGTCCCACATACCCCAGTCGGAATTAACCTCATATTAGACAACCAACTCTTTCACAAACCCTCTCTCCAAACCAACGAACCAACCGACCAACCACCAAAAACCCAATCTCCCGCTTACGCGGAGAATACACATTGTTGCCTGGGGATGCGCACTTTGCCCAATTGTGGCCCCAATTGTAGCATGGGTCCTACGATCTTCGCCCCGACATGGATATATATATTATTTCCAAGCTGCAAATACCCTATCTACCCCACAAAGCTTGCCAAAAATAAAACCACTCCACTTTAGTTAATGGTTTTGAAATGCAGGCTTGACGTGCGTGCCGCCGGATTTTGATGGTAGAGACGTAGGGCTTGACTGATTGATTGAGACTGGAAGCGTCGTGAGAGTAGAGGTATGTGGATATACGGGCGACAATGAACATAAAAACATGTAGATATCTCCCATTGGCAGTGTTTGAAGACCTATACAGCTTACCCTCAAAAGAACCAGAAAATGCAAGTAACGGAAACAGGGATTATTTGTATGAGAGAACGACGCCACTCCATACAAATTATCCTTGCCCTGAGCAACTGCATTTTCTGGTTCTTACGCTGGTAAGCGTGTATATGTACTGCAGTACTTGCACACGTATGTAGGTACACTTGTACCGCAGCATCAAAATACGAGCATTCGTATCGACCCTCAAACTTCTGTTTCTTTCCTCTAATTGGCCCAATTCCAAATTGACTTTCAACGGCGCGGCACTTCTGCGGAACCTTTCTTTCAGCCTTGTGTATTGATAGATCGGCAGGTTAAGTTGCTATTAATAACATCGATGCCTGTGTAACGTTGGGCGGTGCGGGTTGATCCGTCTTATCTTATCTGGTCAGCCCGGGCGGGAGGCTTGGTCTCTTGGTGCGGAAGGTAAGGATTGCCGAGTGATATTATGTGTTCCGTGGTGTTTGAACAGAGAGCGAAGGCGAGAGTGAGGACGCGGGCTTATAATCACTCGGTTTGGGGATTTTGTATGTGCGTGCGTTTTAAATTTGGAATAGCTAGCTCGATTGAGAATGTAAGATGAGGTAGATCTATGTAGTCATTAAGCCGTAGCGTGAATTAAGGAATTATAGTACAGTGTATCATGATCAGTAAATATCTACAACATATATCATCCCCAAACCCCGTTAGTTCCCCGTCCAGCGGGGATTTAAACCGTCAACATAAGCATCCTCGTCTCCCAATGAATTTAAATCCAAGCCCCGCATATATAACCCCATCATGTACTCCCCGTCTTCCCCACCACCCTCCCCACAACCACCGTTCCCCACTCCCCACTAATCTGCCCCTCCGCCCTCCCCTCCTCCGCACACGCCTCCACCAGCGCCCCCACCAGCGCCCCCGCATCCGCACAGTCCGTGAACGCCGCATGCCACCCACAGAGACTAATATAGTACCCGCTGTCTGCGCTCTCCGCGAGGTTGATACATGCCTTCGATGTCGGCACCGACGCGGGCGTGCTGCAGGAGTTTGTGTAGGCCGTTATGGCCTCGGTGATGAGGCTTGTGGGCGGGGATTGGGCGGTGGTTGTGCAGAGAGTTTTTGGCTCGGCGGACTGTGACTGTGACTGGGGATTGGGGGTTGGAAGCGCGGATGTGAGGAGGAGGAATGTGTGGAGTAGGAGGTGGAGAAGGAGTGTGAGTGTGTTCATTGTGGACCAGGGGACGTGCGTTTATTCGTGAGTATTTGTGGATGTGCACTTTTAGGTTTTGGGGGATCGATATCGTGGTTATGCCTGATACCTCGAGCGTGTGGGATGGTGCCTGTTTGATTCGTACATGATAGACGTGTCAGTGCTTTGTGCTGCTATATATCTATCAAAACCTATGGCTGGCTCTTGTCCCTTCGCTGACACGATAGAGAGTTAAGCGCTGCAATATCGCGAATTCAGATATCGACTGTGAATAGTAGATTCGAAAAACCGTTGTTGGCGGCAGATGCAAAGTCTATTAATAGTAACAATCCTTCGCGCGCGCGCTCCTTCACTTGCAGATAGACACTCTACCTAGATAAACTTGGGTTAGACAGTTAGGATCAGATAGAGTTACGAAACTAGTGACAGCAGCAATGCGGCTCTCGTCACCCTTGGTGGGGTCCACCATGTCTCGGGAGGAGAATTTCACAAGTCTCGAGCTCGGTGAGCCGGGGCTCCGAAAAGAACACTCGGTGAAGTCCTAGCTTTCTGGAGGATTCGACCTACCAGTCTACCACTCAGCCCTAAGCCAAGGAGGGTGAGGAAGCTGGGCGCAGGGGAAGGGACACGACGACTACCATGACCATGATGTATGTTGTATGTATATCCCGAAATCACAGGGTGAGAGGAATCCGTTTTATGACAGGTATCCCTGTGGTGAGGACGGCACTCACGGCAAGGAGCAAACCACAACCCACGCCGAGATACACATGAGCAGTTACGTTGTTTGCGGTGGTTTCGATTTCTTGATGATGTCGAACCTCCCCCTGTAACACCAGCGTCCATCCACCCCGTACTCTACTCCCCTGTCTAAGTCTATGAATGAGATTCATCAATCAACACTAGCCAGGGCTGATGGCTGTGCAGCAGCAGCAGCAGTTGTGAATACATAATCCCCGTTCTGGGCTGGGCGTTGTTACAGTAACATGATATCAACAAATGCAGTAACACGGTTGTAGGTTGTAGGGTCTGTCTGTCTGTATGTATGTATGTATGTAGTACGAAGGTGCCCTTTCCTCTCCACAGCTGAGGCTGCAGGCTGACAGAAAACCAGCAGAGATACAGTAGACCATTTAATGTGGCTTGATTCTACGTCTCCTGCACCTGAACAACATTAATTAGATTCATTCCTCTCCCTCACCCCCCCCTCCCTTCTCTTCTTTCCTTCCTCCTATTCTCTCTCCATCTATAAACCGTAATCATCACCATCACATCGCGAGACGTTGCGAAGTGAACGACGAGAACGACTCACAGACTCCGACCCCGCTAGCTAGTCAGCTCGGAATCCGACGTCACCCCCCCCCCCCCCCCCAAAACCCAACCCACTATTCGAACACTACGGGCCCTTTCAGCCGCAACAACAACATATCACCGAAAACTCCACTGGAGGGATAGTACAACACCACACAAACATTCAAGATGGTGAACGTGGGCATCCTCAAGAAGGCAAACATGATCATCCATGTCGTGCAAGCGATATGGGCCGTCGTACTGATGGGGATCCTAATGGCCAGTCTGGTCGCCGACGGCCCAGCCAGCGGTGCCGCGAAATACATGTTCACCATGGTCAGTTTTTTTTTTCCCCCAAATTTTCTGTCAAAGCCAAATTTTTTTCTTCTTCTCGGGAAAATGAATCGCTGATTGTTTTTTTTCTTCCTCCGGTAGTGCTGGTTGATGGTACCGTGTCTTATCTATCTTACGCAAGCTCCGAGATTTGCTAGGACCCAGATGATCGCGCATCCGTACTGGGTTATCGGTGTGAATTCTATGATATCTGTAGGTCGCCCCGCGCCCTTGCTTTGTCATGTCTACATATCCTTCTCCTTACAGACTATGATTTCTAACACTAAAAAAAAAAAAAAAACAGCTCCTCTGGTTCGCGGCATTCGTCTCTGTCGCAGCATACACAAATGGCGGCATCTCCGACGGCGAGAAGAAGGAGAAGGATGATAAAATAAAGGCTAAGGGCGGGTGTGCACTCTTCCCCGCAGGCACTGGCGAGGCAGAGAAGGCGTGCACCATGAACAAGACCGCTGTCGGATTGGGTGTTATCATGTGGTATGTAATCTCGTAACCACACCACCTCAGCGACCCCGCCAAGCTAACGAAGATCACAGGTTCCTCTGGCTCGGCACCACCGCAATCGCCGGTTACGCAGCTTGGTACTTCCGTCAGCACTCGTGCTCGCCATTTGAAGACCTCACGAACCCCAGCCACGACATCCAGGAGACCACCAAGGATGCCTTCAGCTCCAACGACGAGTACGCGCTCATCAACAAGAACCACGACGACGAGGAGGATGGCCAATCCCATCGCCCGGTTAGCGCATACGACAACACCTCCCACCGCCCCATCAGCGCCTCCAACTCCTCCCATAACCGCACCTCTTCAATCGGCTCCTACGACGGCTACGAAGCTCACCCCGGGAACCCGGTACCGTGGGGTGAAGGCAGGGAGCCCTACGACATTAGCGGCCAGCAGGGGAGGATCCCGCCGGCGGGCACAAGGATCGGGAATACACCCCCGCATGTCGGCCTGGACATGCCGATCTCGCCCATCGACATGGACTACACGTATAGAGGCGCCGATTTGAGGTAGATATCGTGAGAGGGGGGAAATTTACGCATTTTCTTTCACTTTCTTTGTCTGGGTTTGCGCGTGCGTTTTTTCTGGTGGGGCTTCTTTTAGCGTCGTTTTTTCTTTAGGGTTGGTTTTTCCTTTTCTGATGCTCTGATCCTCCCATATGGCGAATGATACCATACCATAGTGGTTTTTCTTATTTTTTGTACTATATCCTATTACATCCGATCCTACCAGAGCTAGCTCGTGTGTATCTTGTGTCGTATGCGCGTTATATTGGAGGCGGCGGCGGAGGGGGCGAGGAGACTTGGTTCTTTTCTTTGGAAGGCGTATCGAGTAGAAAAGTTAGCTACATAGCAGGAATTTTCAAATTAAATCTTATCTACCCTAGTATACAAGCACTATTACTATTCCCGGCCAGGTACGCCCTGGAGATCAGAGATCTATTTATCTGTATTCAGCACCAAAAAAACAAAAAAAAAGGAAAAAAACAAAAAACAAATATACATACAGCGGTACGCTGTGAGAGTGCAGAAATGAAATCACCCTGGGTGCTCAAAGAAATGTGTTGGTGTTGTCCGGCATGTGATTGTGGTGAGACAAGATCACGGGACATTTTGCGTTTGAGGTTTGGGGGGATGAAGATGCTTCTAGAATGGTGGGCGGGTTGGTGTGTGTGTGACGTTCGGGGTGTTTGGGTTGGGTTGGGAGGATGGTGGGGGTGGGTCATGGAGTATCACTCGGTGTGTATACGATGATAATTTTTGTATCTGAAATTACATAAGAAGGTAGGCTCGTCCCCAACGCGTCTGCTTTTATGCTTCTTGCTGTAAGTAATGGCATGGGTACAAGAGTAATAAGAAGGAAGAGTTGTTGATGAGGTCCTCGTTGCTCTTCCGTTGGGTGGGCGTGGTGGGGTGGTGGGCGCAGGCATAGGCTTGGGTGTTGTACTTGTGGGTTGCGGTGCAGTGGAAGGGCGTTGTTGCGGTGTCGTAGATGGGATTAGAGGAGGGGTTGCTGTGGTTGTTTTTTGGGCCCACCACCGACGTCTGTGGATGTGAAAACGGAGAAGCGATTGTGTTGGCAGAGAGCGCAGTGAGTGAGGTGAGTGTCTGGTGAAAAAAAAAATACTAGTCGCCTCCTCAACCTCTTCGTGTGTTGCCGTAACAACGGGGGAATTGTTTATGACTACAGACTGCACCTCTGCCCTCTGTTTTCACCTTCGTTGCATGCTAGCTTCCATTCTATGTATGCCCAGTTCACAGCCACTCACTCGCGGCACGTGCCATGGTAGGCACTACTAGTAGCAAGCAAGCAAAGCAACTTTTGCACAAAAACACGCAGCACAGCGATTGACGGGGCTCAGTGCAACTGTCTCCACCAATACAGTGAGCATTTGCGTTGGTAATGATCCTTTCTGTAGAGCTGTGGTCTGTGCGTGGTGGAAGAAATGTCAATGCGGGAATTTTGTGCTTCGGGATGCCGTTTTTGTTCTCATGGAGGGGTACGTACGAGCAGTGGGCGGACAGGAGGTGCTTGTTGTTTCACGGTTGGCGTTTGCACGATGCGTAGAGGAAGAGTGGGGCGTTAGTATGACGTAGGGAAAGAGTGAATTGAGCGATTGAGTGATCTGTTGGATTGTTGCAAGGTTGGCCCGCTCGGGGGTTTCTTTTGGGAAGCTCGTGCTGTGTTATTTAAGTTGTAATTGACAGCGTAGATTTTTTTTTATTTCATTGAATCAATGAATAGATTCGAGAGTTGTAGGAAAAAAACGAAAGAAAAAAGCGGACGGATGGAAGGAAAGAAAAAAAAAAAAAAAACCAGACGGATAAATAGAACGAAGAAACAGACGGGTGGAAAGAAAAAAAAATTGGACGAACAGAAAGAAAAAGCGGACGAATAGAAAGAGAAACTTTTGGCTGGATACATAGTGGGTGGAGAGGTGCGAAGGAGGGGTAGAATTAAGCTTTTTCTACGTGTCGCGCGCCGGCCCACATTTTGAGAGATCCGCCCACAGGCACAATTGGCAAGCCAGATCTCGCTTAGGGGATTGTGCATGAAGATCTTCAAGATTACGGGTTTCTTTTCTTCTGTGGGTCCGTTTGTTTCGTGGGATTTGCTTGTTTTCTCTAAGTTCTTTTTGTTTTACGGGGATAGGGTGTGTATGTGACGTCGAGGGGTAAACAGACGAATCGAGTACTCACTCACCAGGGAACAAAGCGCTCTTCATGAATGAGGGGTAGATGCTTTCTATATAAGCTCTGTAGACCTCGAAGAAAAACCGCAGGAAGTGGAAAAAAAACAGCGCTATTTCAGTTTATCAAGAGCTAGTATTCAAGTCTACGCTGAATCCGTCCTATATTAGCGTACTCCTTTTGCTCCAGTATAGAAAGATAGCCATGTCGTGTGCAGGACTAGCGCCATTTGAGGGACGAGATCCTTTCAAATGGCGGTTTTGTATAGCGTCTTTTCATTGTTTATATGCCTGGGTTTTGTCACCTCTCTTTTCCTTTCCTTTCTTCATCCCTCATCGATATCATCAATCTCAATCACCGCTGCTACTTTGTGTGCACGAATTTCATCGAGATAATCTCCAGTCTAATCATCCAATTCTCCGTTTACTCTTCAAACTCCCACCAATCTTCAGACTATCACAACATTCTCGATACGTCCGATTGACACCCTTGATCTACCACTACCACCAACTCATCTTCTCAAAGCATCCATCTCGTCACCAATCATCATTTTTGAGAATATTCTCATCTGAAATCATCATAAAGCACTCGATCCCAATTAAACCTTGCGAAAAAGATTTATCAATGGATTCTACCAGCACTCGATGTAAGTTATAGTAACTCCCTTCTTATACGCGCCATTAACTAACTCCCTCCAGCGTCTTCTCCCATCAGTGAAACCTCCACCTCCACCAACGCCTCCTCTCTCTTCAGCGAAGCGGCCAGCAATCCCTCCCCCAGTGCTCCGGCCAAGAAGAAGGTCAATTACAAAATCAATTGGCCTTACCAATTCGACCGCGAAGGCAAGCCCAGAGTTACTGAGAAGAAGCCAATCCGCAAGGAGGGGTGGACCATCCCGAGGACCACCAAGCCGCTCTCCACTTTTCTCGATAGGTGGATTGCCGACTTCGACATTCACGGCTACTACTTCAGGGAAGATGTCCTGATGGGCTATGAAGAGGATGAAGACTGGGATACCACGGCCCCGCACAATTGGGAGCACCTCGAAAGAGCTCTCAGGAGCGAAGCCCGTTGTGAGAGGAGATTGTTGAAATGCAAAGTTTCCAACCCAAAGGCCTATAAGATGTACGACGCGGAGTACTACATGGGTTGCAAGAGGGCTGCCCAGGAGGTCAGGATGTTCTACATGTAGGGCATCCTGGAGGATCATCGTTGGTATTTTGAATTTTTTCCTTCTTAATTTTCACATCTACTGTCGTTCTTTCTTTTCTTTTGTTTGGAGTATATTTGCTACCTTTTTCTTAGTGGACCACATTATTTGTTGCTTGCTTCTTTTGTTTGTTTAGGTGGCTTTTGTCTGATGGGTTTCCATCCAGTACGCTCTCTACAATTTCTTTGTTTTTCTCTTTACTAGTTGGGCAGCTACTTTTGTCAATCTCAACTACGATCTTTCTTCGTGAGCTTTCTCTCAATAGTCTTTCTTTAGTTAGCATTGGGGGTGTTCTAGAGGGTACATTTTTTTACTTCTTGCTATCGATATCTGCATTGGGGGTTTAGAAATCGGTGTTTGGGTTAAAGGGGGCATCTATTTAGCATTTATACCTTGTATTTTCTATTGGCTGTTATCATTTTTCGGGTGTTTGGGGGTACGGTACGGTTTAAAATAGTCATGATGGGCGCTGGGGAAATTGGTGGTTTAATTGGGTATTTAGAGTACTCTACAGAAGCAGAGTTGTGTTTCCAATGTCAATCAAGAGTCGAAAAGTAAATTCTTCCTCATTTTTAAGCTTTAGTAATTGATATCTAGCCCGTTACTACCTCTTGTACTATAGGAGTAGCACTGTCGTCGGCTCTTGGGGTTAATGGAATGTAAGACTGCATAGTGTAGTGGAATGCCACCACCCCTTCATTCATCTGCGCCCCACGTGATCTTTAAATTGTTGCTAGATTTACTTGGGGTTTTAAAAGCCATGATATCCCGGAAATCAGAGTGTGGGGTAAAGATCCATGTGTCAGTGGTTTCCTTCTTTAGGTGCCCTTAGATCTGAGGAGACTATAGCTTAATTAGAATCGATATTTTAGACCTTAGGCACAACTATCAAAAGTTCGGAGGTGCGGCGACAACGGGATGAAATCATTATTCAGATTTAGCTGGTGTAGGTCACGTAACATGGAAAGTAATGCCACTCAGATCTTGTATTACTTCACTATTCATTAAAACCATGTTATGGATCCCTCTCTTAATTTAATTTCTGAACTCAACCGCGTCTAGGAGAACGGGGTGAGAACGTTGTATGGGTCGATTCTGACCGGTTAAGTAATAGATCTAGATCTATCTATACGTATGTATACTACTAGTCTTATAGGTTCCTATAACCTCCAATATGCATCAGACCATATCCTTACAGAAAACGACATATTAACTACGCCGCAGAGACATACTGAGGATAGATTAAGCCTTGAACGCTCGGACTCTGATACATATCCAGAGACGCGGATTCGATCACGGCATGAATTTGAACACTGGCGACTGTTACCACCGGTTGTTGTAATCGCCGCAACAAAAATTGCAGGGTTATTCATAGCCTAAATCCTATTATTTCAGTCTACTTTGGTACCAACTTCTCAAGATGTTTTTATCTGCGAAATAGCGAGCGAGTGATATTCCATGCCTATGTTTCCACCTCTAACCATATATGTGTAAGTATTGGTGTCCGTACCTCTGGCTTATAGATTCCCCCTTAGTGAGCGCTAAACCCTGCCTTGCCTTGCCTTACCCCTTCCATTCGCACGTGACTAGTTAGCTGACAACTCGCTCAGGGTCTAACTGCCCCCAATGATATGAGCTACTTACATGTGAGTTCCCGTAGGGCCAACAACGAAGAGAAATAAGTAAGCTTGATATGGCCAATTTTCCGAAGCAAGACATCGATCTACCTGCGGCTGAGAATGATTCATGTCTGCCCTGTGCGGCGAGACTAGTGTTCATTCTATGTATGTATTTGTCTCTCTCTTAAATTCAACATCAGCGCGCGCCATCTCCATCTTTCTCTCTCTTCCATCTTTTCTTGAATGCGTCAGGGTCTAGTGTGATAAACCCAAGGAGTCCCGAATTATACCATGGCAACAGCCGAACAACCTCCTCCGGTCAGCCCAATCGCGCTCAAGAGTCCTGTCCTACTTCACAATGTCCTCCTTCCCTCGATATTGCTGATAATCGCCCTCTGCATTCCCTCGAGGTCATGGGTTATACCTGCGATATTCCTCCCCGCGATACTCACATGTCATTACAATCTGCTGTACACGACCTCACCAAACCCGTCTCTCGGGTTTGCGGTTGGCACCTATGCTGCCCTGCATACTTACACGGCTTTCAATCTTCTTATCTTCACCAATCCCCAGTGTGATTTCGTTCGCCTAAAGAGAGGGCAGCCTGAGGAGAAAGGAGATAGATACCCAAGACACTCCTTGTCAGAGCGCCTGGGCTGGGTTGTCGAGCTGACCCAAGGCCTGCGTGGTGTTGGATGGAACTGGCAAATACGATCCGTCCCTCCACTTCATGCCACCGAAGTTAATGCGACCTCGGCGAAACCATTTTTCCGGCGGCGTGCGATACGGATGTTTTGGATTTGGATTTACCTCGACTTTCTTTGCTTGATGATGAAGGACCTTGACATCGGATACTACGCTCCCGACGGTAACGCGCACGAGAATAAGCCTAACGCCTTTGCGATATATAATTCGCTGTTTGCGGACCCGAGTAGGCCACAGAACTATCCGCCGCCGAAGGGGTTTCCTGATATGCCGGGGGAGGGGCTTACGAGGGTTGTGTATCAGGTGCTGCTGAGGATTATGAGGACGGTGTTGATGGGGTCGGCAATATATACCACTGTGAATGCGCCGCATACGGTATTGTCAATAATCGCTGTTTCAATGGGGTGTGTGTTTGGATTGGGACCAGAGAACGGCTGGAGAAGGCGATGGTTAGATGCCAAAGAGTGGCCAGACATATTTGGTGGTTTTAGAGAAGGACATTGGGGAAATGGCATACTTGGGTGGTGGGGAACAGCCTGGCACGGTCTGTTCAAGAACGTAAGAAATGTTCGATACTTTTGAAAATATATCCCCTGCTAATAGAAAAGCAGGTGTTCATTGCCCCAGCGAAATTTCTGACCGCCAAGCTCAACCTCCGGAAAGACAGCACCGGCGCCGCGCTGATCAATCTCACGATCCCCTTTCTCTTGTCCGGAGGACTCCATTGGGCTGGGTGCTTTACCCAGAGCGGTGGTGGATGGGGAACAGTTCGCTTCTTTATGCTCCAACCATTTGGTATAGCGTTCGAGCGAATCGTTCTCCGATTATACCGTCGTACGGGATTGAGTTTTCCGGTGTTCGAAAAAGTGTGCCCTTATGTTTGGGCCTTCGCGTGGTTTATGACCGTGAGCGGTAGTTTTGTGGATGAGTATAGGTATGGCGGGGTATGGTGTGTAGAGCCAATCCCTGTGGGTGTGTCGAGAATGTTGTATGGGGAAGCAAAGGGGGAATGGTGGTACTGGGGACATGGACAACATGGCTGGGCTGGTTGGGATGAAAGCCTAGGCGGGTGGGGTATTAGACTATAAGTGAAGGTGTAGGAGCGTGTGGTAATGAACCCTTAGAAATTATAGAGCATCTCCCTTGGTTAATTTTCTTTGGCCCTATTAGCACGGTATAATACTGTAAATAGTCATGTCAGCTACTCGTTGAAGCACTACTGATAGAAAACTTTGGACTCGGTTTACAATATATAATGTTCGAATATTTATTAAACGCGCAGGCACATCTATTGAGAGGGTGAGAAAATTGAAATATTGATATCATGCCCAGCTTTCTTGGCCTCTTGCAGTTTGGTATCCCCGGGGCGGTGAAGAAATCTTTTGGTGGGTCTTTATCGGAGACGACCTCAAACAATTCTTCAGCCCATGATATATGAACCAAAGACACCCCATCGGAGAGTTGACGGAGGTTAGACCTGGCTCTGCGAGAGTTGTAGCAAACTGTCTTAGTTCGGAGGAAGAGGAATAGATTTTGGATCATAAGACCACATATGATGTCCCCCCTGGAGCCACGGTATACGGTTCTAAGAGTCTCTAAACTTTCAATCGAGGGCACCTAATGCGCTAAACGTCTCCAAATGAGCAGAACATAGGTCTTCACCATATTCAAGTATCTTGAAGGTTTATAGCAAGCTCGAGTCGATTCGGAATGCAAGAGCGTGTCGAAGTGGTTTATAAGCTATTGGCTTGAATTCCTGTTAGGTATATGTAGTTAGAAAACCTAGTCGATGGACCTCAATGCTGACATTACCTACTGCTACACAGTATATCACTCGAGCTCCCATTGTCTAATTACTAATCTTGAAGATAGATTATATCTAGGATATTAATTTTGGAAACGCTGTATTGCTAATAATGCTAGAAGAATGGGGACTAGAAATACGACTAAATACCGATAAGCGTGCCCCGTTCTCATGTAAGTTCATTATAGCCGAAGCTATGAAGTCGGGCTACTTCAGGATGTCAAGGGTAAGACCCTGCAGCCCAGGTTGACATAATCAGAGTGGGTAATACCTAGGGTAACGTTTTTCCGAAGTGCGTGCGGAGGATCTTCTTCGTCTTGCAGGTACCGTCTTTCCTATCGCCCGAAGGCTTGGGTTCTCGGAGCTCCGACGCAGGGTTTGCCCCCAACTTGACCCAGATTTGATTACTAAATGGTGGTGCGCTTTTGTTGGGACCGCGTTGCAAAGAATACGGCTATGGATTTACAAAGTATTCAATATCTCCATGTTAACGTGGTTCAGAGATGATTAGGACTCCATTGATTGGCGACAATCACTCTTGTTGGGCTTTTGCTCTCAAGGACACTTTTTCCACGCCGAGGTTAGCTGTGCTTTTAATCACTATACACAAACTATATGTGATGATTTTTAGTTTTATCTCGTATATGTAGGTTTTGTGGGAATAAGGGTAAATGTGTTCTGACGGTTGGGTCTTCCCTCATCCAATTATTAGCAGTAAAGATTCACAGTCTCTCACTCGAAATATCCGCTGACAGGGTTAGGATTAACCTTGCACGGGTTCTCGGGCACCGGCGCCCGATCACCCTAATTGTCTCCGATTCGTCACTAGCCGAGCTCCAGTAACGAACATGCAATGTAGAGTGTGTGTGTGAAGTCATTTCATTTCTGATTCTAGGTACAGAATGGTCGCATGCAGTATAAACTATGGCGTAAAGAGGCCTATCCCGATCAAAAGAAAACTAGATCCCCCTCAAAGAAAGCAAAACCAAAAGTAAAAGTAAAGATGTACAAAGGAAATGAAGCGCACAATCTGAGTAGCGGTGAGGTGGTGTCGGCGGGGTGGGCGGGGGTGGTGCCCCCGAAACATGCAATGTAGAGTAGCTGTTCAATTATATATGCCTATCAAATGTCTCTCGTCGGCGCGGCTACACACCGCCGCCCCCAACTCCTCATTCTTCGTCTCGTATATCTCATAAATTATTAGCCCGGGAGCGTATAATGTGATACGAAATCCATGGATGAAAACTGTTGAGCTGTTGAGCATTCATCCAAAAAAAAAGACGATACATTGAAGTAGAAAAATTCAACATACGACCCAGGGACCCATGGCTTCACACTTCTTCACCGGGATAATATTAATTCCAGAGTTTTTACTATTTCCTATTAATACTGTAACTCTGCGCCTTCCTCCTCATTTTCTCGCCTCCAACTTATATTCCAGAAAACCAAAAAAATGGCCGATTCACAAAAGTTCAAAGTTATAATCGTCGGTGGCTCTATAGCTGGACTGACCCTCGCCCACAGTCTCTCCAAAGCTAATATAGACTGGCTTATTCTCGAAGCTGGGTCCACACTCTCGCCCGAAGTCGGTGCATCAATCAGTCTTGCTCCCAACGGCGCCCGGATCCTCGATCAACTAGGTATTTATCATGCTGTCGAGATACTCACAGAACCTTTGTTTCGGATGGTTTCGCAGACGGGGGATGGGAAGAAGTTCCATGTATCGACTGTATTTGAATTTTTGGAGAAAAGGTAAGGTCAGCAACCTTCACTGTGTAAACTGAGATGCTGATATATGAGTGTAGGCTTGGATACCCAACGAACTTTTTAGGTAGAAGGACGTTATTAAAAATTATGGCGGAGCATATCAAGGAAAAAGAGAAAATAATTATGAACACGAAAGTGGTGAAGATAGAGCACTATGAGACAGGGGTGACTGTGTTTACAAAGACTGGAGAGAGGTTTACAGGGAATATGGTAGTGGGGGCGGATGGAGTGCATAGTGTGGTAAGGTCAGAAATGTGGAGATATGCGGATCTAGTGAAGCCAGGGTTTATTACAACCAAGGAAAAGACAAGTAAATTTCTCCTTATTTCTCCCGAGCTTTGAGTATGCGGCTGATGATAATGTTCTGTTTATCAGGAATGTTCGCCAAATTCAGCTGTGTCTTTGGAATTTCGGCTCCGACACCTGGGATGACTGATCACACCGCTATCACTAATAATTACAACGACCGTTGTAGTTCCCTCGTCGTGGTCGGAAAAACCGGACAAGTATATTGGTTTGTCTTCCAGAAAATGGACAAGAAATATATATATCCGGATTGCCCACGCTTCACCAAAGAAGATGCAGAAAAGTTTGCTCATAGCTTTGGAGGTAACATGATTGCTGAGAATATTCCATTTTCTGAAGTATTTAAGACACGTCAACATTACACTATGACTGTTCTAGAAGAGAATGTCTTTGAGCATTGGAACTTTGGGAGGTTTACTTGTATTGGTGATTCGGTCCATAAAGTGTGTGCCCTTACTGCGGTCTTCGCTCTCATAATTTCCCTTAGTTTTAAGGTTCATAAGGATTAACATGTGTGCGTGTGTATATAGATGACGCCAAACATCGGCCAAGGAGCGAATAATGCGATCGAAACCGCAGCCGAGCTGGCCAATAGTATCAACAAGATGGTAAATATCGATAAGAATATAGCTCCAACCACTGAACAACTTTCCGCCTACCTCGAGGAAGCTAGCGCCTCTCGAAAAGTACGTGCTCTGGCCCTTACAAAGGCAGCAGGTGCGGTAACTCGTACACAAGTCTTTGATGGATGGAAGAACAAATATCTCTCCAAATTCTTCCTTCAGCATGCGGGTGATGTCTTTCTCGACAATACTTCTGATTTGCTGGTTGGAGCTGCCAAAATCGACTATCTCCCACTACCGGAAAGATCGGTAAATGGATGGATGTCTTTTGATCAGAATCTGGGGATCAAGAGGAAGCCGAGTAAGCGCCACCGAGCATTGAAGGCATCGGGGTTTTTGTTTTTGGCGGGTGCTGCTGCATTGCTCATTTGTGGAGGGAAATACATCAATGGTACAAACACTCTGATCAAAGAGGTTATAAGTTCTGGCAAATGGGCGACGGGTGGTGGAGGCGCAATCTCAGTTAGAGATGTATATCTTGGGATCCCTGCTCTGGATGCTTTTTTCAAAAGCATTATCGTCAGTCTTTCGCCGAGTGTATTGGGATTGGATCACACACAAAAGCTCCAGATGATCTCCTTTGCAGCAGAGTTGATCCCAATACATACAATATGGACGATTGAAGCTTGGCGAGCAGGAAACTACTTGACATTAGCAAATCTGTTAGTTATCACTGCTTCCGTGGAGATGAGCATACTAACATTTATAGCCCTCTACCGTTCATGATCGCATACCAAAGCTATGGTTTCGGTATTGTAGCACCCCTCTATTACTTCCTCAACTATGTTCGGACATCCTGGCAGTGCTACACCTCCTATGACCTCCGCGTCGTCCCCAGAAACTATGCAAGCACCATCATCCCCTCGACCCTGATTTCGGTTGGTCTTCCTGCACTGCTCATGTTCGCCCCCTTCTTCAACTTCTCTACCGACAGACGTCAAGCACTCGCCGTAGCATTCCAGTTATTTCCAATTACATCCGCTATTCTGCACAGAAGATTTGCAAAGGTTATCCCGCATAACGCTCACAAAGAGAAGTTGAATCCCGGTACCGATATTCCGATTCTTCGTAGAACCTATGTTTTTGTCGGGGTTCTTTCGGCGGCTGTACATCTGTACGTTCGCTCTTACTCACTCTCTGGATACGAGGTGTTCTTTGCAGGACTTGGGCATCCATTCACTGCCGTAAGCTCCGCGGTGGAAGGGCTTGGGCAGGTGTCAAGGTGGAACTACCTGTTGGGTTTTGGTAGTAGTCTATTATGGGCTGCGATGAGTGTTAATGATTTAAAAAAGAAGAAACATGGGGGTACCGGTACAAACTGGATCAGAAGTTCATTATTGGCGGTTGTGGGCACGGCTGTAATTGGGCCAGGAGCAGTGATGGCTGCATTTTGGATATGGAGGGAGAATATACTGTGTGCTAGGCAGACTAGGATGGAGATGAAGAAGGTAGCACCGAAGGCGTAGTTGCTCTATTAGATCTAGGATGGGGAGAGAGGTGTAGATAGTACTGGGAGATACGGTTATGTTGGAAGAATAAGAAGGTATTCTTGATGTTGAAAAGTGCGGTTCGCTGGACGTCGCGGTTTACCTAGTAGGTAAATTGAAGCTAGTCGTGGTATCATGAGCACTTTAACACTATCATACTTTCTTGTACCTATGACTTACATAATATGACATCTTATCTCTTTGGTGTGTCGTATCTTAGCTGGCATTGTAAGCGACTCATAAGTATAGTTACTGATGATGCTCTCATAATCTCCGGCTGTGCCTATACATACAGCTCTAGCTAATATAATAACACGTTATCTAACTACTGTGTTACCATCTCTACATGTACCTACATGTACATACAGTGATCTCATCAGATCTAGGCTAGGCCTCTTCTATACTAGCCTTCTTTGCTCTCTACAGGCATTGGCAATCGAGTGATATTCTATGAAGTAAATAAATGAAGAGAAAATGATTTTCGCAACTATACTTGAGGCAGAAACAGTTTTCCCCTCTGTATTTGCTTCATCGTCTATTGCAACAAACTAAAAACATGCTCTTTCTGAGAGCAGATATGTCCTAGGCTCAAGTCTATCATTTCCGAAACTTCATGTAGTCAACACCTGGATCCGGAATGCAGTTTAACCGGTCAACTTATCATTGAACACTGCGTAGCACATGCACATACTATTGAATTACCACGGATACAGTCAATTTTTATAAAGATAGCTCAAATTGCGAAATTTCATCTACCTACTGTAACTATGTAAACAAGGGGTGTGTATCTCAGCGCCGACCAAGCGGTGCTAGAGAATTTTCAATACCCTTTCTCCAGCTGGAGCCCGACTCCCTTAATCTCCCCAACACTCACTCACTTCCAACAACACCCGACAACATATCTTTTCTCTAAACCTATCATGCCATCTGCTTCGCATCTAAGCATCGAAGCCTGACATAACTCGTTTTATTACGAGGGTGGAATGTAAGCTCTTTACTTTACTTCCAACCCCGATGAATTGACGCTTCTAGCTCACCCCACTCGCTAATCCTCTCATCAAAAATAGATCCCACAACGATGCTCTGATATCTAGTATTAATGTAGAGTACTGGATGGATGAGATGGAGCTCCGACGTATTTATTTTGTGAGTTGATGGCATCTCCGCATAAAACAACGTTCGATAAGTCCCCTTTGATACTCATCTGATCAGGTTTTTCTTTCTTCAAGGTTAACAATCTTCACCGGATCCTATACATATTAGCTCGCCCAATTAAGTCTGTCCTGCGTTGTTGCAGTGAGAACCAGGTCTATTCTTTCTCTCTATCCTCACTTTAATCCAGCTATTATTGCTGTTGGAATTGGTCGAGGGCCCCTCCCCAGCCTGGGAACGCTGGGAACGCCTGAATAGGCAAAGGTAACTGTATAGGGCTAGCCCATTCCTCCGACCAATTGCGTGGTTGGAATATTTGGTGAGTGTAACAGGTCCTTCCCCGCCATCTTGCTTGTTCCCAAGTTTCCTACATAAGCAGTTGATATAAGAAGGGGTGGTCGCCCCTCCGTTGTGTAAAGGATCCTCTCAGTCTTTTATTCCACACTTCGCTTCGGCTCTTTGCAACAAGATATTTACGTACGCAACGGTTCGGTCGATTGTATATTGAAGTCTCGCCCTTTATTAGTGTTTAAGGACTAACAGGATTTTGTATTTATTCTAGGTCTATAATGTCTATTGTGTCTATATCTACGACTTTTGATCTCGGTGATTGGGATTTGAGTACTATGCGATTTGGGGTTATCAGAGCAGTTGATATTTGGCGATTGGATTCGGAGAGAAAGAAGGCGTTCAAGGAAGACTGGAAACAAATGTTGGAGAAAATTACTTCTGTTCCGTGGGATCATGATATCAATCGGTTAAGGGATGCGATGGCCAGTGTTTTGAGGAAATACCGAGTTACTTGGATCGATCCTCGGAGTGAGATTCAGTCCCCTTGGAAGTACCCGGAATATAAAAATGATTGGGATAATCGGTCTTCTGGTAGTGCGTTGGAAAGAGTTGAACGGATGAGAAGTCGACAGATGGGAGTGTCTATCGGATCGCTCGAGTTGTTAGCGTATTTGGATACGTTTGTGTTAGTTGCGCATCACGTTGGTTTGTTTTAGGTAAGCGGAATGTTAATTTAATGTTGTGAGTATGAAGATTTGCTGACGATAAAGGTTTTTGGATTTTCTTCGCGATGGGTTGGACGGTGACGAAATTTTTTTATTATTATTTTGGTTTCTGAGTGGATTTAGTGCGATGTTTTTGTTGTTCGCGATGGTTGAGCGACTGGAGTGAAAGAGAAAAAATGATGGGTTGCGAGTTTTGTGTCAATTTTATTCTATTTTATTGTGGGTGTTTTTTTTTTTAAAAGGAGAGCGATTTCGTTGAGTGATGTGATGTAATGGTTTTATTCTTGTTTATTCTTATTTTCTTTAATACTAGAGTACTGGGCGTTCATTAAATGGTCGGATATCGTCGCAACCAAATCCCTACTAAGAATTCCGACCATTTAATGAACGCATGAGTATATAGTGCCATAAAAGAAAGAGCGATTTATTCTAACCCGGTATTCGTTACCCAAATTCGCTATAAGTAATCCAAAGCCAAACTCCCCTATGCACACGTTCATTAACAAAAAGAAAATGATACAGGTGACAGGTCTAACAAGCGTATGCGCTCAACCGCTACATTCCAATACTTTAGACACCTACTACGAAGGTCTCCAAAAACGCTGCTCTTTTTGTTTTTTCTTGATCGTCTGCTTTTCCTTTCTTCTCCCCCCCGGTAGGTAATGGCCTCCGAATAATCACTTCTGCAAACGCCTCTAGTACCCTTCTTCTGATGATAACCTCTCTAGATGGTTTTCGGAGTGGAAATGCCATCGCCGCGGCAGAAGCTATTGGAGACATTGGTGACATTGGAGACATTGGAGGCTCTTCCCTCTCGTTAACTGTAGGTACTCTCACAATCGTAGGTGCTCTGCCTAGAGGACGAGGAGATAATAATGTGGATATACTATCCATGAGGAATCCGGTTAGGTACACGAAAACATTGGCGTGTACGGAGGAAAATTGTGAAGATAATTTATCGAGAACCTATCGGTACCGAGATTTAGCAATCAAATTGACACTTGGAGGTGTATATATATTTATAAGGAGACAAACCTGTTCTGCTAACTTCCTCTCACCACCAGCTTTGAAGATATCTTGCCAAATTTCTACGGGTACAATACCCTCTTTCAAACCTCGGAGCCATTGCATAAGTACCCCTGCAACCACTTCGACGAGATCCTCGTCTGTTGGGTTAAATTCTTCATCTTCCTCTAGCTCAAGGGCAATGCGTAAAGCATCCTGGTTACTAAGATCCAAGTCTCTATCAAGGCATTCCCAGACACCGGTGTTGAGCATTTGCCTCTTCTCCTTGTTGAGGCCCCAAGTCTCCTCTACGAAAGGCCATCCGGGTTCTGAGTACCATCTCCCATCGCCGACAGCAATGTCTCGCATATGACTCAATAAGAATTCGGTCATCTTATAGAGCTCCCTTGGAGCCGAATATAACACTTCGCCTTTAGATCCAGATTCGATCCAACCTCTTATTCCACCAGCTCCCTCAGGAACTTTGATAAGCTCGGACAAGCTTCTCCCATAACCAGTTTGAACCCACTCTCCACCCAGTGGCAAGAAAACATCTCTACCTCCATCAACCCGCAATACGAGAACGTCCATGAGAGTTTCCTTTCCTTCGTTCAGGTTCCTAATATCCTCTAATTTCTCAATTAGGAGTGACAAAGTTATAGAGCATGTGTCACCGGGCTGCAATTGTACACCTCCCCCCTTCATTTCTTTTCCGCCGTCAGAGAAATCCACTGACAACCAATCCTTGAAAACCTTTTCCTCTTTCAACCATGCTGTTGGAGTTTCTGCAGCGCCGTCGTTTGCTGATGGTTTTCCAACAAATCTTACTACGGCCTCTGTTGCCCCAGTATTTGCAATGGTGATGGATCGGCTTATATTTTGGCCGAGCCTGACACGTCCGAAGTCTACCACTCCTTCCTCATACTCTTGGTTCTCCACAGGATCGACAATCACTGTTACGATTGGTCGCCGCTCATTCTCGACTTTATCAACCTCCCGTGCCACATCTGCGTGTGTTTTTGTTCTGAGATCGGAAATAACGGACGGGAACGTCAGCTCGAACAGCGAAATGACTGGTTTATGGTCTGATGATGAAATATTCTGACTAGAAGAATAATATATTTGTTCTAGCTTGACTTCACCGGAACCTGTCTTGAAGCTTGATATCGGCAATTTCTTAACGCTCGGTGCGTGAGGGACTGAAGTTTCGCCTCTAGAAACGACCAGATCTTCTTCGTCAGAGTCACTTGTTTCAAATATTACTTCCCCAGTAGAAGTTAGAATGCTTGAACTCCTGGTTCTGCTCCTTATCCTGCCCTTGATGCGGTCTCCATCGGCACCCTTAACCTTCCACAACACGCGATCGCACCAACTGGGCACTCTTGCTTTCTCACTAGAGTCCCATGTCCCGACTGTCCCGACATCGTATTTGTAGGTAGGAAGGAACTTAATATTTCCCTCCTTGTATCCAGCAAAAGCCTTCGACTCCCTTTGTTGTTTTCGAAGCTGGTCATATTGCATGATATTATCGATCGTTTCTTCTAGGGTTAAGCCGGCTTCTGGATGTACCTCATTAGGAGGAGGCGGAAAATTTTTATTATTAGGAAAATCAAAACTTGGTGGAGATCGCATCACTGGTGTAGAAGGCACGGATGGTCCTGGGCTATCATGTGTTGGCGGCAGATCTTTTGGCATGTATGAGGAAAACAGCCGTCGTATATCATCATTCGGAAGATCAACCCGATAATTCAGATCCCCACACCAGATAACAACGTCAGCATTGTCGATAGTCTCACCCGCAGGTTGTTGGGAGTTTTTTTGATCATTTCTCGCATCATCGTCGTCGAGACCAACAAAGTTTTTGGCTACTGGCTCAAAGTTGGCTCGTCGAACGATTTCTGCCGCATCCCAGTTCCGCCGGTCGGTGTTGTTCACAAAGGCTGCTAAATGAACATCCACAAATACCAGTCTCAGGGTATCTCCGAGCACCAACCGTACCGCGGCGCCTCCTTTATTTCCTACATAGCCCATCAGTCCGGTACCGACTGTAGTGCTTGAAACCGATCCCACTACCGACATAAGACGAGGTGAAACGAAAACGAGCAGTAGGACTCCGATCAGCTGTGGGGATGCTACGCATACATATCCGTTGGGTAAAGCTGCCTAGGCATTAAAGGGTTACCCCACGACTTCAAACTCAACGAGAACATGTTCGAGAGAAATACCTGAGCATGTGCTTTCCAATTTAGGGAAATCTTTGGATCAATATACTTTATGAAGTTTTCTGTAGCAGTTACATCGACCACCTCTTGTAACGCAATAACATATATTCCAACATCATCTCCATTGGCCATGTCCGCCTCATCCTCAACATAATTTGCCAAAGAAACAGTACGCATATCTCTCTTCTTATCCACAATCCAATCACTTAGATCCTTCTCGCATCCTTGAACCGCAGCAACATTCCAAGACCCAATCTTTATCCTAATCCTCTTCTGCCGGATAAACTCGGCCCGCCGCAGGAGCATCTGCTCCTGAATATATGCTTGGTTATCCCGTTTTTTCGGTTGAGGTCCACTACCAGGATATGCGGCCGAATCCGATAAGCTGACTGAGGAGGCAGTCTTAAATGAAACAGCTGTCGTTGATGATGAAGCTGTTGTGGGGAAAGCTCCCGGAATGAAGTTCGACATCGTGTGTGACTTTGTTGTCCCTGGGCCCTCGTGTGGAAGTTTCGTTGATAATGCTGGATAATCGATAAGACCGTACAGAGGGTGTTAGAGTGTATGTAGTGGTCGAGATAGTTGATGTTATGGTAGGGAGTGGTACCGAGTAGCTGTTGAAACAGGTCTCACATGGCTACACGTGCCATAAACGACCCCACGCAGATGGGTCCCTGAACATCCCTGGCGTTACAAAGCCATTGATCTTGGCCTACGCAACCCTGCATATACATAGAAACAAATACTCTATCCTACCTGGTTGCTGACTAATATTTACATGAAACACGATATGGAACTCCATAATTCTGCCTCGGGCATTTGGAGCATTCCAATAACTACAAGTACTTGCTGGAATTACCGGTACTATGCCTCTAGGCTATTTATAGTTCGTCTCTCAACCACCACTAAGTACTCCAATCGCAATGGACCTGCGCTGCGCTGGCTAGCTATGTGCGAGTCCTATTGTGAGTGTACCCCATTAAAAGGTGTTAAATTAAGGATATACATGTACTCACCAATTTCTTTATCGAACTACATGTAGTTAATCCCTTATAATCTTGGCACAAACTATGAGATGTCCTCATATCCACCCCGGTGGGTGAGCTGTGAAACCTTTCGGTGGTTACATGTCTTGAACAAGAAATCTTTCACCAAACACGGCCAAGGAAAATGCGCCTATTATATTCGCCCTTTTTTGTCTTCTATTCTAAGGCTCCTTGCGCGTATTATTCAATGGTCAGAAATATCTTAGTCACTAATTATCACTCGCAAAAGACTAGAAATACTAAAGAACAAACAGAAATAAACCGCATAGTGTAGTTTTAATAAGGGTACTCGCGCTACACATCATAAGGAAAGATTTACATATACAACCTAAAGCTCAAGTAGGGTGGACGAACTCGTCATATATCGAAACGACTGGTCACATCATAGGTCCAAATTACAAATTAATGCACAATCAATCTTATCATTCCTCTGCTACTCTATACCGCAGCTGGGCTATCCCTTACAAAAGCTTACACAACCACCCAATGTAGGTAGAAGCGAGTGGTTGGATCTACAAAAGAAAACAGGAACTAATCCTTGCAGGATCTTCACCGCTTCCCCTGCCTCTTGTCCCTCCACCCCCCCCCCCCCCCAAAAAAAAAGGGGATGTGTCCTTCCCAAAAGTGGGTATGCTGTGGCTCTTGGCGAGTAAAAGCACTACTTCATTTGTTTCTGAACCAAAAAAAAAACCGAATTAAGTCAGCACCGCTCGAATGAAACAGGGGATAATAGAGAAATACCTACTAGTATCGTTGATGAAAGACCTCCAGATCATCGACTCGAACTAGTAAACACCGTAAACGTATCAGTAAAGTTAAAAGCTCCCTTAACTAAGAAACCCAAAAGAGTGATACTAACCTACAGAGCAGACGACAGGATCACACATCAGTGGACCCTCACCACTGCTCACCGCAGCAGCTGGAGAGGGTCCGGCGCAATCATTAGCGACTACCCTCAGGCAGGGGAGAATCCAGTCGATGTACTACTGTGGGTGAATAGCTGTTAGTTCGTATTTACCCTTAAGAAATAGATTAATATTAACTCACGCCGACCCCACCCTGATGAGTCACTTCCAACCCCTTGCGGCACTCCGAAACGCTTTGGTGGGTGTCCAAAGAAAGCCGCCTCCACATCCGTTGGTTGCTGCTCCTGCAACCCAGCAACCACTAGTAATCCGTATCATAATTAGTACGATTTTCAAAGCGATGGCACGAGAAATAAAGAACCTTATTATCTGTCCCAGAAAAAGAAAGACTTTGAGGTTGCCGAAAATATCAGGGCCCCTTTATCGTGGGTTGCTGTCCCTGCAGACACAGCAAGATCTAATGCGATACATTATGATTAGAACTCAGAACCAAGATGCGAATATATTAATGCCTACCTACTAGAGATCTAATATGGGCCTCAGCAATGCTGGTACTGGCTAAATTATAAATTCATTATCAGTTACGAATTCAAATTGGATGCTGGGTTTTTTAGACCAAGCATTGAATGATTGAATGAATGGCAGAATAGGTACGCTTACCCTCACACCGTCGAAGACAACTCAAGTCTCTCTTACAGAGACTTCGCGTCAAACCCACTACTATGAAAGCACATCAAAGTTAGAAGGATTTCCGAGTTAGAATAATGGATATAACATACCCACAGCCGAAGAATCCCCCCCAATTCCTCCCCAATATAAGCCAACTCAAATTGCGTTCCAGACCTTTGGAAATGACCTACAAATTTCATCAATATTGCTAACTTAATATTCTAGAGGGAGGGATACTTACAAGCGCCGGATATATCCTTACTTTTCCATTATCTAGAATGGGAAAAGGGAAACGATGGAATTCTCACAGATATATGCTGATAGCAACCTCCAGAGAGGAAATGGCCAACACGGAAGACGGCCCACTCTCTATCCCTCACACCACCTCTGCCACCTGAACCCCAGGGCGGTTCCATGCTTGGCCCTGGTTTAAACGAGGTGGTAGACAACTCATGTCTCCCTTACAGTTTTGGACTCGCCACCGAAGATAAATCCTGGGCCCGTCTTCAGGGATTCAATCGTTAATATAAGAATCAAAGGACATGGAGGAGTTTACAACCACTTATAAGTGGAGTGCCGGAACAACGTTGTGTGTTTCCATTGTGTCTTCACTGATGCCCGAAATCAATTAACGTCAGTATAAGTTCATTACAGCAGAGAGGGGGGAAGGAAAGGATAAATAGATAAGGAAAGACCGACCTCGAGACAGCCAGAAAACAAAAAGAAAGAAAGAAAAAAGAGGAAAGGAGGGAATGGGAGCTACTCTGCTACCAAATTCACTACCCTGGAAAAGAGCGTTGGGGAATATTATTATTATCCCCTATGCCCAGCTCCAGGAGAAGCAGAGAAATGGTGTTAGATGAGCAGCTCCTTTCCCTGATGAAAAGGCCGCTCGGGAGTACAAAAAATACTCCCTACAAACCCCGGAGAGAGGAAACGAGATGTTGCTGGCCCCCCCAGATAGAAAGCCCGCTCGGGAATAAAACTCCCGGGCTATGTCTACTGGCACGAATGGATGGGTTATGTCGTGGAGGAGTAGGGGGGAGCTGGAGATATGGGGATTTATGTTTTAAAAGGATTGAATAAATAATTGAGAGAAGACCCCCACCGGTGAGAAGGAAGAAATTATAAAGGGGTTTCTGAGGTAGACTATAGTGAGGCGGATCATAGAGGAGCAGCAAATGTTTTCGAATATGAAGAGAGGAAGGAGAAGAGAAGGGGGAGATATGCGGGGGAGAGATGGTATATATTCTACGAGCTGACACCAGGAATGCTTTCCTGCGGTATACATTGCAAAAACATAAACGTGGACTCACTACTGAAAGGCGGGAGCCGACCTCAACTGTGCCTGGAATATACATTATAAAGTTTACGATGGTTAGAAAAATAGCGTGGATATGGGCCGCAGGGGGTCTGTGCCAAAGGAATTTACTAAGGGTTGGTGACACTTGACATATCCGAACATAAAATACATACATATTATCAACAGAGGATTTAAAAACAACGATTGAGTATTTAACTAAGTTGATATAGAAGAACATTTCAAGAAATGTTGATCTACGATTACTAATTTGGTGAATTATTAGAGCAGGCCAAAAATGGAAGTGTTCTAGAAAAAAGCATTCTCACATCCACACTAATACGGTACATGTCCGAATCCTTGCAGCTCAACATGAGCATCCATGCTCTGCGACCCAGATCGATCATAAATCCATAACGCCAACTTTATTAAGGCTGTGAGAGTGTAAAGCTGCACTGGGACTCAGGCTACATGATGTATGATATAGGGATAAGGTCCCGGAGAGATCACCGCGGGTTCAGCTGATTTAGGATCTTTGTCTCAGAGGCTCTCTGTTACCAGGATTAGAGACTGTGCAACAAGACAGGCAGCATCCCGGGTAAGGCAATTGGAGTAGAGTATGTACATGATATCAAAAGCAAAGAAAAACACTAGTCTAACTAAACTACCGTCGTTCACGGGGTATTGGCGGGTACTGGGTGTTGGCGGATAAGCCTAAAAAGAGACAGCCAAGCCAATTTTTGGCTTCAATCCGCCAATACCCCGTGAACGACAGTACCTATCGCCCTACTCATCCTCGCCAAACGGGTGATTAAACTTCAGAAGGCCATTCAGCCCACCAACCCATCCATCGTCCCCGCCCCCCTTCCCACCCCTCACACACGGAATTCCACCCCATCCGCCTTCCTTCCTCATATCCTCGCTCCACACCCTAATCTCTTCACCCCTTCCGATCCCTCCCCATCGTCGTCCATCTACGTTAACCTCAACCTCATCCGAGCGATTCCGCTCACTCAGCTTCAGCGTGAGCACGGAGTCAGCAGGCAGGACAAGTGGGCGGAAGGAAAGAGATCGCGGGCAGATGGGTGTGATGAGGAGCGAGGAGACCGAGGGATGGATGATGGAGCCGCCGGATGAGAGGGAATAGGCAGTAGAGCCGGTAGGCGTTGAGATGATCATACCATCGGCCTAGATTGGGGTGTTAGTTGTTAGGGAATAGTTTTTCTGACATTCGACAGGGAAATGATCGCAATCGCAACAAATTCAAGGATCAACATACCACGCCCTCGGTCAGGAACCGGCCATCCACAAACACCTCAACAATGGCCAGGTGTGGGTCTTTACCACGATGAATATTAACCTCATTCATCGCATGTGCATCTAGTCCATCGTGCCCTGTCAGCATAACCCTAACCCAACCAAAAATAGCATCACAGAAAAGCACTCACCGCCGATCCCCTGAACCTCACCCCAATCACCACCAACCCTCTTCCCATCCCGATCATATACGCCAACTTTTAACCTTTCCCTTCTCAGAACTCTTCCAGCACCCTCGAATACCACTCTCACGGCCTCCACAAACTCGTTCCACCGCCACTCACCAAGGAAGCCAAGTGTCCCCATGGCGAAGCTGAGCACAGGTGGCACCTGTCGCGACGTCGAGAAGAGCGACGCGGCATGCAGAATTGTTCCATCACCGCCGAGAGTGACAAGGAGGTCGGTTTTGGTGTGGTAGGGGTTTATAAGATCGCCGGAGGGCGATATCAAGGAAGCCTTCTGGGGTTTCTGTAGCGCGGTGGGCACAGGAGTGCGTGGGTATGTGCTTTGCGTGTAGGGGAAGGGCGTAGACGCAGGGGGAGGTGGGAGAGTATATACAGGGAATGAGAATTCGTGGTGGGTGGAGTGAGCGACTGCAGGCTCCAGAATTATATTGGTCTTGGGATAAGTGTTCTTTATATGTCTTTTATTACGGTGATTATTAGACCATTATTCTACTATGGACAAGCAAGTTACTATTCGATAGAGGGGTTTCTGTACCTACTTGGCGAGTTCTATCATTGCTGTTCGAACAAAGGGGACGTTCTGCTTTTTTACGAGTAGGATATTGCGTGGTTCTTTGGGCCATGTGAGGTTCCATAGCTTTGACGTAGCGGCAGGGGATTCTGGTTCTGGTGGGGGGTTATTAGCTATCCGTATCAAGCAGTAATAGTGGTATTAAAAACAGCCACTGCGTATTAGAATAGCAAGAGTAGTAATAATAGCAATAATAGCGCAGATGCACTATTGCTGTTACCCAACTAACAACAGCACCAATAGTAGCGATAGATTGGTAGCAGAGAGAAACCACTCACTCGAAAACAGCGGATGCACCCTCTCCGGCAGCTCATCCGTCGACAGCACCTCCCACCTCCTCGTTGACACGGAGAAGAACCTCCTCCCTGCTCCCACTCTCACAGCCACTCGTCCTGATGCCATCAACATGTTTCGTGCAGTTCTGAGCGCTTGACGTGACGTCTCACAAAGCCCTCGATCCATCATATCCGTTGCCAAGCCCGTCGCTTATCTGGCCGAAGCCCCAACCCCAAGATCGGGTATTGGTCCTGGGTGCGCCTCTTTCACGTGATGCAGCCACACACACACCATACCCCTGTCTTCCCTTTCCTTCCCCCAACAAGCCGTTTCTCCGAACTGCTGCTGCGATCCACGCGGCCACCCCTCCACTGCCCCCCGGCAACCCGGCACTCCAAGACAGCCTGGCGTCAGAGCTAAGCTTTTGAGAAGCCATTCCGAATCACCCGGGTGGGTTGGTGATTTCGCGCTTTTCCGAAAGACCGCTGTCTAGAGTATGAATCTGTCTTCCACAAAAACCATCAAAACCACCACCCCCCCCCCCCCCCCACACACACCTGAGTTGCTGGATGCAGGTAAATTAATGAATGGGTTAGGTTGATACACCGCCACTATTTGGCATGGGGAGGGACGTCATTATTGGGGGAGTGTGGTATGCGCGCGCGCACACGATTCCTTACTGCACACCTTGCTAGGGAAGCTGAGACTCGAGGGGTTTTACTTGTTGGCTGGTTGGACTGCACACATTACTAGCGTTTTCTTTGATTTCTGGGGGTCTGCTTGCCAATTCTTTTTTCGTGCTGGGAATTGAAATTTTGAGTAGGGCAGGGTGGTGGGAGTATTTAGATAGGCGTGTAGTTACCCTTTGTTCTCTTTTTTCTGTCTTCCAGAGAAAGTCATTCCACTAGCTACCTAGCTCTACTATATTACCTATCACTACTGCTGCTGCATATCACATAAGTCAGACCACGCAATTCGATCTTCGGTCCTTCTATATAACAACTACAATCACCTTTCCTCTCGTCCTCAGACACACACACACTTCGTCAAGCAGTTCAGTCCTTCTCATCACATTAACCTAACTACAACTACCTACATTCACAATGGCATCTCAAGAATATTACGGACCTCCTGGTGGCCAGCCCCAGTACCCTCCCCAGGCTGCTTATGGCCAGTACCCTCCTCAGCAGGGCGGATATCCTCAACAGGGTGGATACCCTCCTCAGGTAACCCATTCCCCAAGAACTCTATCCCACGATGTTTGGCCATGAGATGCTAACGATGTGATACAGCAAATGCAATACCAGCAGCCCCCTCCAGAGCAGAAGGGTAACAGTGGTGGTAACGGCGGTTTAATAACTGGACTGTAAGGACGCCTGCTATAAGCCTTGAAGACTTTAATGAAGAATCTAGTACTGACTTTTACATGATAGACTCGCTGGTATCTGTTGTTGTTGTGCTTGCGACGCTTGTTGCGACTGTTTAGAGTGCTGTTTCTAGTTTCGCCCGCAATACCTAACGCCTTAATGTCTCGAACTAGATGAAAGTTGGGCTGTGGGAAGGGGGGAGTGACGGAGACGGTTATGGTGGTGGAGTTTTAGTGCTTTTTCCGGATTACTTTTTTTTTTTGTGCTTTGCATGTTCATTCTTTACGGACTGGGTTTCGTTTGAGAAGAGCACCGAGGGTGCTTATTGGGATGGATGGATGGGCTGGGGATAGAACATTTTTTTTTACGGCTGACCTTGTCTTTCTGTGACAAACTTTTCTTTCTTTTGTTTTTTTTCCTTGCATTTATTAGTCGCACAGGTAATAGGCAATTAAAACATAATCTTGTGGAAGAAAAAGATTACAATTGGACCGCCTTTTTCAGTGCCCATGAGAGGATTGGGCCAAACTCTGACAATGATCATAATTGAATAGCCTTGCAGATAGCGACAGTTCACGATTGCGCATTTTCCATTGCACGGAAAAGCAAAATGTCCCATGATCCCAACTATCCGCGCCTGTAGAATAGTCTAACCTGCAGGTACTACATATGTCCATCATTGACCCATTTCGACATGGAGCAGCCCAGAGAATAGTGCTGGCCTGCCTCCGATTCCTGCACAAGCACCACAATCTGATTACTCTGGCTTCCTTTCCTCAACATTCATACTCATCACATCTTCTGGAGACCAATCCCCAACCACCCCCAAAACAGGAGAATATCCAGATCAGACGCAACAAATAGATATGCTTAACAAACCCTCACCCCAATCCAAACACGGGCCCTTCCGCATATCGGCACATTACATTACGCGTAATCTCCTGGGCATGTGGCGCAGTCCCCCAAGGCCAGCCGCACAGACCATTGGACACTCACTAACGATTTCTAGCGGTACCAAGGCGAGTTGTGAAGATCGGGAGATCTTACCTTGTGTTCGAGACAGTAGGGAACTCCCTTGTACTGAGAGGGAGAAAAAAAACCGCATTTCCAGACTTTCGAAATTCTTAATATCCGAATCGTCGGGGTTTGGCCGGAACCCCGACTGGGTCCAGAAAGAATACCAACACAGAGACTCCGACGTCTGGGAGGGGGAATCCTTGCGAACGGGGGGAAGTTGGGTTTGGAATACCATTCACTGGTCAAACCTTCACCCCCTCGCAGGTGGGTTTCTCAAGCATCTATCATCCTCGACACATGTGGCTGTATGGCGAGTGAGGACACCTCTGGCGCGGTATCTACCGCCAATTACTCAATTGACATAAAGGTTGTAGATCCCCAGGCCTTCACACAAAAAGTCCCTGCATCCGTCATTCCGCATAGCGGATGATGCCCTAAAACGGACGGGCTAGCCAATATTGGGGCATGCAAGGATGGACTGAAGGAGATTGGGGTGTATCGGTTAGGTGCTGGACGACAGTTTCTGTGAAACATTTTGGGGGACGATCAGTATCTCCGCGCACGCGGTAGGCAGCTGGATATAAAATGTATGTTAGTCTCGTGTCGAGTTCGTTTCTCTAGCCTCTGCAAAGTTTAAGGTTTCCGGAGATACAAAGAAACATCAGGTGCGCAAGTCAAGTGAACCTCGAGAACCTACCAGATGATCTCAACGAGTGATAGCCTGTGACAACAAAACCCTGCATCACCCGGGATGTCAACCAGGGTTAAGTACACGTCAAATTCTCACACCTTAAGTGCACCACCACGGGTTTGGGCTTGACTTGGTCGGAGGTTGGGCATTATGTCTTAGCCGCGGGCAGTATTCCATGTACGGTTCCTGCTACAGCTGCGCTATTTTGTTATTTTCGGTTATCATCCTGGTTCCGGGCCTAGAGAGATATATATCATGACGGCGGAGCTTTGCTTTTATGAAAATTTCATGGAGAAAAGTTGGTCGGTAAAGACGGAGTACGGAATAGAAGGAGCAAGATGAAGAATGTGGAGGACAGGTAAGTTCTCATGATGTTATTTAAACCCTATTCTCTTTGGTGGACAGATCCCCCTTTCAAACCTTATATTTTTTAAGCCCGTGCCGGCCAACCCTATATTTCAACCCTGACCAATACAAAAATATGGCCTCTCTCCCGATATTCAGAGAAAATGGCATGGTCTCCCTCGATACTCGGACTAAATACATTATATTTGGCATATGGCATCACTTCACATCCGAATTACCGCCCACGTGTATCACTCGGAACCTAGGTCGACTCGGCCCGGGATTTGACATGCAGACCTACCTTCCTAAATTATACTATCTTGATTATTGATCTTTAAAAAACTGGTTCTCTTGCTATAGAATTGATTAGTCGACTCGGGTATATGCATATTAGAGAATAGGTACATATAAACGTGGGATAGCTTGTAATCCCGGTACACTCTGGCGCCCTCGATATTGACTTCAGCCGCAAAGTTCAACGATTGTAATGGTGTACTGAATAGCAGGTACGTTTCCTGTTTAGGAAACGGAGAGCCTATGGCGAGTGATATCTCATGCTCGGTCCGCTTAGATTTGTGGAGCATGTTAATACCAAGGTGTAGCTACACATACTCGCATTTCACGTCCTCGAGTTCTTATGTAATTCTGAGAACCTCAGGTAGAGCACTACCTTCGAGCCCTCAAAAAAACCTTATATCGACGATGCTATTAAATCATATATCTAGTGAATTTGCGACCAATATACTTGGCTATCAACGAAAATATCACTTGCCATGCAATGCATGCACCCTCACATAAGAATCTGCAGTGTACCCACCTCCCCTTTCCCGGTTAATCTCTTTTAACATTGCAGCGCGTGCACCAGCCACCCACATCGCAATCAAAACCTTCCTCTCCCAGAATATGTAATCTTCTAGCTACAGCAGATACATGTAGCTTGGCGCCCAAGAAATTAATCCCAACAGCCAAGCCAGTGCCAATGATACCAAGACAGAGGTTACGTACCACTCCCAAGACTTCAGTTTCAAAGCCTAGAGTAAAGAGTCGAGACTCGAGACACGTACTTGAACTAGCAAACTCTACCCATACATCGGATCAGGAGGCCTGCCAATAGGGGATAGGAAGTGGAACTGTGCGCTGCGCGTGCTGGGACCCTAATCCGAGAGATTTTAAACTCGCCGATCATGAGGGCATGAGGTTCGTCTCTTCAGTCTTTCAAACCATCTCACTGTGCTAGTTTTGAAGGATGGGTAAGGTTCAGCTATTCCTGATATGGTTTTCAGTTTTTTTTTTCTTTTTAAAGAGAGAGAGTGTGTGTGTGGGGGGACTATTGTGCTTTTATGTATGGTAGGTCTTCGCCCTGCGCTGACAAGAAGAAGATCGAGTCGATCGATATTATATTAGATAAGAAGCTTACTCTCAGGGCGCATTAATTCTCGAGACGGCCCGCGCCGATAGTCGTTCTTTCTCTTCATGTTGCTCTGAACGAGAACTATCGAGTGAGATATTATGATCTCAACTAGTGATTATGATATCTTTAATGGTATCCCTTTACCACGGCGATCCTTTATCTTGCCAAGGCGTTTCATGCGGGAAGGAGACATTATATTGGTTTCTAGCATATGCATCCTGGATATAGAAGTCAGGACACCTCGAGAAGAAAGACGAGACCCGAGACCTAGGATCGATAGCTCGGGGTTACTTGTTCATAGGTACCTTTGTTGCTTAGGAGACGGGTCTCTTATGCTTGATAGGGTCTTATAATCAGCTGATTCATTCGAGTTTTATCACTACAGTCGTTCACTGTCTCTTCTCAAATACTCCACCTAACGAACAGAGAATCCAAGTATGGCAAGAAACAGTCAAACTTAACTGCCAAGCTGCAAGATCCCCAGTCCTTTAATTTCTACTGGTCCAAAGTCCCCTGTTCGTCAACTGGCAGTATTCGTCAAACGACGGTGAGAGACTGTTGCTATGCTCTGTGGAAGGCTCTTAGTGTTAGTAAATGCCAAGCCCGATACTTTAGTAGATTTTAGGAATTATTAGTATGCACATTAATATCACTTATTCTAATCAGAGGTGGGGAATTATCATCACCATGTGATACTTCAACTAGCTAAAGCTTGTTGATGAAAGCGGTATGAGATTTATAGAAAGAATTTTTCAGGATAACATCTCGCTAGGCATAACACGTGATATAAACCTAACCCATGGTCAAGTCTAACATGCGAGTGATAGACTATGAAGTTGATGTTGTGATATAGGAGGCGTGATTGACGGTGAAGCTAAAAAAATGTATCAAAATATTCATTCTGTATTTTGTGTTGCCCTGGAGACTGATAAGTGACTGAAATGGTTTGAAAGCTCGGGGGGGCTCACTTTTAGCTTTAGCCAGATATAGAAGGGTTAACAGAAGACGCTAGTGGAGCTTGTATTGAATGTACAATTGTCTATGCATTTATGCATTTGTCCATTTGTACAGAGTGATGTTAATTGCCATGGCTTGATAATGTGATACTGCTACGGCTCACCTGCCCCTCCTAACACCCTCCTCGCTCGTGTTTCTTCATCCAAAATCATCACTGATAATCATCTTCCTTCATCTAGAAGACTATCTAGAAGAATCCAATTCACCCTTCTTCACGGCCATCCTTCCTCAGAGCCATCCTTCCTCAAAGCCACCCTTCCTCACAACCACTCTTTCTCACAACCGTCCTTTCTTACAACAATCCCTTCTCACAAGCAAATATGTGGGCTAAGATTTTCTTTTTCGGGGTCAATCCCTTCGTCGTCTGGTGGCATGTTCTCTACGTCGAACGCACCGTCAATCCCTTCTACAATCCTCGCTATGTCCTCAATAACTCAGCAATGCAAGGCCACTTCGCTGGGCTCGTTATCTTGGGAGCCTTCCTCACGCCTATCAACGCTATTGTTTTATGGCCTTTCCTTAGGTCGTTCCACGACTGCAAGCACCTCATCAAAGTCTGGTTCTTCTGGATGATCTACTGCCTTCTCGTTCTGCTCTATATTTTCGCGTCCCTTATTCAATTCGTTTCCCCTTTCATCTCAGGCCGTATTGCATGGAGGGCAGGCTACAAGAATGTTTGTAAGGGGCACGATACTCGAGTCTATCTTGACGTTAATCCTGGGGAGCCAGCCAGGATGTTGAGGTTCGGTGACATCAAGGGAGGGGACGGGTTTGAGATGATGATGGAGCCCGATCCATATACAATCTGGGGATTCGATAACAGAGGCACCTACAACTTCACTATCATCGGTCAGTCCAGCCAACCCTGGGAAAGAATCAACTACGACCTCGCAAACAGTACCTACACCGTATATTTGGGAAACACCACCGTCAACACTGGGCAATTTCACACTGGAAGACATTTTGCTATGCCTGATCTCAAATTGACGGGTGATACCTTGGCATTCGCAGAGGCCTGTGTGTTCGACCCGACTCTCAAGATCTACGAAGACAAGGAAGTTTTCATGAGATCTGTTCAATTCGGTCTCTGCTCGAAGTTGCAGCTATGTGCCGCAAGTGAGATTGAGGTGGAGGGAATGAAAGTTGCAGTGCCAACTGGACTTTTCGTTTTGATGAGAGCTGGGAGGAGAAAGGCCGGGTGTTGCAAGGGAGAAATCACCCCCGGTATCGATGCTAGGGGCGGATAGTGGTGATTTGATGGTGAATATATTTCCTTTGTGTTGTCATTCTCTATTCATGATCTCAAAAGTGGATTTCTGGTAAGATCTTCTGTGGCAAGTGGATCTTAGGTTCGTGGTGGCTGTTTTTCTTCTCTTTTTCTTTCACTTGATTGAGCAATTGATTTGAGGGAATATATCACTGGTACTTTGTGGAGTACGTCTTGTTCAATTTGGACCTTATTGCTATACTCACGTGAAAACACATGTACTACATACTGCCCATCAGAGGACAGGAGAGACAAGAATGAAATAAAAAGATTTAAGCTCTAAAATTCAGTATGGGAATGATAGTAAAAATGGGGAACGATTTTAAAACAATAAAGACAACAATATCCTTAATCCGAAGAAAATGGCCCCAAAGCAAACAAAAAAGTATTTTCTTTAGATATTCCTTGTTGCTGCTTGTAAATGATATTTGCTGCTTCTGTTGCTGTTTTTGTTATGTTGCTGCTTGTGTCGTTGCTGCTTTCTTGCGCTACTGCTTGTGTATATATCGTTGCTGCAACAAACATGGATGGATGTCCTTTATTCCAACATCATATCAGTTCCATCTTCTTTCTCATCAGCCCCATCTTCTCACTCTACTATGAATTTCATCCACACAAATTTTTCAAAATCTCGTTAACAACAAGAATAAATCATATTTTCAACCATTACAATCAAAAGTTTAATTGGTGGACCTTCTAACCACCTATCAAAACTTCAGAGTTTTCTGAAGGACTGGGCTACCCCAATAAACTTTTCTACATGCGTAAAGAGTCGATAGGTCACGGCGGCTCTTCCATTTCCCGACCCAGCTGACAGTTATGTTGATAGAGATCTCGAAGGCGCTCCTCAAAGCCACTAAATAGGTTCTTGAGGCGTTAAACAGTATACAACAGTCCTGCCTAAGGTTGGGGGCTTGGGGATTGCAAGGAGAATTCTCTGCACTGCCTTTAATGTCCTCCGGGACCTCATTCCCATATAGAATATTTATCCATGGCTAGTTCTTGATTATTATTCAGGTGACATATCATAAGTTGAGGAGGAAGGTCGGTACGAGTCTGTGTAGAAACTTAGAATCTTCCAATATAGAGATGCTGATTATGTGGCAGATAAGCAATAAACAGCTTTGTCCCTCAGAACTCCCGGTACCAATGAGGCAGAGCCTCGAGAAATTGGACAAGATTCGCCCTGTACTTCGGGGAACCTCGGGAACTGAGATTTTATTTGTTATGCATAGATGACGAGACGTCATACTCCCGCCTGAAATAGAGATAGATGAGAAGACATGGATAGCCACCGAGATCCGGCCCCCAAAGTCCAGAGGTTGACATCCGGATAACAACGTCTTTAGGGGCGGGGAGGGACGCCTTAATGGCTGGACTGGTGTAATTCAAGATACCACAGTAGGTCAGTTTAAGAAACTCCAGTACCCCAATCATACTATAACGCCCACTCCCTTCGGTGCCTTCGAATCGTGGTGGAGGATCGGAAATTAGCCAAAAACCGCCGTGTTAGTAAAATCTACCCGGAGCAACTCAGGATGAGTGTGGGGTCTGATGTGTGGGGTAAGTCATCCCAAGGGTAGTTGTCAAGTTGTGAGTATGATAAGAGAATTCGGAGGCAACGTTATACAGAATTGGCACTGGGAGTCTCGAAGCTGCCGCAGAATCTCGGGCTTTGGAAGGGTTTGGATGTTTCTCCGTTACAACCTATGTGTTTCAGGTTAGCTACTGACTTTCTCCAGAGTATAGGACTAATAGGTACTATGCTCTGTATATTTTAATGTCAGTATCGAAAGTTTGAGTGGAGCCAAACTATGCGGTATTTTCATTTCAGTTTCCACTCAGGCAAAGAGGTTTGGTCCACAATGCTACGACTTTCGAATTCCCCCAACTCCCGAAAATTTGATCCCTAGATCTATAGAAGCTATAGGTATTAGAAAATTGATCTATGTGCCCATTCGTATATTCTGGCAATAGTCTTGACGAATTCCGTTCTTAATATCTATGCAGGAGAGTACGCTGCATGTTTTCAGCTGGCTAAGCCCTCGCAAAGAAAAAAAAGAAAAGAAAAAAAAGAGAGGAAAGAGAAAAGTACTGCGCGCCCATAATAAACGGTACACCAAACATGTATTTTCGCACATCATGTGTTGGGCTGCACTCGCCGAGGTTTTCGATCAGGTCTGTCTATATAGTGCATGTGGTGTGTAACTCGACGTCTGCCTACTGCATATAGGTACATGTAGGTATGTAAGTATGTTAATTCATATATATATAAATCTAGATGACTAGTAATACGCATGGTTGCCAAGACCTATCTGCAGCTCGATCTTGCAAGGCGTCCAATATTGGTACTGGAACCCTTCGGTGATGCCGGTCCCGGAGCTTCCCCACACATGTACATAGACTATGTAGGTAATGCGGTACCTCCCAGCTCTGGGTGTGGATCTCGGCCTCAGTATTTTGTGGCGTTATATGATTGTCTTGTGTTCATCCCTATTATATTATCAGCTTCCACCTTTAGCATATGCATAGGAAAAGGATATTACCGGGAATCCCGAGAAGAGATATTCTACACATCTCTATCTATGTCGAGGTTTTATCAAAATCGGTTTCTGGAGTCAAAGGAAATATTCCCCGGTGTTGTTATTCCCAATACGGCTTCTCGGAGTCTGTTGCAGTAGGAATAAAACTAGACACCTAATAAGATACATGTATGTATATAGTGAAAATTGAGCTGGTCTCCTAACTTTGCCACTCTCACAAAACCATGACAATATAAGATACCGAAATTAAAGTGTGCTAGATTCAAAGAAGATCTTCTGAGAAATTTATAGGATGGACATTTCATATTTCCCCAAGGAACCGACCTTGCTGAATACATGATAGCTTAGGAGGACCAAAAAAGTACAAAACTTACCTCTATCTGGGTTACCTCTGATCGCCTCATGAGGTCAAGTAGGCTTGTGAGAATTATATTGTGAGCAAGACTACCTCTATAAAAGAATGCGCGTCCATGCATGTTTGAGTACCTTGGTTTGGTGTGAGTGAATTTAGTGTTGAGTGTGCCGCGCGCGCGACCATTATCAATACCGCAAAAACCCATTGAGAAGTAAGGCGGCCAGTTAGAATGTTTGTCCCTAACTCCCAGCGTCTGTCTCCCATTTCCAGTTGAGGTATTCCGGAGAGAGGAAGGTACATGTATATAGCTACTAATGTAGCTGCCCAAGAGGCAACTCTTTGAATTATGCACCCCGTCAAAGCGGGGGAGACCTTTATACTTCATATCTCATATTCTAAAATTAGCCGGGCCCCGCTCATTTGGTACCCACAGGCTTGATCTCTCGACACTGAGCTCGATGCTGAGACGGTGCGCGCAGCAAAAAGGCACCAATTAAAGACTGCGCACATTAAACGCCAGTTCACATTTGACAACTACTGCAAGGAGCCGCAGCAAAACCTAGATAAGTGCATATATCTACTTAATCTATGTAATTCTCCAGCCGAAAAATTCCATCGGCTTGAGATAACATTGAAAGTGATATCACAATATAATCATCACATGGCCTCTACGGTTTGTGGAAACATATCCTTAAGTGGACCAGCTGCCATCGCAAATCCAGAGTGGAATCACACCCGGCCAATTCAGATAGGAGACTATCAGTATGATAAATACGCACAGAAAATTAGTTACAGTGCAGGCAACAGCTTAGGCTTGTTGGACTGGCAACAAAGTAACTGTAATTATTCTAGTCGTGATCCTAATACCGATAATCTCCCCGATTTCAACGATGGTTTGGCCATTGACTCCTATGAATCGCCGTACTATCGATATCTCTCGCAGACGAATTCTATTATCCTTCCAGGCCTAGAGGCTGGTTCTGGAGACTCTGGGACTCTTCATTATCCAGCTGCATCATTCGAAAATTTTTCGCCGGTCACAGATGTGCCAGATTACGAGCCAGTACAGTTTCCGAAACGAAGGGCCGATCCTGGGAATTTCATCCCCCACTACAAAACTCCAAGAGACTCAAATGTGCTAAACCGCGAGCCGTACTATGACCAACCAAGTAGTTGTGCACGCAGCCAATACGTACCTCTTTCTCCAGACTTACTCTCGCCAATTTCGCCGAGATACATAATCGGCAAGGAAGAGCTTCTGATCGACGATGAGCAAGTACCAGAGACACCATATCCTAAAGCTCACCAACCCGACAGCTTTCTTTGTCGCAATAACTGCGACGGAAATTATGTGTAGATCTTCCCTTGAGTTTACTCTCAGCCCTACGGTCATACTAACAATGGCATATTCGCTTCTAGTGGCCTTCACTCATGTTTCCGGAACGGTAACGAATTGCTCATTGCTTGCCGGTATAACGATCGCGAATGCTCTTCCACTTTTGCAACACGAAATGGGTTTAATTCCCATTTCAACTCTGTACACATACAGGAAAATCCAGGACCGCAAGTTTTGATCGACTGTCCGGTAGCGGGGTGTGCAAGGGTAGGTTCCAGGGGATTCAAGAGGAAGGACAATATGCTACAGCACAGAAGGGGTGTTCATGGAGAGGAAATTCAAAAGAAGTACATGAGATTTGGACAGGCAGGATTAGCGCACAGAAAACTGAGGGATGTAAGAAAGCCTGGAAAGAGGGGTAAAAGGTAGTAGTGTCACCTGGCGGTGTTTTCTAGATTATTATGGTGTTAGGAGTTGGCACGATTTTTGGTACTGGAAAGCAGTGAGTTATCCCCTTTCTTTTCAATTATTCTAGTCTGTCTGCTAACGTTTGAATGAAGGGCATATATTCATTTATCATTTTCTCCAGGCGGACTTTGTGACCAATGGCGCCCAAATTAATGAGGAATAAGATCAATGACCTATATTCTTTTTATATAGTCACGAACTATAATAATACCTTTCGTTGTTTTGGGTCTCAACTTTAATAACATCAGTATTACATTAAAACTATCCCTTAGACGGATGACGCGGTCAAATTCGCAGCTTGCCCCTTTGAGTTAATATTAGCCCTGTGTGGCAATTAACACTGAATTTGATTGGTTCTTTGGCTATTGTTATTCGGAAAAGAAAATAAAGTTACCCAAAGAGGTGCGTGCACGGACCAAACTGCGAATTTGACTGTGCCATCCGTCTAAGGGGTCCTCCTCAACGGTCGAAGCAAAACGATAAGATGCACGACGATGTCTATGACTGATGGACAGGATGACTATCCCTTAAGCCATCAGGACCGATTTCAACCTCGTTACCCATAACTAAATTAAAGCGGAAGTCGTGATATAAACATCGCAGAGAAGTGATAATACCGGTGCGTGCTTCTTACGCTAGTTCTTACCATTTAACCGTGATAGATCACTTCTTGGCATATATCCCTTCGTGTGTTTTCATGACCAGCTGCTAATGGGCAGCTTTTACTCGGTAATAAACCTAATCCTTATTCCGTGAGCCTTTTGCTGTAGAGTCACCTTCTGTGACCCCTCCTATACCTTTTTCAGGTGTCTCCACAGTCTGTAGGTAGCTAGGTTTTTTTTGAATATCACCACGCCGTCGCAGGCCTAATATGTCTCCGATTTTGCTCTGACGAACGAAGGGATATACATGTATGTGTGGTATAAGACCTCTCTTGAACTGTAGCCAATCAAACGAGTGGCGCCGTAAGGCCCCCACGAGTTAACGTACCACTAGTTGAAAGGTCAGAATTCTATTCACATAAGAATATAGTCAGATATAGGCAAAGTAATAATTATATGTAGCTCTCGCAAGGTGGCCATGGTTCCATGTACAATACTGTGGCCAAAGAAAAGTAGAAACATACATTCGGGACTGCTGGCATCCAGTCAAGAACTTCAAACAGTTATCACACTACATGGAGGCTAGTGATAGCTTTTTACATACAACCGTTTACAACCGCTTATAACTTCATGACCATGATAGATATCGAAAATGTGGCAAAATAGAACTAAATTCTAGCACTATTGTTATAGTTCCATCTTGCCACTTTTTTCATGTCTTTTTTGGTGTTGAAGTCATAAGAGATTGATCAATTGACAAATGTGAAATAGGACGAAGCCAGACGGACCTAGGTACTCACCTTGCCAACATTGGGTTGCAGCTTACCTAATATTTTCACTCAGTTTAAGAACATTTTCCTACCAAGTTTTGGAAATTTAATTCCGGCATTGTGAGTACGGCCAGTATTCTGCAAAAGTGTTCGTGATTTGGTTTTAATGTCAGTGCGTAGTGTGACGCACTTGTAAGGTTATGAAGGGTTGCGATATGTTGTAGAACAGGAGTTTTTTTTTTTTTTTTTTTTTAAATCATGTAGTTTTAATTGATTCTAGGTACAAAACTCTGCATGCAGTCTTAGACTATGGCATAAAAGATACCTCTCCCCGACTTAGAAACTAAATTCCACAACCCCAGATGAACAAAGGAAAACAATGAAAAGAAGCAAAACATAAACACTCTGACTGATTGACTACAAGGAAAAAATCGCTTTGGCGGTCCATGTCCGACATAAGAAATCCTCCTGCTGGTTTCAAATAACTTGTTGCCCCTTGAGGGTCTTTTTGGGTGCGGAGTACCCTGATTTGGGTTGGGTTTTGCGGTGGCTAGGCGGTGGAGGGAGGTGAGCTGAGGGCACTTGATGTCTCAGATCCGGATAGGAGGGGGGAGATGTGTTCCTTTCTGGGGAAGTTCGTTTTGGTGGCGGTGATGAAGGCTCCTAGAGCTAGCGTGTTGGTGTGGTCACTCCAGATCTCTTCGAGGGTTTTGATTCCTGGGAGGAGTTGGGCGCGTTGGGTTGCTTTCGCTCGGCAGTGGAGGATGGCATGTTCGGTGGTTTCAGAGGCTTCGCCGCATCTGTCACACTTTTCGGAGAGGTGGAGGTTGAGCCAAGATTTGTGGCCTCTGAGGTAGCTTTTTTGGGCTCTCATTTGGTGGATTCGAGTAGCCGTGAATTTATGTAAGTCCATGAAGAACTCGGGGCTTGTGGTGAGGGGGAAGGAGTAGTAGGGGGGTGTTGGGAAGTCGTGTGCCCAATTGTCTAGCATTTGTTGTTTTGCTAGCTTTGGGAGGAGTTTGTGATCTGTTCCTCTTGTGACTGGGTGTTGGAGGAGGTGGCAAAGATGTTCGATGGGGAGGTGGGCCACACCCTTCGTTGCCATTGAGTTCCACTTTTTGGGTGGGTTGGGGCGGCCACGGAGGAGGCGTGTGTGAGAGGGGACCCTGTCGGGGGTCAGGGTGGGGAAGGAGGGGTGGCAGCGCCCTGTCACAGGGTTGTTGAGAGGGTGGGCAAGTAGGACGCGTATGGCGAACTTTGTTTTCAGGTAGTGGATGTAGTTGATGAGTGGGGGGCAGTGTGCCTCGGCCCAGAGGACGCGTTGGTTGGTTGCCCTGAAGCAGCCGGTGGCCCACCTGAGGACTGAGTTCCAGAATTTATTCATTGCCTTGATGGAGCTGGTGGGTGTTAGGACGGATGCGCCGTATGTGAGCATTGGGCGGATGGCGAGTAGGGCGATTTTCCTACAGTTGGATGAGGAGAGGCCTTTGCCAGGAGAAGAGAATCTCTGGAGGATCCCGAAGCTGGCTTGGGCGGAGGCTAGGCGGCGGATGAAGTGGGTATTTGGGTTGAAGTTTGGGGATAGCCAGAATCCGACCCATCTGACTTGATGGCCTGGGTGGAAGATCTGGTTATCGAGGGTGATGGGGAGTTGTAGAACAGGAGTATGTACCTACAGAGTATTGTGGCTGGTGTGTGGCGAAAGGCAAATGGAATATGTATGGTGCGCCCACGCATAAAGGTAGCGGATCGCGACGAAATCTCAAAAGCCTAAGGCTTTGCAACGAAAAATGGTAAAAAAAAAAGCGGAAAGATAGAACTCTAGTTCAAGAGATGAAGTTTAGTTCTATCTTTGCAGATTTTTGATATCTGTCTGGGTTGAAAAGCCTTAGCAAGTTGAAATTGTAGATTTTTGTATGTAAAATTCGCCAAGACTGAACAAAGTGGAACAGTATTATACCCATTTATACCCCCAGAAAAGCAAACCTGACTGATCCGTAGCAGTAATGCAGCAGAATGGCTAGAAATGGGCCCTCTTATTGGCCCATGAGGCCCTATTGCAGCCACAATTGTTCCACTTCCGTATGCCACCATATCACCTTTATGAGTGTGTGTACCATATCTGAGGAGAGGCCACGAGGTAAGATTCGGGCTACCGATCTATTCTCTTCTAACCACTAATACAACTATCTAAGTCTTCTACGCACACTTCAGGTTGATATTAATGCTCAGATTGAAAACAACGAAAAATCTAGTATATAATATAGTTCGTGACTAGACCCTGTCTCGTGTATGAAGGAAGTACTCACCCGATTATTGACCAATCAGAAGAAGGCTGGGCACGAAACAGGACTAGAGTAGACCCATCAGCGAGCGTTGCCCGCTGTTTTGCCCGCTCCCCCAGGATGCAATGGTTGCCACCCATCAAAGTTTGGTAGACGCTCGCTGATGGGGGAGTGGTCTATAAGGCGTGTGTGAATGCTATATAGCACAGACACATAGTAGACAGATCACGAAATCTCAACCGCCACGGATTGACATGCACGAGTGATATTCTGTGAAAGATGTAGTATTTTTTTTTATATCATATGAATTGATTCTAGGTACAATAACTGCATGCAGGCATAGCCTATGGCATATGTGAAAGATGTAGTACTTGCCAGTTTTTTTACTATCAGAATTAACTAGCGGCAAACGGCTTGTAACGATGTTCCCCAAGGGCTGTACATACATTTAGACATGTACATGTACACCGTAGGAAAAAAGTGACAAAACAATGAGTGACCACCAACGCGGTTAACGGTTAAGCAACAACCATGACTTTTGAAGGGAAGCCATAAAAGGTGTTAAATACACTTCAGAGGCCGTAGTATGTACACCCTTTCTCATTTTGTGGTTCAAGTACCTCTCGTCATTGGGGTTGGTGTTGAGTGTAGGCGTTGTTTCGTCACCTTTTCCCTGCGGGTGTACTTGGTGTGAAATTATATGTAACTACAAATATTGTCCCATTGCAATAGCAACCATCAACCTCACCATTTACTTCGGGCCATCAACCACCACCATAACCATGATAATTAAAGCAGGAGATAATTACTTCTGAGCATATAAATGACTACGAACTTAATACACCTGAGTTTTAGCTATTGGTTGTGTGGTTTTATAGGGTCCCAAGTTCGCCGGTGGGGCTGAATGCTTGCCAGCGCAATTGGGACAATGCTTAATGAGTATGTAACCTGTTACTTTGAACTTGTCTCGAATTAGACTTTGGGTCACGTGCATTTAATAATTAATAAAGTTGGAGTTGGGAACGTCTTTGTTGCTGATTTAAATCCAACGCCAAGCCGAAGGGACAAACTTTGTACATTCAAGTTGTTCCCTGCATGTATTTTCCACGATGTAGATATATGTACATGATTGGAGTTCGACAAAATAAAAAGCCAGGCAAACACTGTAACGGGTGGGTTTTTACGCATAACAAGAACCTTATGTTAGCTGATAACGAGTTTATCTCTATTTCTCAGTTCTCGACAGTATAGTACTACCTGAAACATTGAATGAAAGATATATACAAGTACAGGGATTCAGTACCACATGTACTCGCTGCCATAGAATGGGGGGCGTCATTGAGTTGTGAGAAACAGACACATCTCCATTGAATATCCCGTTTGTGCTCTGGGGTATCATACCGCCTCAACCTCCATTCCTGCTCTCCGTCTCGACACCATCCACTGCATCCTCTTTGTACCAAACAAAGCATCAAACAATCAATCTACACATCGCCATCTCTCTGAATTCTATACAAACCCCCATATTTCCACCTCTACCTCTACATCCACACCTACAAACATGGCCAACGACATCCCCTGGTACATCCACCTTCCGCTCTTCCTCCTCTTCCAACTCCCCAACTACATCGGCATCTCCGTCTGGCAGCACTTCTACACCAAAACCACCATCCACCCCACCTGGAGCCCCGCCCGCTCCACAAACACACGCACCGACATGCGCGGCGAGTTCGCCGGCATCCTCATCTTCAGCGCCCTCTCGGGTCTCAGCCACCTCTACGCCTGCACCAAGATCCTCCTCCTCCCGCTCATCATCGCCTTCGACGACAACGAGCTCCCAGGCACCCGCTCGCCCACCCGCCGCTCCACACTCGTCTTCATCCTCTACCTCGCCGGCATCGTCCTCCTCACCCTCTTCTCGTCAACCGTCATGTTTGTCGCCCCCTTCGTCACCCCAGAGTGGAGCTGGAAAAGCACCTACAAGCACGCCTGCGACGGAATGGACCTCCGCGTCCACCTCGACACCCCCGGCGTGCGCCAGGCTAACGAGGTAACATTCGAGGACCGTCTCTCGGGGACAAACTTCACCATGGCAATGAGCCCGGACCCTGTCGCGGCGGGCTACGACGCCAAGGGCCTCTACAGTTTCAATGTCACCAGCGCTGGTGGCGGCGCTGGTGCGCCCGGGTGGGCACGGGTCGAGTACAACATGGAGTTTGGCTGGTACACCGTGTATTCGCGCAACAGCAGCATCTTTGCGCACGGGGTGTTTGAGACGGGGAAGCAGTTCCGGCTGCCGGAGATGCATTTGGCGGGGGATTTGGCGCTGTTTGAGAGTCGGTGTGTGTTTGATCCGACGGTGCAGATGCGCGATGCGCGCGAGAGGGAGGGGGAGGTGTTGGTGAAGACGGTGCAGTTTAGGATCTGTGGGGGATTGGTGGTGTGTGCGAAGGGGAGTGTGGGGAAGCAGGTGGCGGTACCCGTTGGGTTGTTGATGTTGGGGAGGGCGAAGAGGGGTGGGGGGTGCTGTATGTCGAAGTATAGAGTGCCTGGCGTGGAGGGGAGGGATTATCAGTAGTGCTGCTCCTTTGGGGGTTGGTGGGGTGGTAGATATCTCTTTCTCTTTTCTTTTTCGTTGCTTTTATTACTCAACATCGATATCAATGTAATGTCTGAAATTGGGGTAATGGAATTTGTGCTAGGTGGAGTATAAGACCGTAGTATAGACAGCCATCATCCGTGCAACAAGGAATTCAATGATGAATAATCTCTATATATCGATATCCACAAACAGCTCTTTTTCTATCCCCGGCCCCATGATGGACATTACCACCTTCTCGGCGCTGTCCGGATAGTGTAGATACATATCCAGCCATGCACCACCACACTACATGTAGTTCTCGCCTCTCCCGCTTTTTCATATAATAGTATAATCCCAGTAATAGTATAATGACGGTGATACAACACTGCCGTAGTACTGCGGTTAGCCAACCAAGGTACAATCACAGAAGATCACTCGCTTATGTAAGCAACACATTGCGGCGTAGTGAGGTGCGCGGTCGCCAAGATGTGGGTAGCAATTCATGTAGCGGTAAATTGAAGCTGGGTATCACCCGCCGGGGGCGAACTCAAGGGTGTTCTTAAATGGTAATTGTCATTTAATGAAGCGTTGATACGGCAGCTTAGTGTGGTTCATGGGGTGTCACTCGCGCTTGTACCTACATCTACAGGGGTGCTGTGGGGGGCGGGGTGGCGGGGGTGAGGGGTGGCAGCTATATAATGGCTAGCTGGCGAGAGAGGAAGATGGTTGTGGGGTTGTGTTTTGTGGTACATAAGTTGTTTGCGCTGGGGGGATTTATGTTTCTGCTGGGGGCGGTTCATCGTTTTGTCGGCTCTCACTGGCTAGCTCTTTCTCCGGATTGTAAGTTCTAGTGTTTGGCGGGCGGTGATTGGCGAGGGACCATCTCTACCATCTCCGTCCCGGCCCCATTATTGTATATCTTCCTGCACGTACGCTTTGTTGCATGGCATATATACACGAGCCCCCATGGAGCTAACAGCAGCAAAGGAAAGAAGGTCAACATGGGGGTTGGACGTGGCCAAGCGGTATAGAGCTCACACTCTGTATCGAACATGTGAGCGTTCAACCCCCCCTCCGGACGTAGAAAAAGATGTAGCAACCGAGGCCTAGGCGGTGTTGTGAACTTTTTTGCTCTTTTTTGTACTTTCAGAGGTCCTTTAATTGTTCACAATTGTCATCGGCCATGATCACATTAACCGATACAAACAATCCAGTATGTTCTCGCCTGCAAGCCAAATTAACCATTGTTCCTTAGTAGTTACTCAGCATTGTTCCTACCCAGCTTATAGCCAAATTGCAAACCAAATCAGCAACCCGCATTTGCGAAAATTCTACTCGTCCTCACACTTTATATTATAGGAGATATATATAGTGGGCTATGCACTGCTAGTGGAACAGACACTTACATGTAGTATCTACGGTAGCTAGTACTTTAAAGTGGGTTCGATTCCCCCTGACGGAGCACACTTCAAACCTTTTTTTCTCTTTTTTTTTTGGCTTTTGCATGGGTTTTGTTTTGGAAATGGGGAAAAAAGGGCCTCTCAGACCTACATGTAGTAACTACCTCCCCAGGCCTGCAGCTGGTCTTGTATCCTCTTGTCAGCTTGTGCACCATATGTGCAGGTCTCGTCTTGTTTTGTTAGTTTGTCTGATCTCGAGACCATTGGTTTTCGTGTCATTCTTCAGAAGGGAGCCAAGCTAGCTTAGGAAGAAGAGGCGAATGTTTGGGGGTTACTCGATCGGGAGCAGGGCTGATATGATCTTTGTGGGGGCAGACGTTATTATTGTAAGTAATATCTCCTTTTTCTTCTATGCCACCGGGTTGATCTTGTCGTGCCCGTGTGCAGCCCTGCCGCGTCGTGGCTGCGGAATGCCGGGCGCCCTTGTCGACAGATACATGCGCATATATGCTCTCTCAGTCACGACCTTTCAGAGTTACAGGTGGTCACACAATCCGCTCGCTGATGTCTGGCCAGTCTGATCAATAGCAATGTCAATCCTAGCAACACATACACTTCCAGATCACGCCGGTAGGAACTACAAGCATCCGCATATATTAAACCAAAACTATGTATATACATACAAAGCATATAACCAACAGTAACACCCTCAAAGCACCCCCTTCCCATCCCACCCCGCATCCCTCCCCGCCACCCCCGGGATCACACTCCCCTTGCAACACCCACACGGCCTCTCCCTCCTCATGAGCATCAGCAGCCCCGCCACCACCTGCACACGATCCCACTGGTCGCGCCGCGCACACAGCTGCAGCTGCCCGCAGATTGTGAACTGCACCGTCCTCATCACCACCGTCCCCTTCCCATCTCCCTCCTCCCTTCTTCTCCCCGTCTCCCACACCTCCACAGTAGGATCAAAAACACACCTTCTCGCAAACGGCCCCGCATCCCCCTCCAGCCCCAGCGCCTCAACCCCAAACTCATCCCCAAGCCCAAACACGCTCTCCATCGCCAGCGCCCCGCCCTCGTCGTACGCCCTCAGTCGCCGCTGCGGGACATCATACAGCACGCTCCCAAACCTCGGCACAAACCCGCCATGGCCATCCCTCGCCGAGACCACCGAGAAATTACTCCTCCCCCCCCCACCCCCACCCCCACCCCCTAGCCCCCCTTCTCCTCCAGCCTCCTCGTCCTCCATAGCCATCCTATAGCTCCCCAAGCTCCTCAAATCCCCAAACAGCACACTCCTCGCCGGGCGCGCGTCCGCCGCGTCCAAGAAAACCCTCACGTCCAACCCGGCAGCACACGCGCCCTCGTACCGGCGCTCCCACGCCACGCCGGGCGTCACAAACGGGCTCACAAACTGCGCGACCGTAAACAGCAGCGCCGCCGCCGTGGCCACCAGCATCGCCAGCGTCGTGAAGGTGCGCCAGAGGCACTTTGTGAGCGCGGGGCGCAGCGGCGAGCGCAGGTCTATCCATTCGCGCAGACTAGCCAGCGCGACGAGGGTGTGGCGGAGAAAGTGGGATGCGAGGATGCCGTTGGAGAGGGTGAGGAGGAGGGAGAGCGTGACGAGGATTGCAAAGTGGGCGCGGAGGGTGATGCGGGATTGGTTGGTGGAGAGCGGGGGGGAGAGGAGGGGGTTGATGGTGGTGGTGACATAGGTGTGGTGTTGCCAGGCGAGGAGGGGGTTGGCGATGAGGGAGGTGGCGAGGGGGAGCTTGATGAGGAGGGTGTGAGGGGTGGGGGGTTTGGGGAGGTAGGTTCGACGGGGGGGGTCGGGGTCGGGGGGAAGTAGGACATTGTGATTGTGCTGTGGAGAGGTGTGGGGGGGGGAAGTGTGGAGAGGTGTGGAGAGATTTGTGGGGTTGGTCGATGAGGTGCTAACTAATGGATGATATTGATGGCGGAAATAACGCCGGTGGTAGGCACGACAACGACCGAGTGACATTCTGTGAGGGCACCTGCACCGGTCTTGACTTGCAGCAGGATTGAGGAAAACCGAGTGAGTAGCCGTGATCCCAGGCCCCCACAAATTCTTTGCAACTTATACCTAGATCTTACCTGTTTCCGATCTACACAGCTGCTCAGGCCCTACCCGATAAACAACAGCAACACAGTAATAAACAGTCGAAGTCTACGTGCTAGCTACTTGACCCCCGCATGGTGGGCGGGTGGAAGACCGACCGTTCCGCCGCTGAATTATGGGGTCGGATCTGCATACCTCAGCAGACACCAGTCCCAAAAATATCCAGCGCCGGGGCCATTCAAGCCTCCCCCCCCAAATCCTCCCCCGATGGAGAACACCACCCAAACACGCATGCCGTATACACATCAACCCCCCCCCCCCCCCGGGAACCACCTCGCAAAAACACAAAGATACGCTGCATTTTTGGTGCTGACAGGCGCAGCCCGGCTGGCTTGGTGGCTGGGTTCTCTCTCGAGCTGGTGGTATACTTGCGCGATAAAATGGGGGGTTGGTATATATACCCGCAGATCGATCATGGATTATGGGTTGGTAGAAATGGATAGCTAGCTTTGTGCGTGTGTGTATACCTCTCAGAAAAAAGGAGGAGGGGGGGGGGGGGGGGATGTCTGCGTGTGTTTGTTTGGAGGAGTAGCTGAAGAGTGGTGGGTATACATATGTATGTTCGATATATATGTAGTTTTTGTTTGCGCCTGGCGGGGGGATCCGAGAAGGAGGGGGAGAGCGAATAAAGTGTAGCCACCACGGGCCAACCAACATCCAGACCAGGACCCGGGGCTATGTAACGACCACCACTACCGACAGCGGGGCCGATAGCCTATCCTTCATTCGTGCCCGCCAACGATAGGCAAAAACTCTAGCTAGCTACAGGAGGAGTAGTTGCAGTTTGTGGTGCCAGAAGAGGGCGAAAGCGGAGGCCACAAACCGCGGTGACTTGACTTGCAGTGGGCAGAATGGTTCGCGGCGGGGTGAGGGCTGGGTACGCTAGAGGTGAAATACTTCTAGTTCAAATAGGCAACGTTTATTACGAAGGGATATGGAGGACCAAGGCCAGGACAGTGATATTGAGTTGCGCCACAACTCATCACTCGCCCGCTACACACATCACCAGCACTCACTCACTCACTCGATCGTCCACGCCCACATGCCGCCATTCCCACTACACTGTCACTCGGTTACCTTATGTACTCGCCCGATCACTCGGAACACGTGCACAGCCTCTCACTCGCGGGCCAGAAATGGAAATGGAAAATGGCGGTTTCTAATTACAGTATTTGCATTTGGTATTGGGTATTAGCACTATCACGTAGTCTTCGCCTACCAGCTAGCCTCCCTGGCTCCCTAGCCCCCTATCTCACGCCCGCCCTGAACATCTCTTGCACAACTACCGCCATATACACCTGAATACATACATACTAACCCCCCCCCCCCCCCCCAAACACGACACACGCATAACCAGTAAATAAGTACAAAAGCACACCAAAAAAAAATTTGTCACTGCACTAGTTAGTAAGTTAGTTAGCCCCAAAAAACGAACCAATAAATAAACGACCGCTAATTAATCGTTAATCCAATAAGATAACCAATAAAATAAAATAAAAAAAAGAGAGAAACCAGAACAGAACAGAAACCCGCTTGTATGTAAAACAAAAACCAAAGCCAGTCAGTAACAGTAACAAAACAAAAAAGCACAAAAACGAGAGTAAGAACAGAGCGCAAGCCAGAGCTAGCAGAAGAGGTGAATCGGTGAGGACCTCCCTAGAACACACAAAAACGCTCAAAAACAAGAACGCACAAGAACGGAATAAGAGCAAGTATAAGATTTGGAGAGAAAAATACGGAGGGGAAGGGGACAAAAAAAAACCATGCAAGTCCAATACCGATAATAACCTACCTACCAATCCAACTAAGCAAAAAGAAAAAGAAAAACCAAGTCTTCGAATCAGCCCAGAAACAATAAATAATAAAAAAAAAAGACCAAAACCAAAATAAAACAGACAAAACTAAGAACTAAAAAGACCCTATGCCACCATGGCCATGCAGTACAAACAAACAAAACGCACAAAAGCACAAAATCACAAACAAAAAAAACCCGCAACCACCACTCCACCCTAAAAGAAAAGAAAAAAAAACAACCAAGTCTATCTACTCCCTACTCCTCTCCACTCTCCTCCCCCACCCCACCCCTCCCCAACAGATCCAACACAACCCCCAAACTCCCACTCCGCCTCCTCCCCTCCCTCCCCTCCCTCCCCTCATCCCGCGCATCCTCAACCTCACTCCCCCTCCTCGACCAATCCCCAATCAGCAGCGGCCCCGGCAACAAATTCGACACACTCTTCCTATGCATCCCCATCCCCCCCGCGCCCGCCGCCCGCCTCGCCACCGACCCCACCGGCGACTCCCCACCCAACCTCGACGGCGGCCGCGACGCAATATACGACCCCATCCGACTCGGATTCGCGCTCGGCGTCCCCGGGAACGAGTCCAGTATCGCAATACTCGACGCCGATATTCCCCTCACAATCGGCGGCCTCTGCGACTGCTGCCGCGGCGGCGGCGGGGTGTTCGCCGGTGACGCCGGCGACTGCTGTAAAGACCGGTTATTCTTCCCCAGGTCGATACTCGCCGTGGCAGTGCCTCCATACGCGGCCTCGATGTCCGCAGGGAGGTCATCGTCATCGGGGTACTCGTCGTCCCACTGCTTCCCCGTGCGCCGCGACGATATGAGCCACACGCCCCAGAACGTCAGCGCGCAGCCGGTGGTGAACTTTATCATTCTCTCCGGCGTGACGGTTTCAAAGTCGCGGTACAGGATTGCGCTTCCGAGGATGACGGAGATTGTGAATAGGACAAACTGCGTGGGTATGACCTGGGTGGAGTCGAAGCGCTGCAGGGCGCGGTTGACGTATTTGATCTGTAGTACGGCCGTGAGGAGGAGGATTGTGGTGAAGAGGTAGGCGATGGGGTAGGTGAAGATGTGGTAGAAGGAGGAGGAGAGGAGGGAGGAGATGCCTTTTGTCGAGAGGACGGTGTAGCCGCCTGGTTGGGGTTGGTTGGTTAGATATCACGACCACAGCATCCGCGGGGAGGGAGGGGGTGAGGGGGGGGGGGGGGGGGGAGCAAACCAAAGAGGGCGACAAGGCCGAGGTCTATCAGGATTGTTTTGCGCCCATACTTGGACGACAGATACATCAGCGCCACGATCATGGCACAGGTGATGCCAAAGTACACCTCAAACGCGGTCTGCGAGATGGCCTCCAGTATTTGATCCGGGCCGAGCTGGTCAAGCAAGCCATCAGCCTCAGTTCTCTCTGACAGCATATAATTCCTCCTCATTCTAGTATCACTATAATTATGATGATTGTAGGTCACATCGATACCCACCTTCGTCTCCTCCTTCTCGGCACTCCACACCACCACCACCGCGCCCAAAATGCTCACCACCACGCCCACCACGTCCCGCCGCCGCAGCGGCTCCTTCAGCACCACCGGCGCAATCACACAGTTCGACACCAGCGCCACCACGCCGAGCGGCGACACAATGCTCGCCGGCGCAAACCCGTACGCAAGGAAGTTGCCGCACTCGCCAACCGTCATCAGCACAAACCCCACCCACCAGTACGGCGACGACAGATACAGCTGGTCCGGCGGCGGCGGGCCCTCCTTCTCCCTATGCTGCTGCCGCTGCGACAGCAGCAGCCCCGTCGCCTCGTCCGGCTGCTGCTGCGGCGGCGGCGGCGTCCCGGGCAGACTCGACGACTCGGAGCTGTACGCGCTGCTGCTGTCGGGGTCAGGGCTTCCGTCGGCGCTGGTACCATCACCCCCGTCTGCCAGGTGTTGGCGGCGTCGACGGCGCCTCCACAGTCGGCGGCGCTTCTCCGCCTCGCGCTCGAGCCGGATGTGGGCGTACTTCTGTATATTCAGAGCGAGGGAGATGAGGATGTTACCGCAGATGGCGATGACAATGCCGATGAAGGAGCTCCAGCGGCGGAGCGTCTCCTCCGAGTCGAGGGCGAAGGATTTTGACGGGGAGGCGGCCATGAGGAGGGAGACGACGGCTGCTTCGGCGGGGGTGTAGATGTCGCTGCTGCTGCTGCGGGGAGAGGATGAGTGGAGGTCCATCGTGGTGGACGGGGGAATGGTGGTTGTGGTTGGGGTGGTGGTGGTGGTGGTGGTGGTGGGGGGCTGCGCGGGGGATGCTGCGTCATGTAGCGGCAGTGTGGTATGCTGGCTGCTGCGCTGGACTGGGGGGGTTGTGTTCTGTGTGTATGTGCTGTGCTGGGTGAGAGGAAAGCTTGGTGTCACTCCGGCGTTCAGCGCGCAGCGACAGACAGACCGGCCTGCGATAGAAGCGGTGTACCGTCAGCAACAATGAATGATGATATGATATGAATGATATGATATGAGTGAATGAATGGACAAGTGTAATATTAAGTGTAAGAGTGGATGCGAATAGGCCTATCAAGCAGACAGGAACTCAAACACAAACTCCCATCAGCGAGCAGCGAACGAGAGCGGGTCTGCGTAGCATGTGCTGCAGCAGCTGCTTGTGGCACAACAACGCCAACAGACAGACAGGCAGGACTGAGGGGGGACCGTATCGTATCGTGGGGAGACAAGCAAGGAGTGCAAGTGAGGGAGGAGGCATCACATCACAACAGGGGAGAGCAGAGTGAGTGGAGTGAGGTGAGGTGAGGTGAGGTGAGTGGAGGGGGGATAACAGAGCAGGAGATGCATCACAAATATAATATTCCCACATACCTATATGAAAATATCGAGATAAATAGCGTAGTCGTTGTAATAGTAGTAGTAGTAATAGCAAGAAAGCCGTCGTCCAGCGTCGTAGAATCAGTCTACAAACGGTTTGTAGCAGCAGAGGAAGAGAAAGAAAAGGAAAAAAAAACCAAACAACAACCCTCCCTCCTCCCTCCCCCCCCCCCCCCCCGGGGCGGATCTATCCACTCCCCTAATATCTGTTTTTCCCTCATCATTTCCCCTTCCCTTCCCTTCCTTCTTCGCTCATTCAAGGCATCTTTCGTTCCGGTTGCTTAGGCCCACTCTCAGCCCTCTGATTGGTCATCCCCAGAGGCAGGATCCCCCGGAGATGGATCGTGATATCCGAGATAAGATAACAACAGCCCTCCCCTGCCCTGCCCTGCCCCCTACCCTGGTCTCCCCCCCCCCCCACAACCTCCCACGACGTCGTCTTGCATAAATAGCACCCACGACAACAACGTTTTCTCGACCCTCCCAAACCACAGTTCTGGATGGGAGATCTCAAGGCATAGAAAAGACCACATGCTTGCTTGCTTGCTTGCTTGTCCATCTCTGCTGCACAGCGCGGGCATCGCGAAGCTTCGCAGGATTTCTGCCCTTGCTTGGCAGCGTCATGGCCGCAGCAGCAGGAAAAAAAAAATTTAAAAAGAAGGCTATTAATTTATGCTTACTGAATAAAATTTATTCCATTCTCCGCCCCCCCCCCGACATCTGCATATCTCACTGACCGATATATACACACACACAGAGAAGTCTCCATACCTGGCAGTGCAAGCCCCATATACCTACACATACAACAATATCACACTGGTACGAGGTTACTTACAAACCCGCCGCAATCTCCGGCTGTCTCGCCGTTGCTCTCGGCCCGATCAGTCAGTGCAATTAACGAACCAATCCCACGGTTCGACAATCACCCCTCCTAGCCTAACAAGAGCAGGCCCGTGCGTATGTGCATTTCCCCCACTCTCCGGATAAAGTACATAGCTAGCTAATATAGGGGGGAGTGGAATAAAGTACACTCGACAGCTAAATCTAAATACTGACAGACAGGTAGAGTAGGTACATGTACTACGCCTGTGACGGTAAGTCTGTAGACAGGTGGCGGTGACACACAAGCAAGTGTTCAGAGATCGTCCCCCAATGCACCGCCACCTGTCTACAGACTTACCGTCACAGGCGTAGTACATGTAGTTTAACCAGCTCTCTACATACATGTATCTAGCTAGATATGCAGGTATACTGGTTAATTTTCTTCCCCACCTCACCCTATCTCCATCCCGCCAGCCCGCCAGCACAAAAAATAAAACAAAAACTCCCCACGTCCCCCTTCCCACCGTGTACAACCTTACCCCTGATCGAGCAGATACCCCGTCCCTATCACAAAACGGCGCTGCATACATACTCACACCTCACCCCTCCCACGCCTCACACCAAATCGCCAACAGGGCCCCCGCGCATACAGCGATAGGAATGATCTATGGAAAAAACAGTTATATGGTGCACAGATATTTCGCCATACAATTTCACCCCCCCCGTTTTTCCATAGATCATTCCGGTCGCTATACATATCGTTTCCGCAAATACCTGCGTCAAACACAAACACGGAACATGTAATAGTGGCGTTTGTGTTTGTGCGCTGGGCCGTTGGGATCGATCCGGGGTTCTAGTGGCCTGTCTGCTGGGTTTAGATACAGCTATAAGTATAGGAGTATGTAGGGGAGTGGATTGGGAAGGGAGGCGTTGTTGGTGCGAGAGACATGAATATGTAAGTGGATTTTTAAGGAAGACTAGGTGAGGAAAAGCTTGGGGGGGGGCAACCAGCGTACATGTCAGTCATCCACGGTATCAGGACAGTGGAAAGTTATAGGCCTGAAGCTGCACGTTGACAGCTTTGTGCTGGATACTTAGCTAGCCAATGGCAATGGGTGGGTGGAGAGTTGAAGACTTGACTGGCGGTGGGGGTCGGGAACTACATACATGTAGCTATGTAGGCAGACATGGTCCGATATATGGTCCAATGCTTGTTTGTGAAGCCGTCAGCTAAATCCACAAGAATAAGTAAATCCGAAAACCTCATGCTCCTGAATTATATCCATCTGCAAAATTGGTACCAACACTCACCATCGTTAAAACAGAAAAATCCCAACGCCTCTTGGTCTCCTATATCCACGTGAATGCGTCTATATCATGGTAGCTACATGTGGGGACGGCCATATGCATTTTGTGGAGTTGTCAGCTATTAGCATGCACAATGCAGTAGCACAAAACTCCTGAAAATGGACAGGATATGCAGAAAAGATGGGTTTTTGATCCTTTTGACGCTCTTGTAGTCATCAGTCAATGTCATGAAACTCCCAGAAGTGGAAAGACCTGCAGAAGCTCAGGAGTGCTGGGAGGTTTGGTCCCTTTGACATCCATTGCAGGGTCATCGGCCATGGCCAGTACAGCTGCAATGCGTTGTTGAGATGAAATCCCGGGACTGGGCGTGGGCATTCAGGAAAGATGGGGTTTTGATGCCATTGCCTGAGAGTCGTCAACCAGCGCCACGAAACTCCCAGGGTTCGGAATGTGCGTGCAGATGATTTGGGAATTTCGGTCCTTTTTTTGAACCAGTCCCGTGAAACTGCAACTCTCGGTACTGGACATACAGAATGTGGGGGGGGGGGGGGGGCTTTGGTCCTCCTTGATGCCATTGCAAAGTCGTCTCCCAGTGCCATGAAACCTCTGGCACTAGGCATGCAGAAGATCGGGAGTTTTGATCTTTTTGATGCCACTGCAAAGTCGTCAGCCAGCCAGTGTCGTGAAACTCCCGGGACTTCTGGACATGCAGAATGTGGGGAGGTTTGGCCCCCTTTGATGCCACTAGATTACAAAATCACCAGTCAGCGGCAGTCTGTACATGGACAGTATAGTTCAGTGCGATGAAACTCACTGGGCTGGACCTGGGCATGCAGAAAATTTGGGGAGCTTTGGTCGTTTTTTGGTGCTCGCTGTAGTCGCCAGCCAGTGTCGTGAAACTCCCGGAACTTCTGGACATACAGAATGTGGGGGGCTTTGGTCCTCTTTGGTGCCACTTCAAAGTCGTCAACCAGTGCCATGAGCCTTTGGGATTGAAAATGCAGAATGTGGGGGGGGGGGGGGGGGGCTTTGGTCCTCTTTCATGCCATTGCAAAGCCGTCTGCCAATCCCATTAAACTTCTGGCACTGAACATGAAGAAGATGGGGAGTTTTGATCTTTTTGATGCCGCTGCAAAGTCGTCAGTTATCATACCCAGTGCCATGAACTTGCAGCTCCCGGGAGTGGGGCCTTTTTCATACCATTGCAAAGTCCCACCTCAGTACAGCTGAGTGCATGAAACTCGACCCCCCGGGATTGGATAGACATGCGGAAGCTGGAGAGTGCTGGGGAGTTTGGTCGCTTTGATGCCATTGCGGGGTCGTCACCTAGTGCCGTGAAACTCCCGGGACTGTACATGCATAATTAAGCTGCATTGGGGAGTCTCGCCGGTTCGATGCCACTGCAAAGCCCTAAGCCAGCAGAGTATGGTGCAGTGACGCTGGGAGTGGACATGCAGAGGAAGCTCCTTTCTGGTGCCATCGCAAAGTCGTCGGTCCGTTCATGAAGACCCCGGTGCTAGACAGACATACAGAAGCTGAAGAGTTTTGATCTTTTTGATGCTCATCGCAAAGTTGTCAGCCAGAACGGTGCGGTGTCGATATGAAACTAAGTGGGCATGCGGGGTTGCGGTGGAGAGCTTTGGCCCTTTCTGATGCCGTTGAAAAAAAGTCCTCAGCTTGTACCAGTATGGTGTCATGAAACTCAATCCTGGCAATGGGCATACGGGATTGAGCTGGGGAGGTGTGGCCTTTCTTGGTGCCGCGTTAGCAGGAATCACTGTCTGACTACTCATGCGATGGTACAGAGTGACATATCGTGATTTGGATTTTGCCCTGTGTTTTGCTCGAAAGCACTGAGTGTTGTTCACGATACTCGAGGCGAGGTTGGCGGATATCCTCCGCGAGGTGCCTCGTCCTCGTTGACGTCACGCGTCTTCTATGGCCTCTACCCGGCGTTGTTGTCCTTCAGGACAGTAAACAATGATGAATTCATCCGATTTGCGGTATATCGTACATGAATTGTCTTTGGAAGCCCTTAACGAAAGGACACTCGCACTGTTATCACGTGTCATCATGGAAATGTGCTCGAGGCAAAGACACAAGGATACTCGTCCTCGCGCATCACATTAAATTCCATCCCTACGAGACCGGCCTTCGGCGGAATACAGACACTGTGGGAGTGGGATTGTGGGATGTTTTGCTGCATATGCATATTTGGTCATGTACATACATACGCTCACAGAGTACACTCGTGTCTCAATAAATTTTGTGTGCCAAACCTACATGGAGTTCGTGATAGCTTTTGGTACGAATATTCTCTATTGATACCTGTGTATGTTTTCCTCTATTCTTTCTCCTTCCCGTACATACTTCCATCGTACTTCCATCCTATTCCACCATCCTCAGCGTCATCATCTCCGCCTTCATCGCCGTCACCACCACCACCCATGTCCTTCTTGCCTGTTTTCAGCCACGGAGCGGGACGAGAATTCCGGTTGACTCGTCGACGCTAACCAATGTTTTAATATCACCCAGAGTTTCACGATTATACTTTTCTCGCATCACACATCCCTGCAGCACTGGGCTATATACATAATGGAAGTAACGCTGTTATCCGTACTATCGTGAAATGCCGAAGTGCCCCGGGGATTGTGTTGTTTTTCTCGTGAGGTTTCTGAGAAGCCTGAAGACTGGTGTGGGCTATCCAGCGCCTCTACAAGGATCCCTGCAAGTTGCTGTTTGAGTGCTAACTAGGCATGGAGAATGATTCCCTCTGGCCGGAGATATCGTGCCTCGCAATCTCGTCAATATCGTCAGTCCACAGATATATTTGCAATTTCAATATTTTCTATTGTTTTTATTTCACGTGAATACAGCTAGCGCGCTCACAAAATTAATCAATCAATAACCAATACGGAGTGAGTACGCTAGGCCTCTGTATATGAGTGTATATACATGTACATACGTATGGCATCGTGACGACCACTCAACTCCGCTAGTAACGGATTTATAATCTCTGCTCATAATCAGCACCGTTCAAAAAATCTCCCAAAGCGGGCACCATGTGCATTATCGTGAGTGTTCATAGACGGGCAATGTCAATTGACACACACACACCGACGGCGCGGGGAAAATAAAAATAACCTTTTTGCTGCATGCCTAAACATACCCCATAATCCACCTATGTCATTCTGCTTGCCGCGTGCGGGTAAAGAATCGCGCGGCGCCAGCGTTAGTAGTTGATCCGTTGCAATGATTGAATTTGCATGTTTTGATTTGCCTGTGGGTCACGGAGCTGCGCTAACAAAATATAAACTAGACAGCCAGTCCAAATCCAAGTCGTGACCGAATTAACCAGATATGGCTGGGTGTGTTCATTTGAACTTATTCTCTCCCTGGCTTTAGTGGGGCAGGGAACCTTCTAGCGTGCTGGAACTGCGTTTATCAGAGAATAGCTACCATAACTGATTCGGTCATGATTTCGATTTCGAATGACTTCTTAAGGAATAAATAATAATTTGGCGTGACTTTTAAATTTATTTTCATTCTTTATATTAGCCACCACGTTAAGCAGTCTGCACTTTGTTCGTTACGGGCCAGTGCGCTTTGTGATCGCTTTTGTCTCTCTAGCTATAGATCTAGATCATCTGCTCGCCTCATGAAACTTGAAATAACTATTTTCACCGTGATAAAGTACTAAAACCTAACGGCGATTGTTTAAAATCTTACAATTGAAGATCTTTACGTGACGGGTAGAGACAATTCTACACCGCCGACAGCCGCTTCTAGCTAGCCTGTAAATTTTGTGTGGTGACCCACAGATTACCACTAGCAGACTAGGGATGAGAAATAAGGTATGGTGAATTCTGGAACTCATCTGACAGGGATCAATAGTTCCAGCTCTCACGATAGGTAGGTTAAGCGAAGTAGGTACTACCTTCTCCCGGCGCCCAGTCACCTCGGACCAGAGATAGCAATTAACTTGACAGGGATTAATAGTCGCAAAACTCCTATCTAGATAGATAGATTAGTATTAATTGTGCAAGTAAGAACTCTGGCACGTACTGCTTTTTGAATATTCCAGCCCTTGGAGTGATGAATCACTCTTCGGGATCCCCCTTCTATGTAGCTGGATTGAGAGTAGTACCGGGTGTTGAGGGTAAGTGATCAGAATCTGATAAGTGGATATTGCGGTGAATACGTGCATTTGTCTTATCAGATTCTGATCACTTTTCGCTATACCCTAGTACAGGTTTTTTTCTTTCTTCTTTTCACAATCATTGACATGGACGCGTACGCCGACAAAGAAACTTCAAAACACATCTACACATCGAATTTCTATCTACGGAGATTCAACACGGCTAGGTCGGCCTATTGCCGTGTCTGAACCTTCTCGTTCCAGAGGACCGACCACTATGGGGCGTTGAGTTCCGGCATTAGCGGTGACGTCGCGACCTGCAAGTAGCCGCTGTAAACAAGAGACATGTCTCAGCCTCCGTGCGAATCTCAAATCGCCGACTCAAGCAAATGGGGGGGGGAGGGGGTTTGTATTCGGTGTGATTTCGTTGAAACTCCTCCGTGGTGTTCATTGGGCCAATTCATAACCAACACCAAATTTCCCTGAAAAGATGATAGCTGCTGCACAAGCTATCACTCGGTCGTTAGGTCTTGACGCCAAGAAAGTGCTCGGACACACCAATCTATCGCAGGCGAATCGGGGCCGCAAAGCAATCAAGGCAACGAGACAGAGCGTGATAGCTCACCGGTCTCTGATTCTGTTTTGTGCGACTCGAGCTCGAGCTCGAGCTATGGGAAGAGATTCGATTCGGTTGGACCCTGCATGGTGGCATGGAATGGGCGGAGCGCCATGTATTATGCACTGTTATGCATGTGATGTGCACATATTTCTGCCCTGCTACTCTATGTATTCGCCGCGGGGCCTGGGATTGGAGGGATCGCTGGCTAGATGCCTATTTGTCCCATGGGCCCAGTTGGCTTGAAAACTTGGAAATCTAGAGTGTATGTAGGACGTAGACCGCGGCGACATGAGCAGGTGCAAGTAAATACTCATCAGAGGACATGTAGTATAATCACGATAAAAACAGCAAAACCCAAAATAACAACAGGTTTTCCATCAAAAAATAATGAAAACGAAACATGTAGAGAAATCGTTCAATTGAAGAACAAGAGCTCCTCTTTCTCCCAGAAAACGTCCATCTGATCTGGTGCGGCTGGTTCTACAATGGAGTTAGTGTTACATAATAATAGCTCGCAATCAATGACCGTCCAGAAGGAGACGGCTGCCCCCCCCCCCCCCCCCCTCTCCCCCCCCTCCCCCCCCCCAGCAATACTGTATACGTAGTGGGGTCCGTCTCCAGGGCTGTGGATGTGGATGTGGTGCTAATTTTCTTTTCTTCCAAATTCTTTTCGTTCTCTGCAGTGCACATCTATTCCATAAACTGTCGAGACATTTCCGACACCGCTTCCACACGTGGCTGGAACCAATAATTTCAAAGGGTTTTGTTAATCTTTTACTCTATTTGAATTCACCGTGGCCCTTCGTTTCACAAGAGCCGGGGGGGAAGGGGAGGGAGGAGGTGTCAGAATTGGAAACTATTCTCAACTCACACTGCGGCCATCCCGAAATAATGGTAGCAGCAGGAGGTAATCCCCCGAGGAAGCGGGTTGATGGGCTGAGGGAATGTAGACCTGGTGCTGCTTTGCCTTACTCTAGCTCTGGGGAATGATCGTGATTGCAATGCGCTAGTCTTAACTTGAGCATAAAAATATTAATTCTCCATTAGATGTTGACGTATATATATACACCTGACAACCCTCGGCCACCCAAACCATTACACAGTGCAGCTCTCATAAAATTACAGACCATATGAGCTAGAAGCTCAAGTTAACCCCACTCATGATCAGTATACGTATATTCAGAGAGGATATATAATCTGCTCTCATCCCCGCTGTCTCTTTTTTTTTTTCCCCATTCCTCCCATCCATCTGTACTGCGAGTATCCTGTACGGCTGGAGTATGATTATCATCCAGACCTTGCTTGACGCTGTATAAGTATTCGCTTCGGCCCCCTCTCATTTTCTTCCATTCGAATTCTTCTCTTCCTACACACACCCGCCACCCCCCATCCCCACCCCCCTCCTCACACACACACACTTGAGAAACACTCAAAACGGAAAGAAAAAGAGAGATGGCTGCAGCCACCTCAACTGAAGGGGACATGCAGGGCATGAGGGAGCAATTGCAGCCTGACACCGCCTTCACCGCCCCCGCCACCGCTCCCGTCACCGCCATCGTAACCCTGCCTACTGTAGAGCAGCTTCTCAGCAGTATTCCTGGTATGTACAATCCATCTTCTCTTCCATTCCCTTCCTTCGTCGTAGAATACGTCACACACACACACACACATATATATATGCTAACACCCCCGTCCCCCAGACAATTACGTCTACCTCGACTACACCGCCGCCGCGGCCGCTGAGCCCTGTAACAACAATGACGAAGAGGTCTACAGCGATGACGACGAGGACAGCGATGACGATGACGACGAGTATGAGTATCTCTTCCCATTCTACGAGACTCCTCCGGCCGTATTCAAGGCTTGCCGTCGCGCATTCATTATTGTTACTCGCGCTATAAGAAGGAATGGACTTGCCCGCAAAAACCCCGAGTGGTTTAAGAGCTGGGAGGAGAGCATCTCCGATGCCAAGGGTATGTGTATTCACTATTTCCCTGTCATGATGATTGATCTATTTCCGTGTGCTCTTCTTTTTTTTCTCTTTTAGTGTGGTGTGGGATACGTAGGTCATATGTAATAGTACGCATACGCTGACACAAACGGCCGGTCATAGAAAACGATTACTATCCCGAATTGAGTTTTGGCACTCAGACCATCTGCTGGCTCGGAATGCAGTTGGCCGGCGGCAGTCTCGATATCCTGAAGGATCACATCGAGGGCTGGCGTGTTAAGCCTTTTGGTCACTATATGTTGGCCGATATCTTGGCCGCTAACGCCGCCAATTCCCGTCGCCGTCCTGTTCGTGCCGTCCGTGTTCGCCGTGCTCGCCGTATGGCAGCTCGCCGTGCTGGGTTTTAGGCCCGAGTTTCTCCCAATCTCGTAATGGCTTTTACTTGATTGGATTTTACTTTTTCATTGTTTCATGTATGTAGCTTATAGAGGACCGGCACAAATGAATTCAATATAGACTTGTATTATATTACCGCGTGAAAGAGTGGGAATAGACCCATTATTGACAGGGGGTGTAGCGGTAACGGTACTGCTCAGATCTCCAGTCGATCCCGCGCGCATGGGTACTTGGCACCTACATACGCCGAGCTCCCCCAACGAGCCGTGATATATACATATTTACATGATTGGTGAAACTGGTTATATACACGACACATATATTGCAACCCGAGTCCATTCCAATATTTCCTTTTTGAATTGCTCTTTCCTCTCTCTTTTTTTGCTTCTTTCTTCTTCTTTGTAGCATTCATGTAGGCCTTCGATTAACTCAGTTTCTGATCATGAGATTGAGGGTCCAAAATTAATATAAAGTAGGGGATCGAATGAAGAAAGGGTCAAAAAAAAGAAACTCATAAAAAAACAAGAGACTACTGACCGTCCGACGTCACCTCGTCCGGCCGCGGAGCTCAGCGCGAGTGCCCTACACCACCTACCCATCGCATCTCGTAGGCCCCACCCCCTCCCTCCGGTATTACAATCGTATTCGTTGTTTTTGGCTGTCATGTCACAGGACGGTCGGTCGGTGTCAGTGTGAGACATTCGTTTGTTTTGTTACCCTTGTTTCTCCGCGGGAACTTTTTTCTTTTTCCTTTCCCTTCTTTCTTTTTTGGGGAGAGAGAGTGACCAGCAGCCAGAGGGTGGTCCGGATGTGTGGGTGTGGATGTGGACTGGATTGCATGGAATTGGGATTATTTCCGGGCGTCTGGCACGGTTTCCCTGGAGGGAGTATGTGGGGAGTGGGAGGTGTCGGGATTCCGAGGGCCGGAGGAGGGGGACTAGTACTGTTAGGATGGGTGCGAAGGTGTTATAGGGCGGTAAGGGGCGTGGGTTGGGTACTGTCGTTCACGGGGTATTGACGGGCACTAAGTGTTGACGAACAAACCAAAAAAGAGACAGCCAAGCCAAGTTTTGCCTGCAATCCGTGTCCGCCAATACCCCGTGAACGATAGTACTTGGGTGTTGTAGTTGTTTGTATTATAGACTATATACTCAAGTGCAGGTAACGTGTTGCTGAGTTACCTAATTTGGTTTTTCGTTATGGATAGGTCTGGTGGGGATATATCGTAAATATTGAATCCATAATTAGGAGGAAAGATGAAAACGGAATTCCGTAGTACTGGCACTTACCATCGATTCCTCTTGGCCAGTAATTATCCTTTATTGAATTGGGAACTGATTGGTTTTTCTTATCTGGAGAGCAGAAGAACGCTGACATGCATTGAAGCCTATAATTATGCGCAAAAACTGCTTGAGAGAGGCTAGGGAGAAGGTTCCGGCCAACTAATTACATGTAGAGAACACCTTGTTCGAAAGACAAAAGTACATCATTAGGAAACGCTGATCGTCAACAGCAACCACAATGAATTATCTCTGTCAGTATTGATATGCATATGCATGTAGAGCATAGTGCATACACGTGGTATATATTAGTGCATACACGTGTTCTTCGTCTCCATGCTCCGGATTCTTTGATATAGCTCAAATGGGCTCTACTACTGGTACCACTCATATTACTCGAATATAAATCTAGTTGACCGACGTCAGACATTTAAATTTTCTCATTGCGCTCGAGCTGTAGTGTATTACGGATGGCAACACGTGACTTTTGAAATAACCAGATATATCGACATATATATGTTTCATGATATATAGAGTGATACAAACCGTCTCTAGCTAGTTCCAGATATCTGATCGTGGTGGATGGCCGTTACAGATCGATCAGCGCTTTTGTATCACAATTTAATATCTATCCCGGGGATTCGCGCTGCGTGCTGGGATTAGGCCTGTTACGATTGCTCCCAACGAAAAATCACCTGGATTACAGATCTTAGAATTTGTTATATGCTCAGGCATTCAAATTAAGCTTTTTTTATTACGTTTGTCAAGTGACAGGTAAGAATACGACATAGTATGGAGATGTACCCAGATCTATGGTTTATATCGCCAATTGAACGGTACTTAGCTAACCTGCATCGCGCAGGCACTGAGACTGCATTTAGAGCTAGAGCACCACTTCCCCTTGAGACCCATACCAAAATCACAACTCCAGATCAATCTTCACCGCAGAAAGTAACTCCAAAAACGATGGGCCTACTATCCACCCCAATACTGAGAGCCTTCTGGATCATAGTCCTAATTACCTTCTCATTAGTCCTCCTAGTTTACCACAAATCCTACATTAGCGACACCATCCACCACACCATCCACCGCAACAGCACCATCCGGAAGACTGCCTTCACGCTGAGGGCGCGGTTCTTGATGCTCTGGGTTGGTGCGGTAGTGATGATACCTATCAACTTCCTTTTTGTGACTAATATCTACTTACGCCCGTTGCTCGGTGTCTGGAAGTATAAGACCTACGCATGGACCAAACAACCCCATGGAAAGACCTACTATGAGCTCCTGAAAGCCCTTATATATATGGTATGGCTATTCCCAATACTGGTTCTCTTAGTGCCGCCGTTTTTTGTGACCAGTGCGGCGTGGAAAAAGGAGTATAAAGATGCGTGCAAAGGTATGGCCATTATGGCTGCTCTTGACTCGCCGACGGAGAGAGCAATAAAAGATATACACTTCACAAACCACGCTACCAACTCTGCGTTCGTTATGGCGATGAGTCCTGTCCCTGTAGCGGGGAGCATGGACCCGAACGGGGCCTACAACCTCTCCATTATCGCTGACAGCAAACGGGCCGGGTCATCGAATCCCTCATCATGGATGCATATCGAGTACAATCTCGGGCACAAACGTTATCGCGTCCTTAGCAATAGCAACACAATCGTCCAAGAGGGTGAGTACCAACTGGGGGAACATTTCGGTATTCCAAAGATGGGTCTACAGTGCAACTTGAGTAGTTTCGAGGCCAGCTGCGGCTTCGACCCGACAGTGAGCGTTGTGGATGCGGAGGGGAAGGTCATGGTCAAGACGGTGCAGTTCACGATTTGCGGGGAGCTGCAGGCGTGTGTTGATGAGAGGTTGGGGGATATGGCGGCGGTACCGGTAGGGTTGTTGGTGCTCCAAAGGGCGGCGAGGGGGCCTGCGAGTTGTTGTAGTTCAAAACATTGGAAGCCTGGGACTGAGGGGAGGGAGTCTGGTATCACGCAAGAGGATGTGTAGTTAAATGCGAAATCGCTGTTAGTTTATTCGCTTAGTGTTTGTTGTATTTTTAATAGGGTTTTAATGGGTTTTAGTACATGTCGCCGCAATGGGGGAACATAGCTGTAACCGGGAGAGGTATATGTGTCAACAATGTTCAGAAACTCTGTGCTTTACCCAAAATTTAAAGTTTAAGATCTAAAGGTGTATCCCCCATATTTCAATTTGAAACTATTACAATCGAAACTAGCTCTCTCCCCCGCTTGCACTGAAAGCACCAACAGCGACAATTTCCCTTGAATTCATCCGGATCCGCATCCTTATCTCCAATTAACACTAACGTCCGTCATTATCCATAGAAGAAAAGAAGCCGGTTTATATGTTTGAATCCCGAGTGGAACCGAAACCGGTAGCATGCCGAGAGTCATGTTGATAATGTTCCGACTTGTAAGTGCATGAAGACTTTAGGAACACATGTAAGCTTTAGGAATGATTATCGCCCCTGCCTAATAGACAATGTTCTTTATATTATAGACATATATATACCTCTTCCAGTAAAGAAGACTCTTCCGAGTCTGCTCCTACCATTCGGGAACCTTTCCAGCTGGGCAAGCAAGCTATCGATCTTTTAGGCCAGACCAGAGCAGGCCTCAAAGAAGAGTCTTCACAAAATCCACTAATATCGAATCGCTGTTGAATTTAAGTACTCTAGATCATCGAGGAATCATCTAGTTGGAGGACGAGAAGGCGAGTACTCTCTACCCACCCCAAGGCCCTCACTCGGGCGGCAGTAATCAAGCTGACGAAAGGGGTCCCCTTATAGCCCACATCCCTCCTCAGCCAGTTATAGTTATTACGCATGCATATGCAATCTTGTTCCTCGAGATCCCGAAACGGCAGATTAAATGGCAAAGAGGCATTTAAATCAGTACTCTCCTGCCTGCGTCCATACTTACCAAGCCACTAAAACCCCTGGTCCGAAATATTCGTATTTATCTTTCGTTGCAATAACTCAAAGCAAAGCCCAAATCCCCCTTGGACACCTCCATACATATCTGACGTTAAGGTCGTGAGACCACTGACTATTTTTTAGCACTTCACTAGGCCACTTTACCAAAGAATAGAGCCATTCTCCGCAGAGACGTTTTAAACCAAAACGAGATAAAGTCGTAAACTCGCTTCGCCTATGAGACTGATCTCACATCATCTCACTCGGTTTGATCGAGTGAGTCACCGTGAGTCAAGCGCCCCACCACAACTCTTTTCATAAAGAAGATTACTAAGGCTTGCCCTTAATCTTATTACTAAAGCATCCATTGATAACGCACCTGAAATATTTACATTAATTGCAATACAAACCATTTTATTACTTGCATAAATTATGGTATTATATCTCTATATTTCGGAGTTGGTCTCAAGGTCGAAGAGAAGAGCTCAAGTATTTAGTACACAGCATAGGAATATATGAAGTAGAAAGTATTCTCCCGCGTCTAAATCAACAACCAATACTGGGCGCGGTTCCCTCTTGAGTATCATCTGCAAAACACCTACATGTAGTGCCTTCAACATTCCATCATCACAGTGCATTAGTGCCTACGCGGCCCGTAAAAACATCGCGCCCCCTTAAACCACTACATATACCCTGATCTGAAGTAATCTTGTTCACGACATCCCACACCTCACAAAACCACAACCACATTCCCTAAAAACATCACATCCCACAAACCATCCCCAAACAACAAATTACCCCCCCCCCCCCCGGGCCCCAGGGAAAAAACACAAAGTCATCAGCCCAGAACGACAAACTCATCATCATCCTCCAAACCACAAAAATGCACAGCTTTCCCCAAAACCCTAAAATACACACCGTCTTCGCCCTCAAAGTTACCTTCTTCCCCCGCGAGACCAAGGGCTCCACTACAACCACCGCAGCCATCAAAGCTCAATTGCCTCTTGCGACGGTTTCCAAAAAGACATTCAAAGACACCTCGACAAGCACTGAACCCGAAGAAGAGGACGCTCAAATCTGCGAGCCAGAGCTCGAGCTCCCGGCGATGCCGAAGCCTGCACATATAAAGCCTACCGGCTACCGCCCCGATGGTGTTACTGTTGGTGTTATTCCGAGGATTGAGGGCTGAGAGCTGAGGGTAGAGGTGGGGTGTATTAATTGGCTGGGTGGTCGGGTGGTTGAATTGTTTGGGTGGTTATGGGATGGGTATGGGATGGGTATGGGATGGGGATACGTATCTTTTCTTCTTATTGTCGATAGTCAACATGATGTGCCTTGTGTTATACGGATGATATAACCTGTGGCTCTTGCTCGTATATTTCTTTGGAGTTTATGGCAATAATTATGATTAAGGGGGGTAAAGTGATTTATTTGGCTGCTTTAGAAATTAAAGTTGTGAGGGAAAGAGTCGGAGGGATGTCTCCTGCAATTCTTGTAACTTATGGGGCGGTAAATGTATGGAGCGATAAATGTGTTAAAAGTGATTTTACCAACGGTTGATAGGTTATTTACCACCGGTGGTATAAGTACTGAATTTCAGTCCTTGTGCCAGTATAAACACTGAATTTCAATCTTTATGCTGCGCTATACTTCATTAGTAGATGTTCAATCATTAATGCCAACACTTATGAAAGTTTCCCACCAGTGGTGAAATACCTGCCATTGGTGGTAAAATACCTGTCACCAATGGTGAATTCCCCACCGGTGGACAATAACACTCATAAATTGGCATTATATAGCCCCTTTTGGCCAAAAGGTCTGTGCTTTTATCCATTATAAGGTATAAATGATGGCATTATTTTCACCACCGGTGGTAAAACGATTTACTACCGTTGGTAAAATTCCTTTTGACACATTTACCGCTCCATACATTTATACCTTATAATACCAATCTTTATGATAAAAGCACAGACCTTTTGGCCAAAAGAAGCCATATAATGAAAATACATGTATATATGAACATTTTCCACTAGTGGGAGGTATACCATAGGTATATCACCACCGGTGGGAAATTTTCATAAGTTTTGGCATTAATGATTGGACATTTACTAATGTCTAAACTATATAGTCTTCCTCATCGTCATCAGGAACGTCTCCTATTGGTTGCAGCACACTACATGTATTTATAATATTGATTGCATATTATTCGACAAAGAAATACTCCCGAGATGGAAGGGAACTAGCATTAAAAGGCGTGTAGCTATTGCAATTGATGGATATAAAAGAACAAACACTGACAGAACCACAGCTATATTTTTACATATGAAGGTCGAATTTCCCTGATACCATTTTATCTGCATGAACTACATGTACATACTAACGCTACTCATTGAATGACTTAGAGTGCATACTACAGCTAATATATCACAGATTACATGTGGGGGGGGGTGGGGGTGGGGTTAAGCGCGTGCCTGTACGTTTGGATGACCCAATAATCCAAAATGACAGCAATAATCTAAGAAATTACTACCGCAGTACCGCCCGCACCTTCATTTCCTCACTACATTTGGGCGGTCGAAGGCTGCACTCCGCTTGTAGTATATATAGCATAGCATAAAGACTGAAATTCAGTCCTTATACCACCGGTGGTAAACAATTTACTTCTGACACATTTATCGCTCCATAGTAACGCCGGTGTCTTAGCAGCTAGGCCAAATTTACTATTGTGCCTGTCCTCAATATAATATGAGATACGTTTAGCTATTTTATTAGCACAGCTTTTCATCATAAACCATATATCAGAGCTTGTTAGTTATGAAATCTATACATGTATATACACCTAGAAAATTAGAGTGTTTTGAGTATGTATGATACGTTGTAACTTAATGCCATCACCATTCTGCCGAACCGCGCGGGTGCCTGGCATATCGGGATATCTCCAGCAGACGCTGACTATCGCCTATGAGGCTTGATCCTTAACGCTTATATTCCTGTCTACGCATGCGCTACACCAGTACTATATGGATCACAGTCTATCACTCGCTCTTGGCGTTCAGTTGTGCGTGACCGCATTTGTACTAGCGAGCATTCACCACACCCCCAACCAACGTCACCCCATCATATCATGCTTATTTGAACACACACTCTGCAGCTCATTGGATAGAGCGTAGGGAAAACAATCTAGCCGCCGATAGTGGATTGGTATGCCTGAACTGTTATTCATCGACCCCTCACGCCTCCTCACATGTCGACTCGTCGAGCGTGGAGGGGTGTTGGAGGCAGGGCAGACACGGTACCCCCGAACGTACTCGAAACTCTGCACCGGGCTCATGCTCATTATGGACGGCGAGCGGTACTATTGGGCCGCTGGGTTAGTTATAGGTATTTATTGCTAAGCTAACCGGTACAGTGATTTTGGATGGTGCATGACAAGAGCTTGCCGATGCGGGGGAAAGGTAGACGTTTCAGAAGCAATTCCTGATTCTTTGGGCCCTATCCCTTAAGCCGTCAGGACCGATTTCAATCTCGTTACTCGTACATAATGCAGAAGTCGTGATGATAGATTACCTCATCATATCACTTCTCTGCGATGTTCCGCACTAGATATGAGTAGCGAGATTGAAATCGGTCCTGAATGCGGCTTAAGGGATAGAGACAGTATCTCGGAGGGATGAGTACATACGTACGGGATTTGGAAGACCTACCAACTCGGGCGTAGAGATTCCATACTGGCATTTTAGATCCAGTAAAAGCTGCTTGAAATATAGCCGCCGGTACATACATGCAACTCTGGCCATTTCCTGAATAACTTCAGAAAACTCTTCACCTACGCAGCTAGAAAGGTCAAGATCAATATGTCTTATTTAATTAGAAATTTAGAATATCCAATTAAAGTCTACAAATCCACCATTATGCCCAACCACCCCGCGTACTCCACCAAAGTCTTTCCATGCTCCCTCGCCCCACCCACAATCTCAGCTCTATCCATCAACACTTCCAACATCAGCACCCTCCCACTGCCCACCGCATCATGGCTCATTGCAAAATCGCCCTTCGTACCATCTCTATTCCGCATTAGGATCCGTATATCCTTCGAAAACACCTCACACATCAGCTCAAAGATCTCCTCCGATTTGCACATTCTCAATGCATAGCACACGTCACGACCAAATATATTGGCCCCATAGTCTACCAATAACCTCACCATATGCACGTTCCCGCTCATCACGGCAACTGACAACGGCTTGGACCCTAAAAACCCTAGCGAAACCCCCGGATACTCCCGTGCCCTGTGTTCCAATAGAAGCCTCACAATCTCCACATTTCCATTCTGGACCGCGATATATAGCAGTGGAGGGTTGAGGCGGTTTCTGGATTCGGTCCATGCAGGCGCACCTTTTTCCAGCAGTCTCACGATGAGTTCGTTGCCTCCCTGGATTGCATGCCATATGGGTGCTTTTTTCGTTTTGTTTCTGTGGCAGTTGATGAGAGATGTATCTTTGTCGAGAATTATCCTGGCTAGTGAGAGATAGGAATGTTGGCAGGCCCAATGGAGAGCGGGCATACCGTCTTTGTCGGTGAAGGCATGCGTGCGGAGGGTTGGGGATAAGAGGTAGAAGAGGCAGTGGTTACTTTGGAGGAGGGAATTAAGATCATTATAGAATAGGTGGTCTGTGATAGAAAGGAAGATCTCGGCGGGGAGGGAGAGGAGATTCATTGTAGTTATTTGAGCCTTTTATTTTGAGGAGGATGAAATAACGCGCATAATTCTTTCCCAGGTATTTGCCTGAATGAAGAAAAAAGGTACCTATATAGGGTAGAGCGTTAATACGTAGCTGAATTGAAGGAGATCTGACCAATAAGAGATAGGCTTTTATAAACTGGAGCCACTGGTATTCAAAGCTACACCGCATGGGGGGATACAAACCCGAGCTGCCAGTGGCAAGACAATGCCCTGTTTTCTCCCCGGTCAACCACCAAACGCTGGACCAAGACTTTGACTTTGACCTTCACAACCTTTTTCGAGAAAAAGGTGCCCCACGCACCCGCTTCTCGCAACAAACCTCCACTCAAAACAGTGCTTGCTATTATGCACTGTGACGTCAATTGATAAAAAAAAAATCTCATCTGTGAGAAACTTGGATGTGCGGCTCATTATGTACAGCGGGGGGGAAAATTATTGTAGAAACAGGGGTCTAAAAACAGGGTTTAAGTGGCTGACTCGGCCAATGGGACTCTTCCCATACTTCTACAATAATTCCCCCCCCCCCCCCCCCCCCCCGCTGTAGGGAATTGGTGCAGCGGACGCCTTGCTGATCTGAGGAACATCATCCTTCCCGCTAAAAACGCCAATCTGCCATCCCGGCTAGATCCACAGAATCTGTTATTGCAACCAGAATCTATGCCGCCCGGCATATATATATGTGCTGATATCCAAAAGTAAGGCGAACATACTCTCCTCCTCCCCTCCTCCACCAAGCCGTTGTGCATGATGATAGTGACCAATGTTGCAAACAGGCTTCATAACCCCTCCAAATGTGCCCCATATTTCAGCTTGTTATCTAGCTAGCATTGCCGCCGGTATTGCTAATGACCCGCGAACCCTAGCTATAGTTATACTAGGTAGGAATATATTTGCTTACTACGTATGGTATCGAGATCTCTTAGAATGTATCGTAGAAATAGGGATGTCTACACAGGGGCTCTTCACCAATAGAGCTCCCCCCATATCACTCGCTGTAGGTACAACATGGCGGGTCGTGGACCCGGCTCGTCCTATAAAATCGCTAGGCCCTACTTCCGGTCGTACAAACACTGAGTCTACCACACCAGTTGAACTGATAGGCGAGCTTAATTCGACCTCCCACCATAGGACCTGTCTCATATGCTTTCGCCCTCGTGACAGGAGGAATCTTCTACTCGTATACCAGGGTAAGAACCAAAAAATGCAAGTGACGGAAACAGTAATGATTTGTATGAGAGATCACCGCCACCGCATACAAATAATCCTTGCCCTGAGCAACTGCATTTTCTGGTTCTTTTCGTGGTAAACGGGTATGTACCAACAGAGTCAGCTGCAGGGATAACATCCAATGGCGGCCGTATATCAACAGAACCATATAATGGCTTGGCATCGGTCAAAAATCTAGCCTATGGAACATCAGGGTGGCGTATATGCCCGCTCCTGGCCGGTTCGATCAAAGAATAACCGCACGCGCACATGGGCCAGACAACGCAAACAAACAACCAGCCAGCGCGCCCAGTACGTAACCATTCGAACCCCAGTCCAGTCTGGCACATGATTCGACCTCCAAGGTGTCTTTGGCGAATCACAGACCATCACTCGCTCACCTCAAATTCCGGCTATCCCTCTCCAAAACTGTAAGCTTCTAGACACTTACTTGAAGAGATAGTTGCCGCCTATGGTTCATTTTACTAGAGGTGCATTGTTCGAGTGATCTTTGGTGATTGAGCGTTACTAGTGGTAGTCATGCACTAGGCGATAAAGGGTCCTTAGGGCTAGTTCGAGGGGTTAAAGGACAGCACCGTTATACAGCTATTCTCCACAACAAATTAAAGGTTTAGATACCCCCTTGGATAGGCACTGCTTCAGGCCGGTCTAATTCAAGCGTTTTGGGGGTGGTTGAAGGAGCGTAGCGGTATATAGTCAAGGGATCTAGAGACATATATGCATATGTTCCGGGCCATTAGCGGATATGATAGATTCGTGAATGGACTTGACAAATTCGCGAACGGACTTGAGGTATTCGTGAATGGACTCCTAGGCTCATACATCTATGACAGGACCAGTCTATTCACGAACAGCCCGGGGAAACTATTGTTTTAATATCAACACCTAATAACTAATAATGATTTATATCAACCCCGACGACTACTACAATCACCAGAGACCTCTAAAAAAGACTAGCGACCCTAAATATCGAGTCTGGAATAATAATTAGCACCTTCAAGATCTTTAGCGAGCTTCAGTGACATCCTATAGCCTCTATCAGCCTCAGGCACCTTTGCAAGCTCTTATTTAGGCCCTATGACCTCTAGTAAAGCCATATGGCCTCTGATAGAGCCCAGGCAATTCGGGTGTTGGTTCCAAGAGTCAATTTCACTACCTTTTGCCCAGTCCATTCGCCAACAGACCGGTGCGGTCCCAGGTGTATGGAGAAAGCAGTCCATTCACGAATTCGAGGTATCCGCTAGTGGCCCAGAACACATACCTGGAAGTCTCTTACCGCTAGGGCGTTGTTGGTTGTTTCCTGCATTCATCAGAGCTCTTCCTAGCACAAACGTGAAAGGATATTGATGCGGGCTGAGAATGAATGAACTGATGATGATAATGATTATGACACTAATAGAGATAGTGATAGTGAAGTAATAGGGAAGTGATGGTGAAGGGAACTAGACGTCGACTATATCTTTGTTTGCTTGCCATATGTGTCCTTAATGCTTACTACTTTGTCCTACGTCTATGCCACATGCTATGTACACGCAGCCATACAGAAGGCTTATTTTTTGCAATGCGCCATAAATTTAAACCCCTGCATGCGTTAGCACTTTAGTGTTAGTTCTAGGGTAGATTGGTAATGATGCTTTGTATGCTTGATACTAACTCTGGCGGTGGTGTTTGTAGTAATTTGGCCTTAGCGTCACAAAGTAAAGGATCCGCCTCCACCCGATGAGTGGGTGTATTTACTTGGCTTATCGTATATTACCAAACTATAGGCCATGCATGGCCATCCACCACCCCCGATTATGCATCTCTCACCTCATTCTCACTCTCCATACCGTTAATATGTAACCTTGGCCAGTCCCTATCTATTTACTCTAGAACGAAGTTGCTTTCCATATTCTAAACACTAGCTTAACTGCAGGTACGGCTTTGAGCGGAGAACACCAAAAGAAGTACATTTCGGGCATGCTTGCATGTGTATGTACATGTAGTACTACATCACTGCATGTAGTTTTCATTTGAGATGATACTGTAATATACAGTATACTCTCACTATAAGGATACGGTTGGGTCCAAAAATATTTATCCTTATAGCGAATTATCCTTAGAGAAAGTGAGAGGATGCTAGCAAAACGGCGCTTGCGGACTGGCCGCTGCTCTTTTATAGCGAATATATCCTTAAGTATATCAAATATTTTTATAGCGAGAGTCTACTGTAGCTAACCCCTATCTTAGCAAGTAATGCATTCGCCATCTCTTCCTGGGTATACGATGAGTGTACTAAAAGATATTATGGCTATCACAGCTCAGCCCCCCCCCCCCCCCCCTCAGGCTCTCCCCACCATAGCCAATAAGAATATAATATCCTATATATCCAATTCTTCCACCTGATAAAATGTATTGAGGCACCCATCTCTTTTTCTCCTGCCGCATACAACCCTCCGTATCCCGAACTCATACCAGCGAATATCCTGATGCTCGTATGACTGTAGCCTTATAGGGCAACTTCCCCAACTTCCACAAAAGATATTAATGAAGGAAATTGTGGACCGCCGGACTGACTAAACAGCCCTCCCTTTTCAAACAAAAAGGCCTCCACGCACTATAAACTCCGCGTAAAGGAAAAAGAAAAGAAAGCTATGAAATTTTGTGAACTGTGACCCATGCAACTACTAGAAATCAAATCAAATCAAAATCAAAAACGCCTCCCTTTATGCAAAATGTCCGTCTGGGGGTATCTACAAAAAAAAAAAATGAAAAAATGAATGAGTTAGGGAAGAGAAATTTAATCAGGTCATGACTGATACTGATTAGGGGCAAAGAGGCCTTTCCTCTTGTCATCATAGTTTCGGTTTAGATGACTTTCTCCGTACGACCAATCCTATGTCATGTATATTATACGTCTAATAATATCAAGTTAGTAAAATAGAATCAAAAGTGGAGCCTTATGGGAGAAACTTACACTGACAACACCGTGGAATCCCACAATTTCATCGTCCTCTCCACACTCAAGAACTTTGACATTATGTGCCGACAGGTGTATTGGTTTTTCTGGAAACATCTCTGAACTAACAATCGTCTTGCTCCTCTCCGAGTTGGTTTCGATCACAAGGCCTACAATACGGTCCTCGGTGTCCGACCTTTGGAACGCCACCTTAATTCTGATAATTCTCTCTCCGCTCAGGCCCGAGATGCTCATTTTTTGGCGTGGTTTAACAGTGATGGGCTCCCTGTCTGGCCACTCGCCCATTGTGACCAAGCCCATTTTCTCGGACCCACGAAAACGAATACCTGTGATTCCTTTATGCCTAAAAAGATTGACACAGACCAGGATTTGTTCCAGTTGGGATGGATCAAAGATACAGTATGTCCGTCCGACTGTATCACTATCGGAGTATAATTCGGTTCGCTGGGCTACCAATGATGAAAAGCGCATGGTTTTTCTTGGAAATGCTTTAATATTACTGAACCATCTGAGTTTGGTAGCCTTATCTAGAATTTGGAAACCGGAGGCTCCTGGCGGCGAAAGGACTCTTGGGGAGCGTTTTCTGGAACTTTTCTTGGATCGGTACAGGAGCCCTACCGTGTCCAGCACGATGGCCTCTGTGGTCGGGGTAAAAAATGGGATCTCCTGCAGAAAGGATTAGAGAGGTACAAGATCCAGATGAAGGGCACAGAACGCATACCCTGTCCAAAGTTCCGTAAATCCCAACAGCTTCCTGTCCTTCGGGTGCTTGCTGTAACCTCACATG